AACACTGGATAACTGTACAGTAGCTACCGCTGGTATTGCCGATCAACACATATTTGAAGTACACATCGCTTGTGTTATAATTATACGATAATTACATTTCTTTTTTGAATTTTCACAACTCTATTTTATGAAGTCAATGCATGATATAAAATTATACAAGAACGTTTCTTTAGTCAAAACTTTTTTGTCATTATATATCGCAAATGAGTTGATAGCAGTCACTGCACAAAGAAAAACTAGCGTACATAATTCAAAAGTGTAGATTTTACCGGCGGGGTTTTTCTTTTCTAAGTTCTTGAACCACTTTTCTTGAATATTTGTGATTCAATGACATTAATTCAGAAAATTTCAAAAATTTACACAGCAATTTTTCAGGGATCCCAACGGAATCCCCAGCTAGGAATCACAGGGATTCCTCCCGACTTTTTGGGATCCTCGGAATCCCGGGACCCCGTTAGTGTCGAACCCTGGTACTACTTCGGACCAAAGTTTTCAAAACCATCGCTTAGCAGGTACTTGCGTTACCGTAAAGCTCGCTTTGTGAGCAGGCCCTTCGGGCCAGCTCGTCGAGCTCGCTATAAAGAATAAAGGCCCCTAACAAGAGAAAACTATCATGCAAAACAAACAAAAACTGTTCTGTAAAAATACACCAGATCACTATTTTGTCTTTGTGGTCGTCTCTAGGGATAATTTATCCTATCATAAATACTTTTTACTTCATCGAAATCACTCAAAATGCTCCAAAATACGAACAAGTTTCCAAATTTCACTGAAATGTCATTGCATGTCGTTTTCGACGTCCAAGCGATGCGAGTAAACAAAGGTGAATTCTGGTCAATTTCTACAAAATCAACGAATAACTGTTAAAATTTTCACATACTTTCTTTAAAACACTTGTTTACAGTCAAACTGCGAAGTCTTTACTTCTCAACTGTCCGATGATAACGCCAACAAGCAAATAAAATAAAAATTATTGACAGCTCCGTACCAGAGAGTAACCATTTCCTACTTTACCGCACTGAATATAATGTCAAGTAACCATTAGATAAGCGGGAAATCCGAGTTCTTCCGATTTCGCGCTAACCAAACGTTACTTGGGTTCGAATCCTGACAGGGACTTAGGATTCTTTCATGTGAGGAAGCTATCCAGCTAGCTTACGGATCGTCGGTGGTTCTACTCAGGTGCCCGTTCGTGCCTGAAATAATGCACGGAAGGGCACCTGAGGTCTTCCTCCACCAGTAAAGCTGGAACGTCGCGATATGACCTATACTGTGTCGATGTGAAGTAAAGCCCAAAACAAACAAACAAAATCTTCTTTTGGTTTTAAAACATCACAACAATAATGCACAATGCAAATTACATTTGATTATATCTAGAGCTTTTGAAGAAATTGTTTAAATTTGTTAAAAAATATACTGTGATGCATATTTGAAAAACAACAGCAGGGCTCATCCTGGGGGGAAATTTTAGGGAGAAGTGACTTCCTCGTGAAAAATAGGGAGAAGGGAAACAACTCAATGTGCATGGCTATACATCCTTTAACTATAATATAAACACAGTCTATTTATCAGCTATTTATAAGCTTTCTCTAAATATTTGTTTATATATTTTCATGTAGATTTATTGATAATAATGTGTAAGAAAAAGTATGATGAATAAATTAATTTTATATTATTACTTTCCTCACTTTTAATAGAAGTTAAAGTTACATTGGATATTGCTTAACAATATCTGTCTATTCTGTTAGAATGATTACAGAAATTCTTTTATGATCTTGTAAGTTGTAACAGTGCGGTATACCGTACCCCGGATATTGCTCGATATTATGAGGACTTTCATCCCATTTCGCGACTTTGAACGAGGAAAGAAGGTATGTTTAGTGACGATATTTAGTTATTTTGAATTGGTTTGATATAAATTTTGTAGAAAAACAAATACTACGATAATTTCTCTAGTTACTGAAACTCAAAAAATGTTGAGAAATTGCTTTGAAATATAATTAGGAGGTAAAATTCGTCTCTTTGCTCACGTGATAAATGAGCTCAGATCAGTCAAATTTGATGTTTTTGTGCATATACTTCCTTAAAAGAAAAACTTGAATCGAGTGAAATGTGATAATGATGATAATGTTTATGTTGTAAATGTTCAATCAACAATAGAACCTCAGATGACAGTGCATTTAGAGAATAAATGCACATGTCAGTGTACCGAGTATTGCGTTGGAGTTGCCCGCCGGTGGCACGAGTATTGCTTTTAGTGTAACGAGTATTGGTTTTAATGAAGAGTAAATGCAAGTAGTAAACACAAAGTATTTACCACATTTAATTTTAAATATTTCTTACTGTGTATACTTATTTACACTATATGTGCAGAATATGCAGAATTCGGAGGTACTTTACTGAAAACATCTGCGAATAATCCAGATTTACATTCCTGCTCGTGAAAAATCTCAGCCGAACGAACTCAGCAATTTTCTGTGTTTGAAATGTTCTCGTTGCTATCGAAGGATCAACCTTTCCAGAATTTGTTAATAATTATTGCATATCTTACTTTAAATAGTAAAAAAATGCATCCAAAGTGCATTAATACTGCCTCAATATTGTTAATATTAGACGGTATTGAGCAAGTGTGCCAATATCTAATATCAACCGACTTCCTTCTATGCCAAAAATCCATATAAAGGTAACTTTCGGGCATTTTGTACCTGCACTCTAGCAACGGCAGACCGTCTGCACGTGAAATTTTGTTACGCCATTAGCAATGAGTTACCGTATGACTGCCGAGCGGGTACAGCTCAAAAACCGAATAATAGATTTTGATAAGATTATGATAAAGGGCAGCAGATGCAATAAAAAGGTTATGTTCCTTATAACCTTTTACCTCATAAAGGCGTGTTTTGAAGGCTTTACACCCCACCCCTTTTGAGGCCTCAAATAGTGTAAAACATGCGCTATTTAGGCCCCAAACACGGTTTTTTCGTTTGAGAAATGTTGTTCAAAAGAGTGATCACTTTTTCGGCGCCACCCCCATTAAAAAGGTACATCAAGGGGGTTACGCAGGGGGGGGGGGGATGTGCCCCCTTCTGTTTGGGGGTTTGAAGTGGGGCAGTAGCCCCTCTAATCGCCGAGAAGACTTGGAACTTGTGGGGGGCTAAATGGCCTCAGGTCTATTTAAAGGTACCGTGTAATAAACGCCGAAAACCTAAGACTTTATCTCAATCAATTGAGAAGTTGGTGCACCTTGAAATCAGTTTTGATGGGAAAAAACAACGCAAAATAGAGGTTTTTGGCAATTTTGAGACGCCCCCTACCCCGTTGCCATGATAATTGGAAATTTAAAATTGAGCATGCTATTCCACAGGCTATGGTCCAGCTAACATTTGTGCCCTGTTTGATCAGTATTGAAGCATTTTTTATAGTTTCATAGCAGTTTGAACTTGTAACAAGAGGCTTAATTATAATTTAATGAAAACAGCCATTTTTCGCATTATGCTCATGCAGTAAAAGGTTAAGACGATACCGGCATGCTTGGACGGCATAAGCCCTCAGGCCAATATTTTATTAAGTGCGTCGATATGTTTCTTAAGGCAAACTTGCCCTGTAAAAACCTATTATCAATTTCATCTAAATATTTTTTTTATTCTTGTCAATTTCAGAGATGGGTCTCCTTGATCAAAGTGTCTTGAGACATGTATTTAAAGTTTTTTATCGTCAATTTTGATGGTTCTACCTTGCTTCCGAGCCTGCACATACTTAATTTCATCCATAGTGTGATTTTCAACCAAATTGGAAATTAAATCTCTGTATTTTGCCCGTAGGAAAAGAACAGTAAAAACACTGAAAATGCACTGTTGAATCTGAAATATTTGAATAAATATCATATAAACAGTACATTATCAGAAAAATGAAATTGAATCGATAAACAGACGTGAAAATTAGACAAAAATATCGAGTTTCCATACTAATGTGCTCATTCTGTTTTGCAATACTCTGTACACTAAAGTTGGGCTATTTTGCAATACTCTGTACACTTAAAATCAATACTCGGTACACTGTCTTGTATCTTTTTTGGCCTGTATCTTTTTGTACTTTCACACTTTTTGCCTGAAATTTGGACAAGGCATACTTGGATTGTGAATAAAAAAATTGCTCGATTCAATTTTTTTTATATTGGTAATATAATAATTTCTAACGATTCTACAGTATCGCGGTCAGTATTTTCTAGTGAGCAGCGGATCGTTTAGGGGTAGTTTAATCAATTTTACAAATACCTGTAATACTTTTACGTCTTTTAGAGCTACAAAAATACCTCTAGATATATAAAAACCGTTTAGATAAATGAAATAGCCATTAGTTTGGAAAATATCGTCGCTGAACTTACCTTCGTTCCCCGTTCAAAGTCGCGAAATGGGATGAAAGTCCTCATAATATCGAGCAATATCCGGGGTACGGTATACCGCAGTGTGTAATGTCACATTAAATTATGTGCATATAATTATGCTTATAAAACAATTTTCAAACATCGAAGAATATGTAAAATATGTTCTGCAAACATTTGTGCACATTATATTTGATCACTAAAATTATATACATTCAATTCTTATTGAAAATTTGACTGAGAAATTATAGAAAATAAATTTCTAATTACCTCCCTTTATTTTCATGAAATGTTTAACTCTAATATCTTTATAAATAATGCTTTTTGAAATTTACAATATTGATAAATCTTAATCTGTAACAGCAGATAGAAAGTATGGGGGTCTTTTAGTATAACTTGGTACCAAAAAGTATTTACGGGTACCATAAATTCACTGAATTCACCTACAAGTCTAGTACCCAAAAAGTTTGTACACATACATTAGAAGTTCTCCCTTTAAGTTAAGAATTTTAAAATCCATCTGTCTGACGTCATTTTAAGTATCAATAAATATTTGGCTAAGATATACATGTCCTTATTTATGAAGCATAAATCAACTTTTTAATTATTTCTTTTTACACAGATAAAGAAGAAATGACACTTTTATACTAGTTTTTGGAGAAATAAGTCTGCAAACATGGACCGCAGTGTTGGGTAAGTTAATGTTTCCATATTTCATTTTGTATCTTTAATGCTGAGAACTTTCAGAACAAATAAAAAAGAAATAAACTGATCAGAAAAAATTGATCTGAAAATGTATTCTGTTTTTATATTTGATAAAGGATTTGGAAATTCAGCCAGACTTGTCCTACTTGTAGGGAAATTTGTCTGCCAGATCTGTTCCAAATGTGTAAAAAAACATCTGTCAAAAATACAGCTGTGTCAATGGACAAATGAAATAAAAGATATTTTTTTACATCAGTGACTTGTATATAATTAGTTTTATTATGATTTAAGTAACAAAATGCCACTGTACATTAATTTATTTTTTTTCCGTATTTTATATATACTGTATCAATATGTTTTGCAATCATTGAACAGATCAAGGCTGCAGAACATGTTCCAGCAGTTGGAGAAAATTGGAGGAAAAGCAGCCAAACATCAGACAGGGGAAGACTTGCAGCAGATCAGATATGTAACATGTAAAATATTCCAGATTATCACTACTCAGGGTAAGTCAGAAATTTTTTCGTAGACTTCAGTATAAAAAACAAAATCTGTATAGTTTGTTTACTTACTGGTTGGTCCTTAAATAACAGCAACTCTTGGTATGGTTATTTGTCTAAACTATAAATTTCATGATTTACTGTTGGATGAAAGTCCTTTTTGATGCTTTCATACATTATTTCATGCAAGATGTAGTACCTCAGGTAGAACCATAGATATACAATTGATACCCTTTCCTAAATTAACATATAACAAAGAACTCAAACAGTCAGATTCAAATCATGTGTTAACCAGCCCCTCTTTTATTAACTAGGGAGACCTAGTGTTATGAAGTCACAACTTGAGCGTTGTCTCAATATTTCGACTGCAAGACTGACCAATTTAACAAATTGCTATTACATAGATGCCAGTCGCTTGCAAAGGGCGACCATCGGGGAAAACCCTTCTGTATCTATAGTGTAAACCTGCAAGTTACTTTTTGAATTTGAAATATAAATGTGACACATACATAATTTGTAAAATAAGTCACTACTTGACATTTTCATAATGTACATATTTAATTTCAGAGAAGATATATAAAGACTCAATATTGAAGAACCCTGCTCAACTTGATCTTTTGGTGCAGACTTTAAAGGTAAGAGACTCCTCTTAGCAGAAATTTGTCTTAAATAGTTGCTAATTATTACAGAGGAATGCCTTTATTTTACAATTTACATTTGGAACTCAGATGTAATAAATATATTCCAATGATATTCAGTGATAAAAATGTTGCAAGATTCAAGAATTAGTTCATGTTACATCATAATTTCTGCTGCCTACACACATTGAAATATCCATATGTATGTGGAAGTCAGTTGTATAAATTGTAAGTTTATTTGATTGCAGATTTACATATAACTTGTTTCACTACAATGTATTTATGAACGATAATTGCAAACATCCAGTTAGAATAATAATAACCCTGCCCCCCCCCCCTCTCCCGTTCTATTATTTTTTTGCCCTTTGAAGGATTTTCTTCAATCTTAGCCAAAATGTTAGGTCAGTAAGGTTATTTGCTTAACATATGCTGACTTTCTGCTGCCTTAAGGTCAAAGTTACTTGTTAGTTGTTTTTGTTTCTGTTATATGCTATACCCATTGAAGAATTTTCCTTAAACTTGGCTCAAATGAACACCTTCAACATGATGATGTGCAAAAACTATGCTGCTGCTGTCCCAGGTCAAGGTCACACCTTTAAGTCAAATGTCAGACAAGTTTGTAAAGAACTGCCAAATCTACTCTTTGAGGGACTAAGGTTTAAACTCAAGTGTTCACTTTCAAAAATAATGCTAAATTAACCAACTTTTAACTCTGTATTATAGAGACAGCTGGGATATTCTTTATCCTTGATCTTGTTTATTGTGGTGATTTTCAGCTTGTTATCATTGTTATTGTTTTCATCTGAAATATTAAATGTCCAAAACTTTTCCACTGACTTTATAGAAATCATTATTATACAAACATAAAGTAACCTTTTACATTTAATATTTTCTAAAGGCTGAAAATGCAAAGTATTATAATAGATCTGCTTTATACATTCTAGAGGTAAGAATGTTATTGTAGGTTGCTGTACATATATAAATGAGAAGTTGTAACCTTATTGTGTAATAGTTTGTGTGTCTTGTTGTAATTTTATGAAGGTGAAATTTTCTCTAGCAAAGCATGAGTTTATATGTGTAGAATTCAACAGTGAATAAGTTAAACTAGGCAAATGTTTTAACGCAAATCAAATCTGTAATTTTGAAAATAAATTGAAAATAAAGCATTTTGTCTAACTTGAAATAATAATTTTAACATGCTTTTTGCATTTTAAGTGGGTTTTTTTAGATCAAAAGTTCTTCCAACCTCATTTGAGTGTCACTATGTCACTTGTGAATTATTTTTATAAGTGTATCTGATTAAAACATGTCTGTGACCCCAGTGGGTCACAGACTAACTCCTTGTAGAAAGGTAACCATGTTATACACAAGGTCATTCAATGCTTTAATGTCAGACCGTAGAGCATATTATTTTGCAGCAGTTTTTCATGAATCCTTTAAAAGATCATACACTGTCTAGTGTTATATTTTTTTTCATTCTAGTTTGTACATTATTTATATATATATATATATTGTAGAGTGCTACAGACCGTGCAGTACTGGTTAACATCATCAACATATGTAGTGAGTTGCTGGGAAAAACACGTATGTTATCATGTTTTTATGTAATTTTTTTAATGTGTTTATTAACCCTAAAAACATAATTGTATTTATTTAACTCTTAAATTCAGGGTTGTCATTAACGAGGCGGCAAAAATGCCTGTCTCAAATGCATTATGGGCCGCCTCAAAATTAAGAAAACACTCTTTGTTATGCATGATAAAGACAGAAATGACCGCCTCAATTTCAAAACAAACCTTCTGCAAAAATATTAATGACAACCCTGAAATTATGCCTACTAAATGTTTTGAACACTTAAAAAAATGATTAATGTAATTTGGTTTAACAACATACATTAAGGGTATCGTTGTAATTATTGTAGGTTGACAAGGGGGAAAAAAAGTTATTTTTTTCCATGTTTTGTGTAAAACTGATGTGTCTTTTATGTCCGTTTGTCCTCATTTCTGATATATGGTGAATTGGCCAATGTGTGTGATATATAGTTCATTACACTGATATGCAATCAAAGTTTGAAGTGAATAAGATATAAAAACTGTCACCTTTAATTTGACTGAAAACATTGAAAAATGCCTGTTAAAATAGCCATAGAACCAGAGTAAATGAGTTATTTTGCTTTACATTTACAGAAGTTGGAAAGAAAGCAAGTGCCTTTGTAAGTGTAAATGCTACAAATGTGGTGTTTCAAACCATGGTGCAGGAGTCAGAGGACAACAGCCCCTCTGAGGACTTTATGCTGACCTGTCACCATGTACTGTCACGGGTTGGTCAAAAAGGTAACAATCCTTTTCTGTGCTGGTATCTTTCATAAGAAAGTTTATTGTTTTTATTCTAAGATAGTCCAGCAATAAGTTTGAAAATGTGTCACCTAAGTGCAGTTACATGTTTTCCTATTAAATTTTGTAAGGATTTAACCTGTTACTGCACTAAGGTAACAACATTAGATTCTTACTCTTGATTGAAAATGGAAATTACATATTATGAGGTTAATGAAAAATATCTTCAACAATAAAGTAGCATTTGCTTCTGACCTCAATATTAGTAATTGTGACTACTTCACACTGTAACATATACTGCCAGCTTGATTTGCTATCAGTTTACTTTCACATTGTTAATTAAATAAGTTATTATACCCCCAAAAACAAAGTTTGGGGGGGTATATAGGAGTCACCTGGTGGTCGGTTGGTCGGGCATTCGGTCGGTCGGTCCAGACGTCCGTTGCATTTTCCTTGTCCGGAGCATAACTTGAAAACTAATGGTTGGAATTCAATATAACTACATACAATGGTCAAGCACATTGAGAGGAAGTGCAGTGCACAAGAACCATAACTCTATCTTGACTAATTACAGAGTTATTGCCCTTTGTTACTTTTCCTTGTCAGGGGCATAACTTGAAAACTACTGGTCGGAATTCAAAACAACTTCATACAATTGTCAAACACAATAAGGGAAAGTGCAGTGCACAAGAACCATAACTCTATCTAAAGTAATTACAGAGTTATTGCCCTTTGTTGCTTTTCCATTGCTTTTTTTTTTGTCCGTTGCATTTTCCTTGTCCGGAGCATAACTTGAAGACTAATGAATGGAATTCAAAACAACTTTATACAATTGTCAAACACAATAAGGGGAAGTGCAGTGCACAAGAACCATAACTCTATCTAAAGTAATTACAGAGTTATTGCCCTTTATTACTTTTCCATTGCTTTCTTTTGTCCGAACCATAACTTGAAGACTAATTGTTGGAATTCATTATAACTTCATACAATGGTCCAGCACATTGAGAGGAAGTGCAGTGCACAAGAACCATAACTCCATCTTGACTTATTACAGAGTTACTGCCCTTTGTTTCTTTTCCTTGTTCAGAGCATGACTTTAAAACTACTGGTTGGAATTCAAAACAACTTCATACAATGGTCAAGCACAATAAGGGGAAGTGCAGTGTACAAGAACCATAACTCCATCTTGACTAATTACAGAGTTATTGCCCTTTGTTACTTTTCCATTGCTTTCTTTTGTCCGGACCATAATTTGAAGACTAATTGTTGGAATTCATTATAACTTCATACAATGGTCAAGCACATTGAGAGGAAGTGCAGTGCATAAGAACCATAACTCCATCTTGACTAATTTAAATTACAGAGTTATTGCCCTTTGATACTTTTCCTTGTCCAGTGCATGACTTGAAAACTACTGGTTGGAATTCAAAACAACTTCATACAATGGTCAAGCACAATAAGGGGAAGTGCAGTGCACAAGAACCATAACTCCATCTTGACTAATTACAGAGTTATTGCCCTTTGTTACTTTTCCTTGTCCAGAGCATAACTTGAAAACTACTGTTTGGAATTCAGTATAACTTCATACAGTTGTCAAGGACATTAAAAGGAAGTGCAGTGCACAAGAGCCATAACTCCATTTTGACAAAATACAGAGTTACTACCCTTTGATACTTTTCCTTGTCCGGAGCATTACTTAAAACGTACTGGTTGGAATTCAAAACAACTTCATACAATTGTCAAGCACAATAAGAGGAATTGCAGTGCACAAGAACTATAACTCTATCTTCAGTATTTATAGAGTTATTGCCCTTTGTTCTTTTTCTTTGTCTTTCTGGACTTATTACAGAGTAATTCAATTTAAACTTCATCAATGGCCAACCACATTGAAAGGAAATGCAACATACATGAACCACAATTATCTTTAATTGCCCACAACCATAACTCTATATTTCAATTCTTTTACAAGGTATTCTGTTACTAGTAACATCCTCATTTCCAAAGCAGACTCGTGGGGGTATTAATCACATTTAGTGATAGTTCTAGTTTTCTCCTTGTGGCTGAGAGGTTGCCTGTTGATGTATCAGAATTACAGCTGCCATTTAATCCTGTGTGATTGTAAGAGGCGACTAAATGGTTTGAATTACTGGAGTCTATGCATATCTTAGCTCAAGCAGGTGAGATGGTTTTGAAACCCTGGTGTTGCTTTAAGTTTAGTTTGCAAGACCCAAGGTTAGCCAAAATCATCTTTCCTATTTCGGCACAAATACAACCTAAATTTTGTTGGTGCCGCGTAAAACCAAACCGAACAAAAATAAAATATACGATACATAATGATGTATAATGATGTTTTTTGCTTCCCTTTCAGATCGAAAATTTGCCTTGAAAGCAAGATTGAATAGAGCATTGTTAGTGACCTTGAACTTGATAAAGAATAATATCATGAACTTTCGTAACCTTTTGATCTTGCTACCTGTGTTTAAACTCTACACAAATAACAGTAAGTTCTTTTTTCCTTTAATACTGGAACACAAAAATATATTGAACTGGAGAAAAATAAAGTGATGATTATTTTATATGATATATTTCTATATTTTCAAGTAGTTTTGAAGGTAAAAATGTTTCAACATTTTTGTTAATTTATATTTTAACGATATGATTTTCATTAAATATTTCAGGAAGCTAAATGTGCTATATATATATTTAATTAAATTAAAATTAATAAGTTTTTGCATTTGTTATAAGAAGCTCCTTCTTTTGAAATGGTTGGCTTAGTACTGTAAGCTTGTTTCAGGGAAGCATACATCAGTTTCACTTGTTGCGTTTCAGTCAGCGCTAAAGACATTTTATATGTAGAATAATGCCATGTATCATGATCTATACCTTTCAGGTGTGAACTCATCATATTTAGGGAAGCATAATTCTATTCCACCTATCTGTAAGATAGTGTTACAGTGTAGTCGCAAACATGCCAGTGCCTTAAAATATGGTCTTGATATACTCAATAACTTCACAAAGTCAAGTAAGTGTTTAAAACAATATTTATCTAAATATCTTCATAGTGTTCAAGGATTAATGTGACCACACAATACTAGTGATGCTTCCATCAAGGGATGGAGCATATATATGCCTTGTTCATCCGTAGACTCACATAACTGTGGCATGTTAAATGGACACAATTCTGGTATCAATTATATTTATTTTAGCTGAATTGTGATGAAAATTTCAAGCTTATTTTAATCACTTAACCTTTATCAAGCCTATTTCCTCATATGAACCTTTGCTAGTATCATAGCATAATATTATTTTCTTTACTAGTGATCACTGATATATTTTCTTATAAAGACTATCTTGCTTGGTATGCAAAATGTATGTAAAAGTTACTTTGTATTATTCAGAACATTAAATACTTTGGAAGAATGGAATAGTGTTTTGGTCAATGTGAAACAGAGGATATTTTTCCATCAAGAAATATGACCATCTTTTACAATACTGGTCTGGTTCTATGCCACTACAAGTCACTATTAAGTGCATGTTTACCTGTCTATTTAAATTATGACTGTCTACATGTATTTAACAGGAAACAATGCTGCAAGGACTATTGGTGGTGAATATGTTCCAGCTATATTGTCCCTGTACAGTGACTGGCATCAGGCAGACACCAAACATAGACATGTCAGCATTAGAAAAGGATTGCTCAACATTCTCAAAAATATAACAAACTTACGTATGTATCTTATATGATGTAAAATATGTAAAACATTATAAACAAAAATATCCACAGGAAATGATAAATACACATTATTACTTTATTAAAACAATTTAGAAATTTAAAAGTTAAGATACAGAAGCAAGCATTTGGGCAAGAAATGATTTGTTCTTATTGAAGTAAAAATTTTATTTGTTGTTTTAGGAACTTCTTTTTAGCTTCAAAATTGAAGATATCTAACCAATGAGGACTTCCTTAAACTTACAGTCAGGATTTTTGAAAAAGGTTTTTGAACATAAGTTAAAGTAATCGTGTGAAAGTCTGTATTTTAGAACTTGATAGACCCATAAATCATGCTCTGTTTCATATGAATTGTGTTAAGGACCATTTTGAAATACAGATTGATGAATTACTGAAATTGTAATGTTTTACAGGTTCAGGTAGGAAAGCCCTTGTTGAAGCTAATGGCATACGGGTATTGTATGAAAGTGCCCAGGATGTTATTGACTGTAGAGAAATGGAAGGACTTATTCTCCTTGCCAGTGTTATCATGAGAAAATGTTGCCCTAGAAACAAACTACCACTAGGAAATATACGTAGTGTTGTCAAATATGAATTACCAGAATCAGAATTGTACCCTCCTGAAGGTTTAGGTAAGTATTGTAGAATATTCATGATTAAATATTGTACAAATTTCTTTTGGGATAAAGTGGACATGTTTTTCATCTGCTTATTTAAGAAATAAAAGACAGCACTGAGGGCATTCTATACTTATAGTGACTGATCAGTCACCCTGCAAGCTTTAAACAGAAAAGCCAAAGTTACTGTGTTCTATTTCTTATATTATGCTGCATTCTTCTGTTACATAAAGGAAATCATATTGTTGAAATAACAAAACTTCTAGTAAAATGTACAGAACACTGTTGGCAGTCAGCTTGTATAATGCATGCTTTTTAAAAATATACCTTGTGGTTACCACTGCTAAATTTTAGAGGTTCAACAAAAAGATAGTAATGCCTGCTCAGGCAGTCTCCATACTTTTTGTCGCACTGCTTATGTCCATTATCAATATTATATTATATATAGGCCTGCTAACATTTATATGAATAGAGAAGAAACACATTAATGTAAGGTATAAAGTCTATGTTTATAATTATGCTTGAAGCATTGTAAATGTTTATAGCAAATGAATAATTGAACTGAATCAAAATACTGTAAACATTTGCATGATTAAAGCCTTCTTTTTCATTTGTAACATTAAATTATGGATATTATAGTTTATCTATGCATGTTTTATAAATAATGAAGGCCTGATGTGGCTATGTTGTTTGAAAGGCTAGATGCTGTTGGTTCTGATCTTGCTAGAATGTGCACTTCTTTCATGCGTTTAAACTATCTTTTAGCAAAAGTGAGATAGTTTTACACACATAATGACAGGGTCTTCCTCCACCAATAAAACATTAAAGCTACCAAGACAAAATTGGTAGTGTAGGTATGACTGAAATACAAATTTACCAAAGAGAAACCTTTAATGATTTGTACTTTTATCATGACAATGCATATATTTCAAACCAACATGTTTTATAATTCTGATCTAAGACACTTACCTGTTTAAATGATAACATTCCCCTTTACATGGTAATATTGATGTAGATGATTTACTTATATTTACAGAACCAGGAGGGGCAAGGAATACAGAGGGAGGGGATAGTGATAATAGTTCACTAGATGATGATGATGATATAGACAGTGATGATGAAAGATTCAAAACAGACAATATTGATGAGGTATACTTGTATGCTGGGTTATGCTACATTTTTTCTCACCAATCTGAAGAATTACAATTTTTTGTACAAAGGCAATCCTTTTTTGCTTGTTTATTAGAAGAATAGGGAGAGCTATGATTCTCACCAAGGCATCAGCATCACATTTTGGTTAAGTTTCTGCGCATAAATTGGTATCTTTAAAATTACTAAAGGGAAAGGGTTGAAACACTTATTTGGTAGCATAATTGGAGGTCATTATCCAGACTCTTTGTTTTACTATCAAGCAGTGAGAATAGTTGAGCATGCCTTCCTACCAACAGCTCTTGTTTGAAACAGAGAATTACTGGTTCAACACAGATGTACTCTTTGAATTTTGCTTAGTTTCTACAGAGATGTTGGATATTATTTCACGAGACACCTTGTCTCATTGATGTAATGCATTGTATCCATCTGTATTTCTTCCTGTTAATTAAGTCAACGTTTACTTTGTATAGTCACTGTGTAAAATGTTATTTTATTATTTATAGATTTATTGTTATGCCGTTACTTGTTTTATTGCTAAACACTATCCTTGATTACAGATAGAGGATGATGTATGTAACTCTAGTCCCGAAGCTTTCAAACGTTCACCTGAGGACCTGAAACAGTATAATCAATTTTTCCCAGAATTGTTTGAAATTGATGTTCAGGAGCCGTCAGAATCTGTGGTTGTTCCCACAGCATCATATGATACTGTGATAGACAGAGAGAAGTTACGAGGCGTTTATCCAGTTTCTACAGACAGTTTACATAAATCAGTATCATGTCCATCATCCATGTTTAGAATTCCATCCAATTCTAGTGAATATTCTGATAGTTCGGGATACTTTAGTGGTTCTAGAACTGGACATTTACCAGAAAATTCTAATGAAGTTGAATATATAGAAAGTTATGGCCGATCAAGTACAGCCAGTGCAATTAATCTCAAAACAGGTGCTAGTGTGATTTCATTAGATTTTCCCTCGTCAAGCAGTTCTAGCAAATCAGGAAGTTCTAAAAAGTCAGCAAACCAAAGATCAAAGAAAGCCAAAGGTGGTTCAAAACGTGCTGGAAAGGATAAGAAGCCAAAGAAAACAACAAAAGACAGTCAATCTGGTCAAGATGGAATGGGATGTTTCACTAATGCACTGTGTATCACACCAATACCAACTGTGATAGATCAAGACGATGATTATGATCCAAATATTTCACCATGTGAGGATGATGAAGATGTGTTTGATATAAAACCAGATCCATTACTTTACCAGGAGATGGGACGTGCTACAAAATCTGTGTACAAGTTTGAAAAACTCGCGTATCCAGATCTGTGTGGAGCAAGGTCACCTCTTGACATAGAACCATTGTATCATAGAAAATTTGGAGTTCAAAGGTCAGTAACTGTTTATATTTAATAAATGTCACACAGGTCAGGTTTCTGAGGTCTTTCCACTAAAGCTGAAAAGTCTACATATTTTAAATAAATAAATAGAAAGTGACGATGTGACCTAAAAACCAGATTAGATAAAAAAAAGATGTCTTGGGATATAACCATGATCTCTTAAATGTCAATACCATGTATTAGATAAAAAAAAATATTTAAAAATCATAGTTACTATGTAATATTTCTTTCAGAGCAAAAGTGTTTGAAGACATTGATCGTATGATTCACCCTGAACTTGTAATAGACAGAGACACTTATGACCTAGATGCTATAAAAGCCAGAACTGGTGCAAACTATTCATCTGATAATACAAATATCTCCAACAGGGATGAATTCAGGTAATTATTACCAGTACAGTTAATGCTCCGTATTATTTGTTCTAATTAACAATCTTAAGGTTATTACAAGATTCAAAGGTTGTTTGACAGGCTGACTTATTCTTTTCACTAGAAATATTTATCATGAAAATTGAAAGTGATGAATGGTAAATGTGCAGACGTCTTGATACCAAAATTCAAATGGTGTATTGGTATGAGGTAGAGGCAAAAGAGGATTTGATTTGAATTAAACTTGCAACAATTAGCATGTGAAACTTGATTTATACAATTAGTATGTTTACTGTTTCTATGAATTTAAGTTTGGCCTACAACTTTATATATAAAGAAACTGTTCAGCAAGAGATTTTGTTTTTGAGTAAATTTATTTTGAGAGATGCATTTGATTTCTTTAACTCAACTCTCAACTCATGAATTTGTGATATAGGCCACTGGCCCTTGACACATAAATGTACAATACAAAAACATTTGTAATCATCTAAAAAAGGTAATTGATTGTGGAGATGTTTAATGTTTATACAGGGTTGGATCAGGTGGAAGATATGAACCAGGTCCTGATTGTCTTAGATTCTCATCACAGTTTGAAAGTGGAAACCTGAGGAAAGCAATATTTGTAAGTAATTGTTTATAAACAATTTCTATGTATACATGAAGTCCACATACTCGTAAATACATGGAATTTTGTTACCTGTCAGAACTTGCAGTATGCCCACTCAAAATCTGGGGGTACACAGAAGTTTAAATGTGTTTTTAGCTCACCTGTCACAAAGTGACAGGGTGAGCTTTTGTGATCGCTTTTCGTCCGGCGTCCGTCCGTCGTCCGTCCGTTGTCCGTCCATCCGTAAACTTTTACTTTAAATGACATCTCCTCAGAAACCACTGAGCCAATTTCATCCAAACTTCACAGGAATGTTCCTTTGGTGGTCACCTTTAAAGATTGTTCAAAGAATTTAATTCCATGCAGAACTCTGGTTGCCATGGCAACCGAAAGAATAAACTTTAAATATCTTCTTTTAAAAAACCCAAAGAGCTAGAGCTTAGATATTTGGCATGAAACATCTTCTAGTGAGTGTCTACCAAGTTTGTTCAAATAAAAGCCCTGGGGTCAAAATTGGCCCCGCCCCAGGGGGTCATTGATTTTCCCTATATGCATATAGTAAAAACTTAAAAAATCTTCTTTTAAAGAACCCAAAGAGCTAGAGCTAAGATATTTAGCATGAAACATCTTCTAATGAGTGTCTACCAAGTTTGTTCAAATAAAAGCCCTGGGGTCAAAATTGGCCCCGCCCCAGGGGGTCATTGATTTTCCCTATATGCATATAGTAAAAACTTAAAAATTTTCTTTTAAAGAATTATAAGAGCTAGAGCTAAGATATTTAGCATGAAACATGTTCTAATGGGTGTCTACCAAGTTTGTTCAAATAAAAGCCCTGGGGTCAAAATTGGCCCCGCCCCAGGGGGTCATTCATTTTCCTAATATGTGTATAGCAAAAACTTAAAAAATCTTCTTTGAAAAAAAACCCAAATAGCTAGAGTTTAGATATTAAGCATGAAACATATTCTAGTAAGTGTCTACAAAGTTTGTTCAGATAAAAGCCCTGGGGTCAAAATTGGCCCCGCCCCTGGGGTCATTGATTTTCTTTATATGTGTATAGCAAAAACTTAAAAATCTTCTTTAAAAAACCCTAAAAGCTAGAGTTTAGATATTAAGCATGAAACATCTTCAAGTAAGTGTCTACAAAGTTTGTTCAAATTAAAGCCCTGGGAACAAAACTGGCCCCGCCCCAGGGGTGTCATTGTTTTTAACTATATGTGTACAGTAAAAACTTTAAAAATCTTCTTTTAAAAAACCCAATGAGCTAGAGCTTAGATGTTTAGCATGAAACATCTTCTTATGGGTGTCTACCAAGTTTGTTCAAATAAAAGCCCTTGGCCCTGCCGGGGGGGGGGGGGGAGAAGGAGGGAAGGGGGAGATCATTGTTTTTCATTATATGTGTGTAGTAAAAACTTAACATCATGAAACATCTTCTAATGGGTGTCTTCCAAGTTTGTTCCAATAAAAGCCCTGGGGTTTAAACTGGCCCCACTCCGGGGGCCTGTATACAGGTGAGCGACCTCAGGGCCATCATGGCCCTCTTGTTGTTTGTAAGAACATTTTAGTCAACATGTTATTAATGAACAGCTGTTTCACTTAGTATTACTACCCACTAACACAGACACAAACTCATCACATAAGGTAGCAATATAACAGCCATTACAATCACTGATCTTTTGTTAAGTCCATACGGTTATTACCAATAACCAAATTTTGTATATCCGAAATTGTGTTCATTTATTTCAAAAGGTCAATTGTTAACATTTGTAAAGCTCACAATTGAAGTTGAAGTAAATTGTTAAAAAAAAATCAAGTTACTGACTTTGTTGATCATTTGCGAACTAAAAATACTTTTTGGCAGTTGTAAACTTGTAAATATCCAAAACCTTTTTTCTTAAGACAGAACATGTGATGTAAAGACGTAGCTAAAATATTTACGAATCAGACTGAGATGACTTTTTGAAAGCAGACATGCAATTGAGACCGAGTTTAGACCGTACCTAACAATTGGTAGATGGCAACGACATTTAATTGATATGCATATTAGGCTATCCCAAACATTCATTCTGATGATTTTACTTTGCGTGAATGTACCCCATGCTTACAATTTTTATGTATGCATGTAGATTTTTTTGCAGTGTAGTGTGTGAATGGGCAAGCTGGCTTGATAAAAAACAATGATTAGAATTTTTTTAAATTTTGTTATGTTTAAAAAATGCAGCAGATACGAAACAAAAAGATTGAAATGCAAACTATATCAATTTGCCGAGCATTAAAGTTTGGTTTATACAGAATTTATTTTAGTTTGATTGTGCAGGAAGCTATAAGCTTATAAACACACTTTCGAATCCGTTCCTGGAACCAACCAGTACTGAGCAATGAGTGTAAAGTTTCTTGCTCAAGGAAACAACGACTTGCCCCTGTCAGGGTTTGAACCTATGAGGCTAGCGATCATTAGATTACTAGTCCGAAGCGTTAACCACTTGGCCATGCCGCCACTTATAGCATTAAAGTTTGTAATGTTATCACTGTAAATAGCTACTCCAAGTCAGTATCTACATGCAGTCTGACTAGAGTATTTTACTGCTGCCTAACTTGTTTATTTTAGCACTTTGTTTCATAAATCATTTATTGACAGTTCTAGATCAAAAGCATGGCAAGTCTATTTCTTATATTTAGCAGTGTCATACCCAGCAAAAGTAAAATTAAATCATAAAAAATTGCTGTACTTGTTACATGATATAAGATATGTATAATTACAGGTGAGAGAATATGAGTATGATCTGATATTGAACCCAGACATCAACACAAATCACCATCATCAATGGTTCTATTTTGAGGTATCTAATATGGTAGCTGACAGACCATACAGGTTTAATATTGTCAACTGTGAGAAATTGAACAGCCAGTTCAACTTTGGTATGTATACTTCCTATTAAATAAAAACGACTTTATTTGAGAAATATAGTTAATTGTAGAGTAGTAATTGTATATTTTATCTGAACTGTGTGATTTTCATTCCAAATTACTTATACAAAATGGAATATGTGCAAAAATTAAAAAATAACTACAGTGTATGAGCAAAGTTTGAAAATTCTAATACTAACATAACAAAGTTTTAAAAAATGGCCATTTTTGCAGTTTTATTAATACTAAGCTTAACAATTTGAAGAATATGGTAAGATTTCCTTCTTTTACAGAATTTGCATCCACTTTGCTCATATCACTGTTCTTGCATTTAACTTGGGAATACTTGAAAGACATAACTATTTGAAAATGCTATGCCCCATGTTTGAATTACAAGTTTGGTTAAGGTTTTCCTGTTGCATCTTTTTCCTCTGAAGCTTATTAAGTATTTGTTTGAAACTTTAAACACTTGTTTATTGGCATCACTTTTAGAAAGTGCATATAGTGTTTAGAAACAATTCATTTGCCTTTTTAAATTCAGATTTTTTCACGGTATTGCATTAATTTCCGATACTTAAAATGTCGGGAATAATTTATACAATATTTTGGGGGCAATTTGTTACTGTCTAAAGGTCAGAAACATATTTTAGGCACTAGTCCTGGACAATTTTTAGCCTTTGAAAAAGGTTTCAACCCTTATACATGTACCATTATTTGTTTACTTTCAGGAATGAAACCACTGTTGTTTTCTGTAATGGAAGCTATGGAAAATCGGCCATATTGGGTGAGAACTGGGACAGATATCTGTTACTATAGAAACCATTTTACACGCAGTGCCCAGGCAACAGGAGGGGTGAAAGGAAAGACATATTACACTACAACATTTACTGTTACATTCAAACATAGTAAAGACGTCTGCTACATGGCCTATCATTATCCGTACACTTTTGCAACTCTTCAGGTAAATCTATCTGCATTTGTAATTAGAGCTATTTCACCTTATATACAATGTAGCTAGGTTTTCTTTAAATTTACCCATTGGCAGACTTATTTCTGAATTGTTTGTAGATTATACTGATTTATTTTAGTTTGATTGTGTTGGAAGCTATAAGCTTATTGAAACACTCTTGAATCCATTCCTTGAACCAATCAGCACTAAGCAATGAGTGTAAAGTTTATTGCTAAAGGAAACATTGACTTGCCCCTGATGGGGTTTAATCCCACCCAGCTAGCAATCTTTAGATTTCTAGTCTGATGTGTTAACCACTCAGCCATGCTGCCACTTACTGAATTAATTTTGATTAATGGAGAAGCACCTTGTATTTTAAACCAGTACAACTTAAAATCTTTCCATGAAAAACAGTCTCTGTATGTCTTATTATCAACAGTGTAAAAAATTGATGATATTTAAAACATTTCTATTATCAGAAAAATTATCCACTTTCTATATTAAGGTTAATTAATATGACAATGTGTAATTGTGATGTTGTTTTGAATGTTTTCTATTATCAGATGCATCTAGTCCATTGGGAACAGGCCGTGGATTGTGAGCAGGTGTTTTTCAGGCAACAAACCTTTTGTGAGACAATGTCCGGTAATCCGGTTTCGGTGCTTACTATAACTGCCAGACCTAAATCTGAAACTCGAGAGGGTATTGAAGAATTTAGTAAGTATATAACAATTCCTTCATATAATTATTTGCTCTCATTCTTTGCTGGATTTGATCTTGTATGCTAGTGAGGGCAAATCATCAGTGATTATAATTATAGTGATATATATAGTGATTATTGGTAATTGAATGTGTTCAGAAAATTCTTATATCCAAATGAATAGCTGGCTGACTTAATATCCATCATTTCCCTCTCCAGGAAAGTACTTCAAGTCGAATCTCAAATCATACCATTGAAGATACTTGCATTACTGTAATGCTTGCTGTAGTAGCAAGCCCTAGCTCTTATAGCTTGCTAATAGTTTTTTTTTATTTTCATAAACAGGAAGCAGACCATATATATTTCTGTCTAGCAGAGTTCATCCAGGGGAGAGTAACTCTAGCTGGGTTATGAAAGGTAAGAATAGACACAATGTTCTTTCCCTTTGTTTGATGAATTTTACAATAATATCTGAAATAATGCTGATGATGGTGCTGATGATGATGATTTTGATGATGATTATGATGATGACTAGGAAATGTACGTTCAGTTGCATAACAGGGGTACCTGAGGTCGTCCTCCCACAGTAAAGCTGGAATATCAAAATAGAAAATGACACCTTGGAAGTGTCAAAAGTTTGTTATGATATAGAAGATAGAAAAATTAAATGTTCTTGATTATTTTGTCAAGTTTAACCATAGATTTATGTACTTTAAGTTACTACTTTCATGTTAGTTTCTCATTTGACTTTGTACTTTTCAAAATGTTTAACAGCTCGTTATTTGAGATATTATGGTGATTTATCACATAAACCGCGGCGCAGGAGTGTAATAAAGCCATTTAATAAAAACGATATTACACTAGACGATATTACACTAGTGTAATAACACTTTGACGTCACGTCATTTGCGCTATAAACATAGCGTTAAAGCCCGCTAATGTTAGCGTGACACTATAGGCGCGTCAAAGAAAAATTACTCTTGATAACAGTTTACCGTTCTTATTTTATATATGTGATAAATACAATATTATATTTGTGTAGATTCAATACTAAATTTATTGAACTCGTTGAATAAAACAATATTATGCTCGCCAGAGGCTCGCATAATATGATTTTATTCAACTCGTTCAATAAATTTAGTATTAAACCTACACTCATTCAATACCCTCTATATAACAATGGACATAATACTTTTTTCAAGGTGATATGTGTGATATATTGTAGGCACTATAGATTTCTTGTTAAGCAGAAGGCCAGCAGCCTACAGACTACGCGAAATGTTCATATTTAAAATTGTTCCTATGCTCAACCCAGATGGTGTTCTCAATGGAAAGTAAGTTCATTTGGTTGTTTTGATATTTTTTTGTTCAAATGAATTTTTACATTTTATTTGCAGGTAAAATTGTTTGTAAATTCTTTTTGACGTTTCAGTTCATGTGTTTCCAATGTATGAAACATGTAAGAACTTGCAGTAATTTGGACAGTATTACACTGTCAAAGAATTCTAATTTTAAGGCTTAAAACTTCTTATGTATCAGTTTGTTTTGTAACTAGATGTTTATCATTTGTATGTGTTTGCTTAAATTATGCTTCATTTGTACATATTTCTAGTGACTTCAGATCTTTTGGCATCTTTTGGCATTTTATATAATACTTTCTTTAAACATACTAGACTTTGAACACTAAAAAAATTACTTCTAATTTGTCCTATGATCTACATAATGTGACAAGAAATTGTTTCTGTAATGAAAACATATGTATCTTTGTTTTCAGTCATCGTTGTTCACTGGCAGGCGAGGATTTAAACCGTCGCTGGGACAATCCCTGTCCTAAACTACATCCTACCATATATCACACCAAGGGCCTTTTACAATACCTACAGATGATCAACAAAACACCTCTGGTAGGTTTTTACATGTCATGGTTTACATTGTGTGCATTAGTTTCATGGTGATATATTAATTTTTACAATGTTATATGTTTAATATTATTCCACTTTGGTATTTGAATAATTTTGGCTTTGTATGTAAATTGACATTTGATATACAATGATTTATTTTTGTGCATTTTCCAGAAAAATGCCTTCATGTAGATTAGAGAAGCATTTATTGTTCTGCACAGGTAGAATTAATTGTTAGGTAGAATTAATTGTTATGCTGTGCAGAATTCAAAGTGGCTTACTGCCATGATCTGGCAGGTAAACCACCACTACTGCTATTGATTTCTTATAACTTATGTTAAATGGTCAATAAGTTGACATAGATACTAGACATTGTTATTCACATCAATAATGTCATGTTTACAGGTATATTGTGACTATCATGGTCACTCAAGGAGGAAGAATATATTTATATATGGCTGCAGTGCAGCGATGTCATGGATTGTCAATGATACCAACAACCCTGGATCTACAGGAAACAAGATAGAAGATAATGGCTTCAAAGTAAGATAATACTGTCTAAACATGCAAGTCTATTCTATATCAAAATACAGATATATACAATATTAAAAGAATAAATGTTTTCGTACATTTGATAGTTGTTGCTTTTGTTGTTTTCCTATGCAATGCTTTAGTAATATGGTTTGCCAAAAAATTCACACAAAAAATGAAATATCAATCATTCTATTATCTAACACACTTCGCACTATTTCCATATCAAACAGATTATGAGATAGGAAAATCAAGTGCATTATTACATGGTATCTAATTTTTCTTGCATAATACTAGTATAATAATGCATGGTCTATCATTCAAATGCTTTTTAATTAATCACTGAGGCCTGTCAGCCTTATATTCCTGCATTATTCTACAACAATGCACTCAAAATTGATATCTATTTCCTAATTACACATTGCTGAGGCTCACATGGAAGATTGGGAAACCAAATGTTAAAGCCTCATTAGACGAATTGAGTTTGTTAACCTCGATAAATTTCTAAGGTTTATGGCTTAGAATACACTTTGTTGTGTTGAAGTGGCTTTTCTTTTAATAAACTGGTTTTAAAATTTCATATGAAATGTCTTTAATTTCAGACACTGCCAAGAGTGTTAGACTGTATAGCTCCACAGTTCTCTCTGGCAAACTGTAGTTTTCTTGTGGAGAAGACCAAGGAGGCTACAGGACGTGTTGTGGTGTGGCGACAGATTGGTGTCAATAGAAGTTACACTATGGAGAGTACATACTGTGGTATGGATAGAGAGGGGAAATACAAGGTAACTTAATTACAGATTAAAGTCATCAAATACAGTATATTGTGTAATATTTACATATTTAAAGATCATAGGTAACAATGAACAGTAGAGTGTGTATTTACAGCAAGGGACATACTAAAATACAAAACAAAATATAAACAGCAGAAATTCTGATAATTGCCAATCAGCTTGTATGGCTGTTTGGCGGGTGTTGATTAAATAGCTATGTGTGTTATTACAGTCTTTGTGTGTGTTCTTATGTATGAGACTATATGCTTTAATTGTTATCATTTTTATTGCCATAGTTTTATTTGAAAATAAACAGAATACATTTTGTTTGAAATCTTTAGAGACTCTGTCACATGATAATTACATGTATTATCTTTCCTGTAAACTGATTTATTTATTGCCCTTTGTTACGTCTTTCGTAACTCACTTGTTAACATTGACAGCTCAAATTGTGTCATTAAATTGAGACAATACACAGGTGGAAATCCCGATGTCGCAAGTTATTTTTATAAGACCTTCCAGCTTTGACTTACAGAAGTTCTACTGGAGAATAAGTTTTGCAATGTCAATGATTATTATAAGTCTCATTTTATTCATTTTTTTAATGAAACAGAAGATAATCCATGGTAGTCTGAAGAATATGAAATGAAAAAATTGTATTTAAAAAAACATCAACTTATTTCTTAAATATTTCAGGATCAGCATATTTCTACATGGCATTTAGAAGAAATGGGTCACAAGTTTTGTGAAGCATTGTTAAGGCTTGGACGGGGTAGGACCTCATATAATGCAAATTCTGCCATGCCTTCAGAAACCACATTAGAACAACTTGGTGCTTATGGAAATCCGCAAGATTACATGTAAGTTTTCATAATTTATATTTTTTGTAAATGTTATTCCTGTTATTACTTTATTTAAACATTGTGTATTTAAAAGTTTGTTAACTTTGTTTCCCTCAAATACTACATAAGTAATTCTAAGTTAAAAATGCAACACTTTAAGTGTGTTGCTTGTTCTTTCTGTTTATGCTGTCTTGTATCAGTGTATAGTTTTGAACTTCATGTTAGAGGCAAATGGGATCTTTTTTGGTATGTTTGCTTCTTTGAGAGCTGGCATTAACTTTGCATATTGTAGTGGTTAAGTTAAAAGAGATGCTGTTTGTGAGGTCTTTGCCATGGAATCAGTTGCTCTCTAATGTTATGTAGAATTGTCTTTGGAAGTAGCTACCCAACTAGTTTACAGAACCCTGATATCTTATAATTATTCATACAGTACATTGTAAAATAACCTTTATTGCATAATTAAATTCATTTAATTCTTAAATAAGAATAAGAAAGAAAATATATATCAGTACTATATATGTTATATATTAGCAGTGTATGTTTTATATTACAGGGATGACGTACCTGCCAATCTCCATTCTATAGAGGAAGAAGATAAAGATTATTGTGATCTGTTAGCTGATGATGAGTCATCATCATGTATTGATACCCCGGATGATGATGATTATGATGAAGATATGTAAATCATCACTGACTTAATAATGGTGATGATGAGTATAGTTACAGTGATGATGAAGATAATGGGAAACCATCACCTTAAAGAAGTCAATCAATGATAATGATGATCGCTTTGGTCACATTGATGATGATGATTAGGATGATGATGATGATAATGATGATGACTTAATATATAATTAATTAAAGTGACAGTTTGCTCTTTCTTTCATTGTCAAGTTGAGTTAAATTAGTAATATATTTGAAAAGAATGGCTATTATAATAGTGATTGACAAATAATGAAAGGCGAAATATGTTTTAGGAAACAATATAGAAACTACCTGAATTATAAAAAGACTGGCACACTTTTTTTAAGATTTGAACATAAGTGATAAATTGTGAACTATATTTTAGGAATTTCTGTTGGTGACGTGGGTTATTGTTTCTTTTTACATAGTCGGATATAAAATTATTTTTATTTTTACCTGTTCACTGACCATTTACCCTTGAATTGGAATTATGTCCCTTTATTAAGGATGATGATATATAAACTGATATATTATAAGTTATGGTTAGGATAAAACACTTTCATATTTTATCAACACAACATCAAAGTCATCAAAATACAAATTACTGAATTATTAAATGAATTTATGTTTTGTTGAGTTAAAAAGCTTTGGAATGAAAAAGCATTTAGCTTCAGTTATTTGTTAAAGTTGCAAATTGTTGATCAATGAAATGTTGTTTTTTTATTTTAATTTATCAATGTGCTATGTAAATGTTATGTTTATAATTGTGGTCCAACTTTAAGAGACCTTAACCTTTACAAATTTCATAAGAACAGTCCTGTGATGAAAATCAGCAATTTTCTTGAAATTAAATGTTCTTTACTTCTTTTTGAATGCATTGATTTCTTCAATTTTAGCTAAATGGTATTCACTGAAATTGCTTAAACATGCCTTAGCTGATAAATATTTTTGTGGTATTTTCTTCAGTAATCCAAATTAAAAAATTATCATGTAACTTTATAATGGCAATTATGATGACGATGTATATAAGTGCCAATTTTAATAACATTTAAAAGAAAAAAATTCCTAATTTAATAAAAGATAAATAAGAACAAGAAGAAAAACCATTCTAACGTTCATGTAAATATGAAATATTTAATTTCAACATAACTTGCTGATTGACTATACAGAATGAAGATGTGTTAACTCTCACACTGCATATACAGTCTGTGTAGTTGGTTGTGGTCTGCACTGTTGGCTATTTATTAAGCACTTATTTTGAAACATTCCCTATAGATGACAAACCTATTTGTCTTGATTGAATGATGGACAAGTTGATTTGACATATTTAATGGAGTGAGGGTTAAGGTCCATGTTTTGCTTACCTGTGATAAGTTTATTAACTCTGTGGTATGTTCAGTTTTGATTAAAAAGCTGGAAGCAAAATTTCTGTGTTATATACTTGTACATGATCATACACAGCTTTTTGTATTTTATTTTTTTAAATTTATTTTGTTTCCTGTATATTTGTACATTTAAATTCATTCAATTGAAGTGTCTGTACATATAGATTGCCAATCATTTTGTTACGGTATGTGCTCGAGTTTTTTTTTTTTAAAGTTTTTATTTTCAAAACTACTGCTGCTGCTTTGTTTGTTAGATTACCATATTTGTGGTAAACAAGTCACATGTGATTGACTCTAGTTTTGAGCATTTTAGGGAGTAACCTTTATAATATGATATCATTGTATTGTGTTGTGACAGAGAGTGTTCAATAGTTTGTACAGAATTTATTTAAGTTTGATTGTGTAGGAAGATAGAAATATATAGACACACTCAAATCTATTCCAAAGAGTGTAATGTTTCTTGCTCAAGGAAACAATGACTTGCTTGTAATTGGGTTTTTAATAGTCTGATGGGTTAACCACTTTGTCATTAAGCCCCTCTATACAGCCGGGGAGTATTAAGGTTGTAGTCAGTAAGATTTTTCAATAATTGCTTTTTAGTTGGATGTTTTTAACAATTAATAGTACTTAAAGTTGGAGGCAAAAATAAACAGTATCAGTTTGTTTAAAAAATATATTAACTTTAGAAATATAATTATATAATCAGTGTAATATCATTTTAAAATATTCTTTATTTTTATAAGTAAATATTATAAGTATATATTGCATTGAAATTTCATAGGTTCACATATATATGTATATGAAACATGTTTGTTACTTGTTGAATGAACTAAATCTTTATATTTGGAAGTTGCATTAATTCTCATATCATTTACTTATTGTTTTATTGTTAAAAAAGTGTTCATGTTTGTTTGTAGTCTAGCTTTTGTTCAGTATTTTAGAAATTTATTTATGTTTTATTGATAAGTATATGAAATAATTGTAAAATGGCTAGGAAGTGATAACCATTGTGAAACTAGTGCCTTAGAAAATATTACGTTAGAATATATTGAAACTTAGATTATTAGTACTTGCACTTTACAAGGTTAAGAAAATTGCATTTTTCTGATGGTTGTCGGCCAAACCTTAAGTTCATTTTTGTCTGACTGTAAATTTATTACATATAAAAAGGCACTTAGATTAAAACAATAGAGAGTTGTAAATGTAGATAGGGAGTTACAATTTGCTGTTTAAGACATGCAACCAGATATACATGTATATCTTTGGCAAGGCACTTGGGCATTAAATATGATTCCGACAGTATCATTTAATATAAGTTTTATCGATAGTTACTTATACCGTATTTCAAATTATTTCTGTGTAGGTTAGGATGTGGACTTTAATTGATGTTTTTGGTTATATTGAGATTGAATTATGTAATTAAGTTTTACTTAATATATTCATATGTTTATAATTTTTTTTTGGAAAAGAATATGATTAGGTACAGCTTGTATTTTTATAGAATGTCTTGAATAGTATTTATCTAAATGTTCAAGATCCCAGTATCTTTTAATGTGTTACTTACAGAACAGTGTCAGTATTTTTGATAAGCTTAGATATCTAGTCATAGAAGAATGTATAGTTCCATATTTATGACTGATTTGATGAAATGTATCTTTTTTATTAGTGTCTGCACATACAGAATTATAACATGGTTTGCTTTGTTAATTGTCAAAGTAAAATATGTGTAATTATTTATCATCTTGAAATAGGAATAAATAATGTAGACAGAAAAATGTAATAGATTAGATACAAATTTACAACAAATGCATTATGGGAAATTCAACTTAACACTTTTATGTATTTTGACTCTGGATTTTGAAGGTTCAATTTTTAGCACAAATATTTGAGGAATAGGGAGAGCTATTGTACTCACCAAGGCATTTGTGTGAGTGTCTGCTTCGGCATTACACTTTGCTTAAGTTTTTGTGTGCTAGTCGGTATCCCCAAATTTACTGAAGGGAAATGGGTTGATTTTGAGCGTATAATAGGTTACTATCTAAGGCCTCTAACTCTTAAATGGATTTTGACAGAATTATGACCCTTTTTGAACTTTGACAATTTAACAATTGTGTTTTTTTTTTGCTCTTTTTTTTACTATGATGCACTGTGAAAAGTCGAGCACGCTGTCCTACCAACAGCTGTTTTAGGGATTAAAGAGCTGAAATAATAAAGCATATTCTTTGAAAGCAGATGTATACACAACATATTTACAGTTTTAAAGGGTGCCATTTGAATTATTAGTAAATTTTAACATAGCTATAAACCATAAACAAAATATACAGGGCAAGAGCTTGAGAAAGTGATTTCTAGTATAAAAAAGCCTACTCAATATTTTCATATAACACTGCATTTTATCATTTCACATCAATAGGTGCACTTTTCATATCTTTTTTCAGAGATTTTGTATATATAATGTGAAGATTTTATTGCATTATTGTTTTTGATTTTTGCTCTGGGACATTATTTGTGTTTTACAGGTTGTTTAATTTTATATGCCAGTTTTATAAGAAAAGGGGACAAATTTAATTAACATATGTTATTATATATTTTTTCAAATAGACTTTGGTTTATACTTATCAGTGTTTAAAAGGTTGAAAGAATAAAGTAAAATATGTATAGGATATTCATACAGTTGTCATTTTATATATACTTGAATTAAACAGGTTTTAGAAAGTAATGGACATTCATAACTTATCATAGATGAGTTTGACCTTGAACCTGTTGAATTTTCTGAAATGGACTTGTCAAGCTTCCATTTTTAGACTTTCCCTTTATCTACTTTGTGAATTTCAAAAATGAAAGTGTGACGTCAGTCCACCAACAGTATAGATCCTGGTAAGACTGCATGGACATGTAAGCTGGCCTGGCTGTATACTGGTTGCTATGGTTTCAACAGGTTATTTGTAAATATCGGTAAATGATTAAAAGTTTATATTTGATGACAGCCTGTGTAGGTTATCATATGATATTATATAGCCATAAAATGTTTTAGAAAAATGTAAATTTTTAGTGTAATATGAAGAAATACTTCCTGGTTATATACCAGTAAACAAGAATTAACAAGCCACATCATATGATAAAGAATATTTGAGATATCATGTAAAGTCAGTTTGACAGAAAATGTTCCTATTATTGAACATTCTTTCATTCTAAAACCAGAAACGTTTGTTACTGAAAATGTTTATGGACATTGATGAGTATAAACCAAATTATTGTTAAGCCTGAAAATGAATTAATATGGTTATTTTAAAGTTGAATCATATAACCAGTATTTATCATTGTGAAATGAAAAATATAATGTGCCTACAGTATGATGTAGTTATAAACTCTTTGTTATCTGAAACATAACATAACATCTGAAACATAACAGCCATAATGAAGATTTTTATTTTCCCAGAATTGTCTTTTGGTTTGTTTAGTGTTTTAAAGATGCTTAATGTTGTTTAAGCTAAGTTATACTAACAATAAGATTTTTTAACAAGTTTCAAGGGTTGTTAAGCTTTTATACTAAAAAAGATTAATTCACAATTGAAATTATTGTCTCATCAAAAGTCTACAAGAGAATAAAGTTATAAATGAAACTGCAATAAGGGTGTTTTGATTAATTTTGCTGGATTATAGGAAAACACATAACATTTAGTTATGGAAACTTTGTTAATGTCGAAAATGAAATTCAAAGCTATGTCAGCAAATTACAAGAAAGTGATACGAAATAGTAAACAAACTTTTTGATATTAAAACGTTTAAAGTAAATTTTGATGTTTCCGTTTAAAATAAAATCTGCCACAACTGACTGATGGAGCATTTGCCGTTTGAAATTGTTGAAGTTTTAAGCTTTTGATTGCATTTAGCATATGATTTATGTTCAGGCTTTGCATACATTTACATGTTTTAATCTGTGATATGTTATTTTTTAAATAATTTAGCTAGACATAGAGTTATAGAGGCATTTGGCCAGTTGTCCAACATAATCCAATACATTTTTAGCTCGACTTTTCTATGAAAAGGGGAGCTATCCTACTCGCCCCGGCGTCGGCGTCGGCGTTGGCGTCACACCTTGGTTAAGTTTTTCGTACCACCCCACTTTATTTCAGAAGTATTACAAGTATGGCTTTGAAACTTACCATACTTGTTCACCATCATAACCTCCATCTACAGACAAGAGTACATAACTCTGTCAAGGTTTTTGACAGAATTATGGCCCTTTTTTGACTTAGAAAGTGTATTGAGCTTGGTTAAGTTTTTTGTACCACCTCACTTTATTTCAAAACCATTGGAGGTATTGCTTTGAAACTGACCATACTTGTTTACCATCACGACCTTCATCAACAGACAAGAGGACATAACTCTGTCAAGGTTTTTGACAGAATTATGCCCCTTTTTGACTTAGAAAATACATTGAATATGGGTAAAATCCACTTATTGCCTTAACCCTTTGAGATATTGCTTTAAAACTTTTAATGCTATTACACATCATTACCCCCATCTGTACGCAAGAGAAGGTAACTCTGTCAAGGATTTGTTTTAAAAATTAAGGCCTTTTATCGACTTAGAATCTAAAAAAGCTTGATAAAATTTATCTATTACTTGTATTATAAGGTAACTATAATACTTTCACATACAAAGTCAAATCTATATATTATGCTGATTGTACAAAAATATACTGCTTCCTTGGCATAGATTTCTTGAAAAATTATGTTATTATGTCATTTACCAAGGTGTTCTGAGTGACGTAAAAATACCTTATTCTCTCAAAGTGGGTTTAATACTATTAAATTTATTTAAGGCTCAACTCAGTTTTTTTTTCTTTCTTACCAGCCCTCTTTTGACTTAAACATTTCAAACTTTGCTGCAGTGTTCAAGGGTATCACACAATTCAGTAAAATAATTCTTCACTAAATATCTTAATGCTCATGGCCATTGTTCACTTTAAAAATACAGAGATTCTTGTATTGCCTTTTACTGCAAAAACTTTTTTTATTGGCAAGCAATAAAAAAGTCGAGCGCGCTGTCTTACGGACAGCTCTTGTTAAAGTTTGTTATGTTCAACATAATTTGGTACCATTGAGACTGTTGTATTAAGCGACCATATTTGGCGTTTCCCTTCCGTGGTCGCTTATTACAAGTTTGTAGTTTTAAAGAATACCATCACTAGAATCAACTCCAAGGCTGCTAGTATATAACCTTTGTCTAGCTTATAAACGTTTTAATTCCTTATATTACATTTATTTGCATAGTTTTCTCCCTTTGTGTAAAGAAATATTAATGTACAGTAAAGGGTATAAAGAGAAACAAGCCAATACAGAATATATACCAGTTTCTGATTTGCACACAGGGAACCGTAGTTGTAATATTGTAGTTTAGCTGATTTTCCCTTGTTTAGCATGATATGCTGTATTGAATGCATTAGATTTTAATAAAGAAAAAAAGCATTTATATATTTATCTTCATTTTTATACACCTTAAAAATATTATAAACTACTATTGCTAAGCACCATTATTTGAGTGTGAATATTTTTTTGGATAATTTTATTTACAGCAAACGAAAGGTTTTAAATGTTGATTTTCAATTTTATCAATTCAGCTGAAGGACAAATCTTACACTATAAATGACTTTTACACTGATTTTGTGCTAGAGAAGAGGATGACCCCCCTCTTTGAAGATTTTTAGAACATGAGGCGTGCTTTCCAAATTTTGATTGAAGTCCGATGAGCGAGCTGGCCAGTTCATGCGCTCAATAGATTCCCGTTCGACCACCCTGGCCCTATGGGGGCGAGTATTTTCGTTCATTAGAATGAACTGATTGCCGACTGCTCCAGTATACAACCTAATCTGTTTGTCTAAGATGTCGTCTATGTATCGCTGACCTGTCAATTTAGAACAACAAGGTCGGTCCGTCCATCTCAGCTTATGCCTCCCGACACCATAACTGACCCACCTCCGTAGCGGTCATGCTCAGCAATATTTGCAGCCTGAAACCGTCCACCTCGTCTTCTCCAGACTCTAGCTCACCTATCTGTGAAGTCTAGGCAGTGTTGTATGGTCCACCGTGTATACTATACGGTCCGTACTGGCGAAAGGTGTCTCCTGCTGCACCATCACTACAGCCCTCCATTACTTTGCTTGTCTCAAATGCCGCCTAATGTTAGCATTCGCCATATCGAAGTGACAGCTGTTAGAAATGTAAGCCACTGAATGGCAATAAGCCTTACTTGACAAGACCTCTGCAACAGTGATTTGAATTATTTCCCTTGGGTCAACATTGACCAAACTCTGACGGTCACTTGATCTATATAAACATGTATAGAAAAACAAGTTTTATTTTTAATGCAAAGAGCTTAGATATTTGGCATGTAGCAATGTATTGTGGTCATCTACAAAGACATCTACAAAACTGATATTAATCATGCCCCTTGGTCAATATTTGCCCCGCCCTGGGGGTCACTTAGCTAAGCTTGACCTATATAGAAAAAACGCATTTAAGTCTTATTGTGCAAACCACAATGTCAACAGATTAGATATTTGGCATGTAGCAATGTCTTGTAGTCATCTACATAAATGATATTAAGTATGCCCCTTGGATCAATATTTCCCCCACCCTGGGGTCACTTGATTCATATAGACTTCTATAGGAAAACATAATTAAGTATTATTGTGTAAAACTACAACGCACAGCTAAGTTATTTTTGTATGTAGCATATCTTAATTGACCTCTTTAATAGCTAAGTAAATCATTACCCTGGGGTACAAAATGGCCCCATCTTGGTCACTTAGTTCATATTGACTTATAAACATATCTTTAATGTATTTACTCCTTAATCCTTAATATTTTGCTTGTAGCATCAATTTGTAGTCTTCGGCAAAAATTGTATTAACCATGACCCTATGCTCATGGGGAACACATGCCTTATATAGAGTGATATGTAAAAAACATCAAACACCAAAATGTTTTGTGGAAAACGTATATGCTTGGCATGTAGCAATGCTTAGTAGATCTCTACAAAGTTCTATGAATCATGCACCTGAGGTCAAAGTATTGTAAGGATAATTAAGATAAAACATTTTTCAGTGAAGAATTAAAGGTTTAAATTGAATTTTACGATGCGCTTGACACATTTAGAACTGCTAAAATTTGTAAAGAAATAATAATAGCATAATGAACCCATTTAGTTTTTGAATTGTCTCACATATGTTCCCATGGAATTTGCCGCTGAATATAAGCTATGCTATTGCAAGTTAGTGTTTTCAAAAGATATTTAGATAATTAAGCAGTTAACATAAGAAACAAATACAAATATTTGCAGTTTTGGCTATCTCTATTTTTGTAGCATATGTTTAGCAAATCATTTTTACTGCATAATTCCGAAGAATCAGTACTCTGGCAAGCGCCAGATAATAAGTATCACAACTAGCGTCCAAAGAGTCAGTATCGCCGTCAGCGTTCAAGCGTCTAAAGGATCAGTTGACCTACTTGCTGCTAGTGTTTAAAGATTCAGTTTCGCCAAAAGTAAGTTTTGCCAAATATTCAGTACCGCCGCAAGCACCTTTAGACTCGGCATCACAAATGGCGCCGAGGAATCAGTCACTATTGCCGTTTCGTCAAAAGAAAATGTATTGCTGCTAACAACCGAAGAGGTAGCATCTCCGCTTCCTTTGAAATAGTTAGTATCATAGCTAGCGTCTTAAGAATAAGTAGGCCAATTTTCACTTATGTCTAAAGAGCCAGTACTGCTTATTGCGCCCAAAAGAATCACTATCGCATTTACTGCCGTCGAACGGGTCAGTATTGCTGCACGTGTCTTATGGCCACAAGCGGTCAAAGAGTCAGTATCTAATCTAACATCCGAAGAAAAGCAAGACCTATACTAGTTTAGCGTCCATAAAGTTGATATTGCTGATTGCAACGACAGAGGCAGTATTGCCCCAAGCGACCTAAGAAACATTATCTGAGCTAACGTCCGAAGAATTTGAATGCCCATTCGCTAGCATCCAAGGTATCAGTATTACAGGTGCTGTCAATAAAACCAGAACTGCCGCTTGCGAATTTGGATTCAGAATCGGATTTAGCGTCCAGTGCCATATTATTCTGTATCAATACTAGACGTCGAATGAATCAATACTGTCGCTAGTACCCAAAGAGTATCTCAAACTAGCGATCAAAGATTAAATAACTCCACTTTCGTCCAGATTAAATTTACTTTAGTTACTAATTAAAGTTTAAGTGTAAAACAAACGGAATTATTTGTTTTGATCATTTATTATCATTATAGTATAGTTAAAAAGTATACTACTAATCACAGATAACTTTAGGACGGAACAGATATTTTATGTACATAAGAAATCATGATTACAATTTCTGATTATTTTGGCAGTATTTGGAAGATTATATAAGACATGTGAGTAGAAATCAGTTCTGAACAATAAACACATTTCTAGATAGAGAGCCTTGCACTCCATTTGAAATTATTAGCACGACATTTAACTAGGAATTATTTGTCAAAAAAGCTTTTGTTGTTGGGCACATATTTCATTTTAAAGGAACTCCACCAAGGTACAAAAGTATCAGAAATGAAATTTGAGATTCTTATATACATGTAGATTAGCTGGGGCACTTTAATCAGAAAGATATTTAAAAGAAATATTAAGAAATAATACAGGAATAAACTAAAAAGCGTATGTTTGTGCTATTCTTAGCCCGATTAAATTTTTGGATCATTTTTCATAATTACAATAATTATTCTAGAGAAAGAGAGAGAATGAGAGAATGATCTGAAATTGTATACACAAGTTGTGAGCTTAGATCGACATGAAATGAAACATATATCTCTAAAAATTATTTTCAGTTCAATCATGTCAAAAAAACCTCAGTGGATACCCTTTAAAAGAAAATACTTATATTTATCTTCGTAACCGTAAGATAAACAATGTAAACGTGCCGAAAATACAGGAGTTTTAGACCATGACGACGTCTTAAAGATTTCCTTAATAAACATTGTCTCTAAGAACTTTTCTACTGCTTTGTTTTATGAATGCCGGTAACACACTTTTATACAATGCTTCTAATCTAACTAGACAATAGAACGGAAATTAAGGACATTGACACAAGAATTTTATGCATGCAGTAAATGTTTGTGCACATAGATATACAGAAAAGATGAAATAATAATAATAATAAAAAGGTATTGCAAATAATTACATATTCCTAAATCAGAAAACTATTGCAAATTGAAAAAAATGTTTATCACAAAGAAGGCAGTATGGCAAATATAATAGTATATCACACAGCATTTAATGTGAATATAAAATGATATGTATCCGTTTTACATATGACACTCAATTTTGAGCATTCTCTTGCTCCTCAGATGTCTGTTTGGCTTCCTCAGAATCTATGGCCTTGGTCACATTTCGCAGCTGAAATAAATAGTAAGAAATAACCTAACTTGGCATAAGTGTATGTAGATATTATAGTATTTAATTGATATGGACTAATACTAATTACCATGACGGCCCCATATATTTCTTTTTCGTTTGTTTACGGTGTTTCAGTTAAACAATAAACGGTGGTTCAATCATGGTGCGTAAATACGTATATGCATGCTAGAACACCTGTATTTATCGGCCAGTGAATTATATGAATAGATATATGTGCTCATAAGTATTTTCATTTAAAACAAAAAAAGACAAGTAGTTATACATGGAAAACTAATTATTCACGGAAAGAGAACACAGATTTCTTTTTTATCCAATGTATAACAGGATATTTGAAATTTGTTTTGTCTCCCTTTACTAAGCTCGGTTGTTGTCAAATACTAGTAAAATATTTTAACACGAAATCATAACTGAAAATGTTCATCATAACTTGAATCTTTGATAGATGATAATAGTTGATCAAGTATAATGTCATTTCAAAATTTTCAGAAATATTAAAATCAGAATATATAGATGTACAGGTATACAGAAAACTCAATTTTGGTGTTACTAAGTAATTAGTTTTTAAGGATTTCACATAATTAAATAGTTTTCTTTCTTGAAAAGAAAAAAGAAATATCATTAAAAACGCCCGTGTTAAGGAACGTTATCGGATATTTACCCAGACGTAGAATGTTCCAGCTCCTGCACTGGCAAGTCTAACCTCAACCTCTGTGTGGTCATTTAATGTTTTCTCTACACGATACTTGGTGTCAGGTTGAACATTCACCGTGTCAAATTGTCTCACTCGTCTCAACATCCCACTTTTACCTGTCTTACCCATTAACACCTGTAAATCCTCCCAGTCCTGAAATATATCATCTTTATTATAAATCATAAGTTTTGTACTGAGTGAGTGAGTGCGTGAGTTGGTGAGTGAGTGAATGAGTGATCCACAAGCTATTCATACTAAGCTTATTTCCATACTGCTTTAAACCAATTCTTAATTGAAATACCGGTATATCAGTTAATAGTACAACAAATATTAAATATTCTTAAAGTCATTACCTCAACGTACTCTTCTTTATCTCCAAGCAAAAGAAACGTTGCTTTCATAACATCAAATATAACTTTAGGAGGGTATTTGTAGCTTCTTAACTCTGATATTGTTGGTTGTTTCATTTCGAGAACATCATGCGCGATCTTGTTGAGGTGTCTTAAATGTTCACTGACATCTTCAGCCTCGTTTATTTGCTTTTTTACTTTTTCCCGGAAACGTGATTCTTTCCCGCGCTTTATTGCTTTGTCCAATGTTTGAAGATGACGCCGCATGATAGCATCTTCGAGCTCTGAAAAAAGTGTTGAACGTTGAAACGCAAAGATGATAGATGCAATAATTGTTTTAAGACATTTTTCATGTGATTTATGAAAAATAAGGATTTTCTGACACAGTATAATTATGTACTGTGAAAGTTTTGTCCTTAATATACCGCGATACCTTAAAACAGGCAAAATAATTAAGGGTGATGCTAGTGTCAGTCAGTCCAGGTTAATTTCCGAATGATAATTCCTAAAAAAATGTAAAAAGGTTTTTGTAATAATGAGGTTGGTCAAACCTGCCTTTTCAAACATTGTCTTGTGACATTAAACACTTTTCAACTTACACATTGCTTTCAGTCTTCATTTTGTCATGTACAACACATGCATGGCAAGATCTAAACGGCATTCCATTTACTTTTTTTTATTTAAACACAATCATTTTTTTATCAAGTTAAATTTCTAAGAGATGTAAACAAGATTTAGAATTTAAATACAATGGCATCATAAAGTGGATTGAACTGAAAGCTAAAAGCTTATTGTAATTATCTCCCTTTCATTTAATCTTTATCATTAATATTTAGTTTTCTACATCGCTTTCATGAAAATATATGTACCTTTCTTCACTTTCTTGAGTTCTAAAGCATCTTGTCCAGCTGTCAGGTCACCTTTATCGTCCATATCCATCTTCTCAAACCTCGACAACTGAAGTTCGAGTTCTTCTATGTCTCGAGTACCATTTGACTTTGCCATCGATTGTATACTGTTTCTCGTTCTCTTTTCTATTGGGTTCTTAAAATAAAACAATAACTGTCAAATAGATATTAAAGAATATCTCAATAACTACAAAACGCAACACATTTAGTCATCTGCCATTGCGTTAGATAATGCTTAACTTCATACATTTAGTATTTAATTGATTTTAATGAATTAAGAATAGGTATCCACCATGAAGTTTGAAATATTTGAATTATTTATTACGATCTTCCCTGCCACATTTTAATATTTTGTCAAATGTCCCTTTTTATACTTATAGTCTTACCTCCCAATTTCGAATCCTCTTTTTCTTTCCATGTTCTGAACTGAGCAGATAATTGCAAACGTTCTTGAATTCGCTTTCATTCTTTTGCTTTGAATGCATTGTTAGAGCATACTCTCCATTCTCCGGGACGCTCACTTGAACGTTAACATTTCTGTTTGACTGTGTCTGTTTTATATATTTCGATAATTCTTCTTTTGATAAAGTATTGTGTACTAGCTCGGTTTTTACTTGTATGTCTCTTGTTAAGTTGAAGTTAAGAACTATTTCCTTTCGTGCAAACACTTTGACTATTCCGGATTGATGTAAAGTTGTTTTTGTTTCCGGCAATTTCAGTATCTGCTTTTTGGGGTCCATACCCAACTTTTCCCGGTTTTAAAGGGGTTATGGGGACAGTTTTTCCTGAACTTCGTTACAAAAATTTTAAAAATGAAACACATTCTTATTTTTTTTAATGCCTTCCACCTACTATCTCCCAGCTTTAAAATTCCTTTTTTGGGAAAAAACCGTTTTCCCAAAAAAATCCCTTTTAAAAATCAGATCTTTTTTTAACAGTACAAAATTATTTAGCTGCAAAGTTTGCCCGATATTTTTTTCCCCAAATTTTTTAGGGTTGTAATATAATTCGTAATAAAATCCCATTTTTTTGGGGTTTCCCTCACCCCCAAATTTTCCCACAGGGACATTTTTCCTTTCCCTTTTTTTTTTTTAGTCCCCCAAAACAAACACTAAAAACTTTACTTTTTTTTTCAAAATAATAGCGTGAACAAAACGGTACGTCAGCAAATTTTTGCACAGTCCAAGGCCTAGCCAAAAGCTGCCATCGCTTCTCCTTTGCTAGTGCCACATATGCAAAGTCTTCTGGGTCGGTAAAGAAATAGTAATCGTCCAATTTTTGAATATGGGTTCCAGCAGCCTCCTTTTCCCTTTTTCACAAAACAGTTTTTCCCCTATTTTTATTTTAAAAAGATGCCCGGGAACTAGGGAAATTTGAAATATTACAAATTATTAATACCTTTTTTCTTTAATCATATTTTTTTCAAATATCAAAAAAATTTTAAAAAACGTTTTTATTTTTCTTTTTTTTTGTCTTTTATATCGAGATTAACCCTGATTACAAATAATTTAGCTAATATTCGTACATGCATTTTAGATTTAAAACATATTTTATTGATCTTCTTGTACACATTTTAACAGTATATTCTCATTATGTTTATACAAAACTAGGAAAATGGTTGATTCGTACATGTGTATGTATATTTGACTGTTATGATAAAAAGTATGGTACGAAACTTTATTTGTATAACAAGAGATTTATGAAGTTCTTCATAATCTTAAATACATACGAAAAGTTAGTTAAATGTAAGAAGTTTGCTTAAATAAACAGACATAAGAAAATCGAACTTGAGCTAAAAAAATTAAAATCTACAAAATAGAGAAAACGAAATCCCCAAAGAACGCACAAAGCGGTAAAATTGCTTTGATAAAGCCTGTTTATGTACAAGCCTTTAATAATGGTGGTCAAAAAAGTCATATAACCATAAAAAGTTAAATCCAAAAATTATCAGAATTTGATGACAAATAAATAACATAAGAAATCAGGAGAAAATAAAAATTGATGAAAGAAATCATCATTTATCATAAAATTATTATTATATAGAATGAAATCATTATTTTGGTAGAAAACTCAAAGTAAGTAAAGTATGATTGACTAATCGGGTTTAAAATGATGGGTTTAATGATATTCAACTTCCCTTGTGGTTTTAGTAACATGGAGGATTTGTTTTTTCTATTTAAAAAAGAGTTGGAAAAAGTACTGGGGAAAAAAAAAAAAAACTAAAATTTTAATGCATACAAAATATTTAAAAATTAATGTTTGCGATTTATTACAGCAATTATTTAGAAAAAAAAAAAGAATTAATAAAACTATGATGTAAACTATATATAATTATATATATTTTCGTTTTGAAAGAATTTAAGGAAGGAAAGCATACTTTCTAAACTGACATAGCAAATACTGAAATTATGATCGTATCAAAGAAATTGAGTTCGGAACATTCCATAGAAAATACAGTCTATCTAACACTGTTTTTTACTTTTTATCTGGCCAAAAGAATAAAACTTAAAATAACGTTTACTAAATATATTTCTACTTTTAAAGTAGAAATCTACGTGTTTTTTTTTTGTTTTTTTTTTTGTTGTTGTTGTTTTTTTACTCCTATAATTTTATCTACTTTTTATGTCATCATCTTTCTACACGTGAAATTAAAAATGAATAAAGTTACCCGGTATGGGGTCTGGAATAAAGCACAAACATATATCAACTTCAGTTTGTAGAAATAATAGCAATGTTTAGTTATTAAAGGTGTGACGTGTGAAACGCGATTATCAGAACGCGTCTTCTCATATCATAAGAAGAAGAAGTATGTAAAGCCAGGAATAAATGATAGTTCAATCTGTATAAAATATCATAATTTTTTTTAATCCTTTCTAATCTTTTTAAATTCGTCCTACGAATCAATTCAAATAAACGCAATCGGCTTGCTATGCGCAAAATCTGACATGCTCATAGCTAGCTGTCACCATCTTAAAGGTGTTCTTCCTTTTTACCTTTATATTTGTAAAGGAGCCTGACAATCTTGGCTGATTAGTATAAGAAATGTTGCCGAACTCTTCAAATTCAACCATTTTTGTATAATAATCAAGAGACAACGACTACTGTGTGCTACAAAATATATATTCAGCCATAAATCTATAAATTGTGTATGTTTAAAAATTTAATTTACTCGGTGTTACCTTTTGACTCCACTTTGGTGTAAGCCCCACTGGAATGTCCTACAACACCAGAACTTGCCCATAAAGGAAACACAAGACGCCATCCCCCAGCCACATACACGGCATTCCAGTTGTTATTTAGTGTCATCACCTTCTCGTCAGGATCGCCAACATCATAGGAGACACTTTTTCCATAACCGTTGATAATAACGCACGGTATGTTCGCATGCCTATTGTTATAATTATGTTATAATTATGCATGAGAACACATTGAACTTGTTATATGTATATCCGAAATGCTCGGTAATAGTTTAAAAACGTCAAACATGCATACATATTTGGGGACTATCTAGCTATATAGTATAAAAAATGTATTTTATGGGCTCAAATATATATCAATGTATCTCTAATATGGAAAATGATACTCAAAATCACGATTAGTTTTGCCCTAGACTACATCAAGTATCATTTTATATAAAAGGATTGTTAATCGATTAAATCTTCCACATGAAATGTAATACTAATTGTAAATAATTATTTAATATTTTACCGACACAGAACTGCAAAGAAGGAACCTTTGGATGCTCTGTGGTCTCGGATTAGCTTTAGAAACCCTAATGGAGTGTCGCTATCGGTAACAGAAGAGTAGTCTGCATTGTCCACGTCCTGACAGGTCATCCAACAAAAGATGGAGCGGACCTTTTCCACATCAGTCTTACAGAATGATGTCAGGTGTGTTATTAATTCTTGGTAGTCGTTTGCCTTATCAGCAGGGGTCTGAAATACAGTTTTAAATTGATTGTTTTATCATGATTGTTCAATTTAAATGGACAACATCACAGGATGAATTTAAAGTTCTGAATGATTTGTTTTATTGGTAATGGTTTAGATTCAAGGGTTTTGGTTTGAATGTGATTACTTTTCCACATGCCTGGCTGTATTTGCATCTTATTCAAGATACATGTATTTGCCTGTTTAACAAAAAATTGTAAACAAGGTACTCAACATAGACGGATACAACATTACCTGTTTCGCTTTTTCATCAATATGTTTCATTTTACTGGCATTAAAGATGGCGTCCCTTTTTTCTGTTGGCACTTTGACGGCAGGATATCCTGCCTCTGTCTTCGCTACGTCCACCTGAATTCAAACAAAATAGACAAAACCATTATATATCAAAATAGAACAAAGGTTAACAACAAAAATCATGTAGATGATAACAATCTATAGTTAGATCACAAAATTAATGCAATTAGATAAGTTTAAAAATTATCAGAATAATCGTAATTAGTACATATATTTACATTGTGTATATAAAATTTATAGCATTTGCTTTATATGTAACCTTTACCTATATATTTATAATATCTGACACCATAAATAAAAAATGATTCTTTATTTAAGAAGGGATTGAAATTAATATAGATTAGGAATGACTTTATTATTTTGTTCTCTTCTTGTCTGATATTATCCAACATGCTATCATCGACTTATTGACATAACGTAATGCCATTTAAGACCAATTAAGAAACTGGCTATTAAAATCGTTTCACATACTGGCTTTGATACAAAATAAATCATATGAAACCGTTTTTATTGTTAATTGATTTTTGTTTTATTATACGCACAAACTGAGTTCATTTGAGCTTTCAAATTACATGTATAACACATGTTTCAACATCAGAACACTCTACGTACAATGAGGTAAATAAATTCGGGACTACACTGAAGTTGATTTTGCTCTTGTTTGTTTATTGTTCAGTTCCTTGTACTCGTATATTATAAATTTATATATCATTATTTCTTTATAGTTTACGCTTCTGAGGTAGTCCCTAAACTAAACGCTTGGTTTAATAAAAAAGGCTCTCTAAAGTTAAACCTCATTGTTAGAGTAATTCTGACGTTAATTATTTATTTTTTGATGTAAAAACAAACACATACGTAAAATCAAACACATAGATAAATATGATTTTGCTTCTGCGTATCTGAATCCAAGCTCATACATAATGCAATGTTTAAATTATTTAAATATACATAAGGCAACATATAATTATTTGATATTTCAATAGCATTATAATATTGATTAGCTGAATAAAGTAATCAGAAGGGAACAATTTACTGAAATAAATATGTAATTAAGTTTCATATTCTTTTTTTGGTTGTTTTGCATTTTATGCCTTCCAACCGGGATTTCCTGGATTACCTACCAACAATTACCTAGTTCTCCGCAAGTAAAAGGCTTCTATTTCAATGACTATAAAATCTTTATGTCTGAGGGGAAATTTCGTCACGCCCAAGGATCGGACTGGCTGCCGCTAGATTTCAAATGCGGTGTGTTCCCAACCGGACAGAATATCTTATATATAAGAGCAAATGAAATATAATAGTGAACAATAAGTAATTGTCGCTTGACAAATCGGTTAAATGTGCGTTAGTAATTTCGTTTTCATCTCTGATCGATTGAATGTAAAACCAGCTGTGAACTTTCTATTTTATTGTTGAACTATTGACGGGAAAAACTGAACATAAAAACAATTCTGAACTTTCTATTTCATTGATGAACTATGGCACGCGAATACTTTAACCGTATAGTAAATGTGCATTTTCTATTTCATCTATAAACCATGAAACACTTAACTTAATAGAAAATATGCATATTCAATGTTGTTCATTAACTATGAAAATGTTTACGTTAACCCAAATTGTAAATTCGCACATTCTATTTCATTCTATTTCCAAGTATGGCACGCGTAGACTTTAATCTTATAGTAAATGTACACTTTCTATTGCATATATGAGCTAAGGAACACGTACACTTTAACTAATGTAATAGAAAATGTGCACTTTCTATTTCATTTATGAAATTTGGAACATGCGCGTATAAATTAACCCAAATTGTAGATGTGCACTTTCTATCTCATCTATAAAATATGAAACACGTATACTTAACTTAAAAGTACATGTAAATATGCAAATTCATTGTCGTTCATTGGCGACGCCGGTGAGCGGCGTCGTCTATTATGGAACGCTTTTTATTTTTGCCTATGGAAGGAGCTGTTATTATTAGCAGTTAATTTCATGTTGTGTAAATTAGTTTTATTTTGATTCGTAAAAATCAAGTAAACAAATGTGTTGTTATATTTGTATTTAATAACTTTATGTAAAAAGCATGTGCATTGTGATATTATTTTCACGAAATTGCGGGTTAAGTTTAACAGCTTGTCCCTTAGTTTTAATGACAATACTAAAACCCGGATTTCGAATATCGTTGTGGTCTAGATTGAGGCCGTATCATTTATACATTTTCAAAATTTTCCTACAAGAAGAAAGTTCACCTGCAATTGAGTATAAGGATAGGTAATGGAACTGTTTGTAAACGATTATCCTATTGATTTTATCCTTATTACATTTATCTGTTGCGCAGAATGGTTGTTTTTTTTACAAGTGTACCAGTATCCGGATGTTGAAAGCTATCCGATTTTCTGCAATTACTGCTGACACATGGCCATCTATTTTTTTATGAATACTTTACCATTAATTTGCATGGCTTGATAAAATTGAACCTGCAACATTTCATAATTTTGCTGTTTATCGTGTTCTTTTGGGTTTCAGGTTTTCTTTATTTTAAAGGGGAAGTAAACTTATGTTTACTAAATTATTTGTTCTTTTCTGTCTATCTTAGGTATTACTTATAATACTATTTTTGTTGTATATAATTCACCAGTTGTAAGGTCATCAAAAGCATGTTAATGTTAATGTTAGGATTTCATATTAATTTAATATAAACTGGGAATTATTAATGTTATGTGCATGTACATGTATATCTTAGACAGTAGTATATTGATATGTTGAGACTTATAATTTTTCTGCATTTTAAGAGATACAGTTATTCATTATTATTAAAGGGATGAGACTTTCATTTAAAGTTTATAAATGATAAACATGTATTGATTGAAAATGTCCTTAAACTTGGATCAAGCAATATAATTAATAAAGTTCAAAAAAAATCATATTCTGAATAGTTATTCTATTTTTTTCCTAACATGTGCATAGTTTGAAAAGGACAGCTTCTGTCTTATCTATTTGTAATGAAGAGACACCGGTCTCAACCTCCAGGTCTCCTGAGTCAACGCGACAACAGACTGTACATAGAGTAGATTGTTACTTGCCCTTGAATAAATTTGTGCACTAAATTTATAGTGGGTGATTTGTGCCACATGAAAACAATGGTGAAAAAGAAAAACAACATAGTACAAAAAGTAACTGGGCGCCAGATGAAAACATGAAAATACAATCTACCACAAAGTGGTTTGTTTGTTGCATTTTTCATGTTTTTGCCCGGTGCCCTTGATGCAAAATACAAATCAGCCTTCATAAAATTTCTTATGTTGGTCACAGGTTAATGAGTTTCTGGTCAAGCTCAAAGTTTTTCTCATCCTATGACTGCATATAAGCATGAGTTCAATTTCCTATGCTCTGTAACATAAGAAATTCACGACCACAAATCGATATAGTGGGGAAATATGTTGTGGTTTTAGAACTGTTTCATTATTAAAGAGAAAATGTGTAGCAGGACGGATAGCTCAGTTGGTCTTCTGAAAGTCATGGGTTTGAGTCATGGTCAGGCAGTTTCAGTCAGGGTTTAGAAGTGGTTTTTCAATTGACACATGTTTGATTCATTTAACAGATTGCATTATTTGAAATGGACAAAGGCAGTATTGCATGATACTTTTAGATCTACAAAGGGCATTTGATACAGTTAAACACACTATCCTGCACATGAAGAAGTTGTTTTTCTTCTTCTTCATGAAACTTCAAGCATCTGCCATATATAATGACATTCTTACATGGTTTAATAGATAAATACAGAATCCCTAAAGAAAGCCCAACACGGCAAAATTGAAAATGTTGCAGGCTCGGTTTGATTGAGCCTGTTCATGGACGGTACTGGAAAGTGCAAGTTACCGTCCACGCCCCCTAGCACCGGCTTAAGCAGAATTCAACGTTTAAACACGAAACAGTAAAATTTTGAATTTAGAAACATCCGCAGATGTGTTCATACGGCGGTTATCATAGAACCTTCAATGTGACACTTCCGTGCCATTCCATGAAAAGCGGCGTATGGTCCCCAAGTAATAAAAAGCGTGTGCCCTAAACGAGAAAACAATGGGCGGAACTAAATAAAATGGAATTTTGAACGGGGATCAGAGGTTAAGTCTTATCTCTGATAGTAGCTGGTTGATGTGGCTGGTACTTATTCTACTACTGCTCTGAGTACCTATGCTGTCCCCCTGATGTTCATTTTAGGTCCTCTTTTATGTCTAATATATGTCAATCACATGTCTTCAACCCTAAGCAATAAGCTTTTATTATAATGCACAGGCACGAGTATCAGACCTTGGATGAAAAAATATGGCCAGATTGATAAAAAAACCTGTGTTCATCTTAAAAGTGTCAACAACCAAAATAAAATGTAAATAATGACCCCCTTTAAAAATATACTTCAACTTGAAGTATATTTTTAAAGGGGGTCATTATTTACATTTTATTTTTTAAGATGTTTAAGATGAACACAGGTTTTTTTATCAATCTGGCCATATTTTTTCATCCAAGGTCTGATACTCGTGCCTGTGATTATATGCTGATGACTCAGGAATCCTTGTGTCTCATAAATGAAATCTGAAGAAATTCTTTCTTATAACATGAGTCTTATAAGATTGCTTAATTGACTATAAATTGCCTTTGCATCTTGGCAAGACAGAGTCTATTCTTTTTTGGTTTAAGTTTCAACTTAACCTGGCCATAGCCTCCAGGTCACATGTAATGGTACTGCTATAAAGTACACATCTTTTGTTAAGTATTTAGGTGCAAATCTGGATCAAATTCTTTTGGCGTCGCCCTTTGATGCTTTGCATCAATGCTTTTCTTGTTAACTATGGAATACGTTTACTTTTACTCAAATCGTAAATCTTCACTCTCTATTTCATTTATGGAACACATATACCTTAATGCAGTAAATGTACACATGAACTATAGAGCATGCATAGATAAACTAAAAAAACAATTGTGTTGATGAGCTATTGTTTGGTTTTATTAACCTGTCAATTACATACTGATTACACGGTCGATGCACACAATATATTAATCTTCGGTAGATTTTCGGTCAGCTCCGTGAGATGTACGCTGTACGATGGAATTTAATTTAATTTGTATGAACTAAGTGAACTGATCGTTATAGCGCAATAGGGTAAAGCACGAGTTTATAATCAATAATAAGTGCCATAGATGTTTTAAGTTCGAGACCGCGTTGGTCCATGTTGTTGTTTTTCTTATTAATACTTTCAACATTATTAAAGCTACACATGATTATTTTTTATGTTGTTTGTTTTGTTTTATTATGTTTTACTTAATTTTGCAAAGTCTATACTCTTTTTAAATAACATGTTTTAAGAATTCATGTTTAAATTAAAACGGATTAAAATCAGTAAATGTCTTTACAATGCCGTAAAACACACTACAAATCGGTTCCATTAAAATATATTGCAAAAATAAAGAGAGAGTAAAGCCTAAAAGAATGTCATCAGTAAGGATCGAACCACAGACCTCTCAATTATCAGGCATTCTCTTAACCGACTGCGCTATTGCGAATTAACGAAACCCTTCACATTAAGCTGGCCTGACTTTCAAAATATGACTTTTATACTCCACATTAATTCTCGTAAACTACACGGACCAAACCGAAGTGGGGTCGAATATTTAAATGAGTGCTATAATGTATTCATAATTGACAGGTCAATAAAATCAGACAATATTCGATCTGAAAGCAAGTGTGATTTAACGTAAAAGCATGCGAGCACTTTCTTTTTTCATTGTATATCTGTCGAACTTATTTACTTAAACCCAAAGGAAAATCTGAAAAGTTGTATTTTTCATTAATTGCCTTCTGAACATGTACGAGTAATGAATAAAGCGTACTGTACGCAACAATTTTTAGTATACTTAAAGGCATATTATGCCTAAGAAACAATTTATTTATTGAAATTGATAATTCTTTTTACTGAAATGGTAAACATGCGTTTAATAATGCTTAAATGAAAGCATGTTAGATACTAAACTTATCACCTGAAGACAACGACACTAAATTATTTGTCATAAAAGTAGCAAAATGTAAACAATGTAGAATTTAAGTTCCAACTCATTATAACTATACGAATTAAACAAAAACATCAGCCGCAAAAGATGTTTCAGGTACTAGGCCAATGTGTATAACTATAACAGGACAACAAAAATATAATATTTTTAGAAATAAAAAGAAAAGCATTTCTTAAGCATAACGGGTCTTTAATTAATAACGTTGTACATGACATTGTACATGTATATTTGATAGATCCCGGTATAATAAACTACCTATATTATATTAATATCTAACAATTATTTACATTCAACACTCTATCACCCATAAGATCAAGATGTCTGATTGCATTTTAAAAACAAAACAAAAAATCAGATATAAAATAATATCATATATCTATATGACAGACATGCATGTATACATTAGTATTTATCTTAATGTGGTTTAAGAAACTCGACGACTTGCATGTTTATATTATTATTGTGTATATTAGTAGACATTCAGGATTGTCAGACATTTAACCTCGCGTGGAGTTAAATGAAATAGTTTGCGCCGAAGAACATTTAAATGTAGCTGTTCAGATAGATATTGCTTACAAAATTACAGCCTTATCAAATATCTAACTTTTTTATGTGTTGAATTTGTTAAAAATCCATTTATCTTGTAAAAATACATTTATTAATGAAACACATTTTTTTTTTCAAATCAAGGCGGGAATATTTTTAACAACTCGACTGAATTGTAGTGTCTTTGAATAAGTATTCCAGTCTTTTTTTAAATTTTCTATAGTAGCGAATGCTTACTAAAACAAAACTATAAGACACTTGATGGATAAACTAAATCCGCGTGATTCGCAAAAGCGAGATCACACTTTAATGAAAAAAAAACCCAAAACATATTAAATTACAGGAAAAGAAATAAGGAAAACAAAATGATACCTACATCTTCGATTTCTGGCTCGTCCTTCAAAATCGGAAGTGCTCCGCGTTCCCCTTTATTCTGATTCTGGTCGTTCCCAGTTTCTTGCCCGGTCTTGTTTGATCTACTCGGGACTGGTTTTGTCGTCTGTTTGCCGGTCTTTTCATTGTTATTTGGATCGGATGCCTCTGATGAACTTCCGCAACCCATATTTCTAATTTGTCAATTGTCAACCATATCCCTTAACATATAAACCGTTTATTTTAACGTTATCACGTTCAATCTCCGACAATATAGATAAAGCACTTAACCGGACTAAAGTTATTAATTCTTAAGCCACTTTTCTTTATAATTAAAATTCATATATTCCTTTTTCCGTTTTACATTCTTTCAACGATAATGAATATTGATGTATCCATGGTGCGTTTGATTTACAAACCGTTTTTTTTTTACTTTTTTGAATGAATTATCAAATATTTGCCCTTACTTAAGAGTACTTGAATTCACTTGCTGGGCTTCAATATGTTAATATCATAAAAATACTTAATGTCATAAACAATGATAAATCCAATAAAAGCAGATTCAAAATTAACGCTAAATAGTGATCCAATTATTTTTACTTCCTCTGGTTTATTAAATTCAATTTCCCAGAAACCCTCTATTTTCCGTTTTGTGTTTATTTCAAAACAGTGTGTTGCTATGATTTACGGTACGTGCCCGCGCTTTCAATTCACCACAATCGATGTTTTCCTCTAGATAGAAAACCATCCGTGTTTGTTATATGATACCGTATCCATCAGGCCTCAACTTATCTCTGTATTTCATTCAATGAGCGAATAAACACATTGTTGCATCAGATTTATATCTTTTGGAAATAACATACATATTTTAAACTATTTTACTCCAATCAAACACTTATGACGATTGCAAGTATATAAGTTCCTACATCGTGCCGTTGATCATTTTTCAAAAAGGCAAAAACCAATCATTCTCACAAAAGAAATTATTTGAATTTGTACCCTTAATTATATATTCACCTTGTAAATATGAAGCTTTTGTGAATAAGCGTAGAAATATTGAAATACAGTATAGAACATGATAACCCTTCAATAAAAGTTTCTGTAATTATAAGCACGGCGCGGCATAATTATAGATCGACGTTTCGAAATCGATTACCAATGCATTGTATCTCAGATTTTAACACTATAAATGTCATTTATATTTTTTCATTTACTCCAGTCAAGATTCGGAAGATTCAGAATATCAATACACCCGCAAATAATTGTTAATTTATGAAATATTCCCCTTATCGCACTTAATGCTTTTATTTACTTTTTTCTTCATCTAGTATCTTTCAATCTTTTTTAGCTTTTTATATTACTAATAAACTTTAAGATAATCCCGCCCAAGTTTAATGTACATATTCTTAATACAATGTATATTAAGACAGAAACGCGCAGCTTTAAATGTTCGTGATATTCTAAAGTTTAAACATATCTATTTAAGCTAGATTGCGAACAAGTTCTTGCAACTTATATTAATCACTCTCGAGTCTGCTTCCTGGAACCAACCAGTACTGGTGTCATGAAGAGACATGTGTGACCCGATTAGGGTTCGAACCCATGATCCCTAAGTTGAGAGGCAGACACCTTAACCACTTAAAGCGATAAATGATTGCTAATTTACAGAATGGTATACAGAACGTGAACGCCTTTTCACTTTTTTTGTATATAAAATTAACAAAATTAAATAAAGGGGTTGTAATATATGCCATCCCCGGGATAAACAAAATCAAATTACAGTTTAGATTTGACCAGTGTTTGACATGAAAAGCAGCATGTAAACAAAAGAAAAAGTGAATTATTCGGCAAGTTGTTTCATAATGCGACAAGCACCTGGACATTCTTATTCTTTCTGATAATCTAGTTAAACAATGAATTTGAATTTTTTTTAAACAAAAAGTCGTACAATATTGTGTGTCATTGTTAGCCATAAGACCACGCTATCAATTTCGAGTGTGATGTGCAAATCGCATGAAATTGTAGCACAAACCAATGACTAAAGTGAACAAATCTATAACTGAACAAATCTATAACATAAAGGCTGTCACTAGATAGTTGTTTGCTGTAGAGAAATGTATCTCAACGTGATAACAGTTTGTCTTTATCATTTCAAGTAAGGGTAAGTTATCAATCGAGGACACTTCTCTATACTTTATGTAGCTCTTTATTCTCAAATGTAAACATGGGCGTCTCTAATCAGTTTAAAGTAAATTGTCGAAGTAGTGAATAAAACATACGGTTTTGTGACAGTCTACATAAAAAATAAACACGATTTTGTTATATAGTTTACACTATAGAACTAAATACCAGTTTACACGGATAACGGTATAGATCTAGGTGATAATATAAAACTAGAATATACCATAACAAACAGCAATGATATGTGACTTGAAGCAGTTCCATCAAACATAACAGTTATATACAATGTACCTGTAATTGAAAGCAAAACGTTTAGGGACACATCAATGGCTCTTTATAGGGCTTTAGTGCAAATAAAAGTTCTTCTTCTTCTTCTTCTTCTTCACATTTTACACAGTTACTTACAATATTTGACTTTCACTTGAAAATGTCCGCGGTATTGGTAGTTAGCAGCTTTAACAAGAAAATTTATTCAGGAAAGGAAGTTTTGAAGTTTGAAGTCTATTAATTTAAATTACAAGAAGAAAGTTTTTTTTTAAATAAACGAACCATGAGTCAATAAACTAATCTCTGCAGAGACACATAAAGACACACTGAGAGAGACCAGATAACGACTTATCCGAGTATTTATATCTTCAGTGTAAATAAGTTTGTTTTTTTATGTATCGTAAACAGTATTTCTTTAATGAAAAGTGCGAAATGTTTATATAACAGGGAAATTACACGGCTGTCTGTTAGAAATCAAAATGTCTACAATAAAAAAATATGACTTTTGTCAATAAAATTGCGGTTTATTTTGGATGTAGTAGTAGAATATCATTAATTTCTTCCTCAGACGCCAGTATATATTAGAGATTGTATTAGGAGGTTATCATATGTTTAATATCAATGTTTGCTAGTTGTTTTAAACAAATATATAAAGTAGGCAAACATTGTCACTAAGATATTTCCTATCAGAAAACTCACTAAATCTTCCTCAAAACCCTACATTCAAACATTCTGACAGTGAAGAAATTATGACGAGTGTTGACATAAACGGGCCAATACTTAAGTATTCATTGAGAAATAGGCTTCGTATACATGTATTTATACACATGCACCTCCCACGCAAAAGGTTCTATATTGCATAATCATAATGGGAAGTTATCATTATTAACGATTTAAAGTGGTGTATGTCTTTATTTCTGGGCAGATATCTTTTCTTCAGGTCCTTCAGGATCAATAATTTCTAATACTTTAGTGTTGAAATATTGTGCTGGTATGAGGTTGGGAGGTTGGGGGTTGGGGGGGGGGGCTTGTGGAAGGGGTATGAGATATATTGCACTCTCCAATATCTGTCATTAACAGACTCAATTAAATAAATTATGCAATTTTCAAATATTATATTTTTCAGTTTTTATTTAGCTCGAGGGAATTAATATAACTATTCTCCTAATCGATTATCATTAACTAATTCTACAAATCATTATGACTACAATGAATGACAGAAAGGATTATAAATAACATATTGTGTTTGTTTAAGATGTTAATTTAAATATAAATTAATACAATGCATTAAAGCAACTTATCGACGGATGTGTTTGGGGCTTTATTTCAAAATTCAACAAAAGTTGAAAAGTGTCGAGGTCAGGGTTGTAGGCATGTTGATATCATTCTAACGAGTCATATATATAATATAAGAACAATTGTTTTTTTAAACTGTTATTTTACATAGGGTATATTAGCTCTATGATATATTGATCATTATAATACAAAAGAGTTCACACAAGATCATAATGAAAAAATTGTCATAACAAATCATTGATGGACTAGAACCTTACAATTCATTCACTTTGTATGAAATTATTATTGTCCTGTTTTTCAGACTCTCGTATTCAACAAATGAAGTTCCGTCAATCAGGTATATTTTTCTATATATTTGTCTTCATCTGATGCATTGATTAATTTATTTTCTATACCTGATCAATTTCACATATGAGCCACGTCATGACAAAACCAACATAGTGTGCTTGCGACCAGCATGGATCCAGACCAGCCTGAGCATCCGCGCAGTTTCATGTTTTATATCCTAACTCATGTGATTTGCTCCGGGTTTATGTTGTCAAGACCAATGCCCTTCTTTCCTTTTCTTTTTGTAATGAAAAATGTTAAAAATCCAGGTCAAGATAATGTGTGATTTATACTCAAGTAACAAATATTTTTCTACAAATATCGTTGTTATACTTCGAGATATTTAGATAATCGATACAGTTTGAAAAGGTGCCTGTTTTTATATAGACCTTTCATCAATATAATTTACAGTTGATGGCATCTGTTGCTTTATTCCAGGGTCCGTAAAATAGTTCTTCTTATAGAAATTCTTTTCAACTATAATTGTTGGTGTTGAATCAGGGTTTATTAATATCGATTTGTTCTGATTTGAAAGCAAAGCACTAAACAGAACAATGATAATCATTTCACTCTGAATGACTTATCATGTTAATATAATCATTTGTTCCAGCCTGGACAATATTATGCATGCTCGACATCTTATACAATGTAACAAATGTGTTCTTTCTCATGAGCATATTTTGACACTGAAGTAAATTGATCATAATGAAGAAGTTCAAAAGAAAAATATATATGATATTTTAATCCATATTTCTTAATTTTAGTGTTAAGTTTTTTTCCTGGAAGGTATATGGTAGAGCTCAAACATATTTTGCTAGATGCATTGTATTTTCAGAAAAAAGACTCAGACGCGTTTTCTTTTATGACAGCGGCATTTACAAACTGTTTCTCTTTTCATACGTTCAATGTTGTACTTCGTATTTAAAGATCATCTAATTTATTCATCTGTTTATCCAGACGCCATTTTTTATATTCTCCCTTTAAAGAAAGACACACATTTTATCAAAGTCAATTTAATCTATTCATTGTAAATGTAAGCTGAATATGGAAATGCTACACAAAACATCAGCCTACACCTTTTAAAGTATACAAAACATCCAACAACAAACGAATTGCAAATGAAATTCAGAAAACAAATATTGATCAAATATTATGTAGTTGAGTATAAAATTTATTGCTGGAGAGGTGGAGAAGAACGCCTTTGAATTTATTTAAGTCTTGAAAGCGTTTGTGCATTTAATGATTTCAATACTCCTCTACTGTTTGTTTTATTACATTCAAAATTCAATTTTTCCATTCTAATGAATTGAGCAAATTGTCGATTTTATAGATATTCTCGGAAAAATTAGTTAAACCAGGGTATATAGATTTAAATATGCACGTTCCTGGTTGAACACATTGAAAAGATCTAAAATGTTAGAAAATGAAAACGAAATTCAACTTATGTTAATCACTTTCTAGTCATTTTAAAGCTGCTAGGTACTGTTGTAATGCGAGTAATTATGGTCCCTATTCTTTTATGGATTGAACCCACTATAGACTTGAAGTACAATGCTAACTTAATAAATTTTACAACCTTTCAAACAGCCATTACAATGATTGGATTTTTGTACATCACATTCATGTTAGCCTAGTGTGTTTTAATGGATTGTCTTTTTAAACGAGTATTAGATAGCTCTGTGTTATCAGTTTATTAAAATACGCTGAAAGATTACAGGGGTTCTCAAACTGTTTGATATAATCGTCTCCATGATCGTTAATCATAAATAGTTAGCTGTAGATGGATAACGATAAATCACTCTGTAGATTTTCCCGTATTTTCTGGTATTGATCACTAATCCGCTGACGAATATTTGTCGACATGCATCGTTGTCAGATACAGAACTGTAAAACTGCTATTTTTCGTGCATTGGAACTTTTATTCTTAAGTTAAGGCGGATTTATAATCATAAAGATTTGAGAATATTAACATTTGATTTTAAAATGCTTGAAAAAAAGAAGGATATCAAATGAAAATGTGGAGACATCAAAGTTCACCCATTTTCAAATCAATACATTGTACAAATTTATGAACAGTATGCATACACATGTATAAGAAGTAAAGAATCTCTGGTTTTTTTTCAATTGCAATATTCATTGTGATATTGTTACAAATGAAATGTTTTTACCACAAAAATAAGCGAGTTTACAGATGTATTAAAATAAATTGTAAGCTAATAAATTGCTTTTTAATCTAAAACAGGACCCAATATTTTAGTGTCAACGACTTGTCGGGTTCTAAATAAAAGATAAATCGCTTAGCATTTAATACTAGACTTAAAACTATTAGTATTTGCAATGGGATTTGTTGGGATATGTGTGTGTATGAGTAATATAATTGAATTCTACTGAATGCGATACGGTCATCAGTTTTTGTCTCCCTTTAATAAGTCTTATATATACATAACACATTTCAGCATAATCTTTTTGTTATTGTGTTGTATTTTTCATCTGGACCTCCTACGTTATTATTATTGATTACAAATAGTATCAAAGACATTACAAAAATCTACGACAACTACAAACATTTCAAATTGTCAATATTTGTCGGTCTGTTCTGAACTAGAAATAATTGTTTAAAATTATTTTATTGTTTTAAGTACATGTTAACACCAATATACAAATGATATGTTTACAATGTTCAACAAAAGAAAGTTCTTCTAACATTGTAAAAAGCCCTTCCATGAAATGAAAATTAAAGAAACTATAACTTAATTGTATTAAGGCAACAATGATTTCTATTTTACATGCACAATCGCTATAATACACATATTTACACATATGGAATAAAGAATATATAATACATGTATCATGAACACAGGATAAATGTTATACAATGTAAATTTAATTTTGTTAAAAATATTTATGCACATCTTTGAGTATAATATTTTTATTGCAGAAACTTATTGAAATCTGTAAAATTCTTACTAGACATGTCTTATTTAAATAAAAGAACGTACAAATTATGTATAGGAACCTGGGTTCCTTATTACGGGTGAAGTAAAACTGTTCCTTTCTTAAAAAAAACAGTGTGTACATATATAGTGTGTGTGATTTAAAGCATACCATTACTACTTTGTGTGAATTCAAAATATGTTTATTTTATATTTACAAAAAGACTGTGTAGCAATTAATAATATTTTCACATATCAAATTTGAGCATAGTATATTTTTAAAGTTCATTGGTGAGATACTCTATCATGCGCATACGTGAAAACGTATAAAAATGCAAAAACTATAATTTCATGGACTGATGTTTTTTTAGATCAAATACTGAAGCAGATATATCAAAATGTATGTATTCAGAAAAAACAAAACAAAAGCTGAGTCTGATCTCATAATTATGCGAGCATGTTCCACTGTATATTATCTTTGTTTTGGTTAGTCAACAATTAACACAAAAACTTGGAATAAGTCTGCCGTAGCCTCTATTTGAATATGCCCCAGAGCCAGCAAATAGTTCTATACTATATGTAACCTTTTAAAGATAATTGTTCAATCAATCAATCAATTAATCAATCAATCAATCAATCAATCAATCAATCACGTAACCAATCTTTTTAAACGTCAATCCATTTATCAGTAAAAAATATTTCGATATGAAATATTTGTTTGCCATGATAAGTTATAATGCAAAAACTATTTGACTAGTTTATGTGCTTTCATATTCTATACTTTCCGGAAGCCCACTTCCGCCACCAGTCCTTTCGTTTACAACACTGTCAATCTGAAATATATACGGGAAAAGTAAGTCTTATTGTATGTAAAAATAACAACAGAAGTCGGTTTAAAGACTTTATTTATAATTATAAAAAAGCGTGGGAAGTTAATCGGATCTTTAATTAAAATCAATATAATGGGTTTTCGACTAGCATCCGCGCAGTCTGATCAGGATCCATGCTGTTCGCTATTAGTTTCTTTACTTGTTTTAAGGTCTGTAAGCGAACAGCATGGATCCTGATCAGACTGCGCGGATGGTTGCAAACCCATTATGTTGGTTTTGTCGTGACACGGCTCAAAATTTTAACGTCAATCGCATTTCTTAATATCACATTCGGACAACAGTAACTATGTAATAGTTATAGTATATGAAACGAATTAGTTACGAGGATATAACACTGACTTGGGCGACATCGTGGGGTATTTCTGCTAAAAAAATTGTCGAGGCCGTTAGGCCGAGACAATTTTTTTGATGAAACATCCCGAAATGTCGCCCCAGCCATTGTTATACCCCGTTACTAACGAGTTTCATATACTATAACTGTTTTATCGCATTTTCATTTTTTTGTAACAGAAATCAGAAAAAAATACAGAAAAAAATACAAGAATAAAAATTGCATTTCTCTCTCTTGTGCCCTTTCACTTTTTCACCTTCTCACTCCCAGATAATGATGTCGTTAGCTACCTTACAGCCTTTTTCAGTGCAAATTATTCATTCAGTGGATGTACCTTTTGATTTCAGCAGTTGCATAATTATATGAGAATATTTTCATTCCATTAATTTTCTTTCTTACTTATTATCATTATTATTGTCATTATTATTATTATTATTATTGCTTCTGGGAATTTTCGTTACCGCTGTCCCAATGGAGCCTCAGTGAAAAAAAAACTACACTGATATAAAGAAGGTGCGAAAAAACTCAACCGCTATATAGCAGTCGAGTTTTTTTCCTATATGAATCAATGAAAAAACTGTACCGCTATATATCAATACAGTTTTCAAATGCTCATACAAAGTGTACTGAGTATAATGGGTTAGTAAGAACAAGGGAAAAGTTCCAAACCATGCGATAAGAATTATTACAAAGCCAAAATTATTTATAATTCATTCTTTTACCCATTTATAGAAAGTTCCGGCTCCGGCACTCGCTGCTCGTGCGCTGTCATCGTCATATTTTGAGATAATAGAACCAACTTCTATCATTTTATCGTTTGAAACCTTACTCACATCAAATGCCCGCACTCTGCGCATAATACTTCCACTTCCGGTGCGTTTGAATATAGCTTTTGTTGCCTCCCATGTCTAGAAAATAGAATTGTTCAATCAATAATCAGCTTCATCCAATATCAAAGGTGTTACAGTGTAATATATTCTTTACTTCAATATGGCTTTCTGGCATCCTGAAATTAAGATAGTAATCGTCGGATGCCAAGACAAAGACTTAACGCGAGATTAATGACGTCATCTCCTGTTTTATTCAATGTATTGACCACATGTTGCATGTCAAACCAAGATAATATCTATTAAGAAATAGAAAATATCGAGTATGTTCAGGAATCCGTGTCTTCTCTTGGTTGTCTGCGTTTTGAAAACTGTAGAAGCGTGATACAATCTCAAATTTATAGCAACACAATGTATATGACTAATTTGTATAAACAAGTTGCAAAGAAATTATTTATAAATTATGTTAACTTTGCACGGAACATTGCACTATCGATTACAGTATTTTCATGCAAAATATCTAATAGGTTTATGTCATGTGAACAAAGGAGTTATACCACAGTATTTGTTTTGGTAGTGGGGCAAATATTTGAGAGATTCATGACATTCGTTAGCTCCACATCTATATTTGGTTCATTTCTCAAAATGACAAATGATTTCAGTAGCATATCTATATATCTTGAAAGCAAGACACTGACAAACAATACAATTTCTACAAAAGCTAAAAAGATTCTTAAAGCAATGTAATGAAACAACTTTATTAATCAAACAATTTAAAAAACAAAACAACTACAATGTCAGATTCCAATTGTTTCTAGTCTAGTTGTTTAGCAATTCTACTAACATGAAGTGCTTCTAATTTATTTTATTTTATCTATTTTTTATTTTTCTTTCTTATTAATCTAATTTTGCTATTTATTCATATTTTTGTGGAGCGGGGGCATGCGAGGAGAAATATTAAGTCACACCGACACTTAGGGTCATATGACCACCTTCCAGCTTAAATGATGGAGAAAGACTTATAATAAGGTGCTCCTGGGTGCAGCCACAGACATTCCTTGTGCTGTTATACGATGTTGATATTTTATACTTACACGATACACTTAATCTTTTTAGTGTGTGTTTTTCTCCATTTCAGGTAATATACGAGTATATACATGTACTATAGATAACCATTGACTGAATTTTTACAAACACTTACTTAATTGCATTTATAAAGGAGGCTTGTTTTTAAATAATGTAATTTAAACGACATAAGTGAATATAAGAACAGGACACATACAAAATCATTACCTGTATATCTAGAGGACTTTCTCCTAATAGAATCAAAGTTGCTTTCAGAATGTCAAATATAACCCCTGTAGGATAGGAATAGCTTGTCAGTTCAGAAATAGTTGATTGTTTCATTTCTAACACATCATGCATGTACTTGTTGAATGGTCCTAACTTTTCTCGCTCAGCCTTGGCTTGTTCTATAAGGTTACCGAGCTTAATGGCGTGGTCCGATAGCTCTGCTTGGTCTATAGCTTTAGTCAAAAGGTCAAAGTTTCGACGATTGATAGCATCTTTCAAAGCTAAAATAAAAAGATAGTGTCTATATTTTACATACATATACACAGCAATTTGTATGCCACAACCTACTTTTTATCTATAATGAACATTCATTTTGTTGAAAAATAAATAAAGAATTACCAACCCTACAAACATGCGCACCTTCTATTCATATGCAACATCATTACATAATAAATCCACACTGCATAAAACTTCATACCACTTCATGTATCAACAATGATGCCGGTTCCTCTCCAAGGTTATTTAGTGACCACAACTAATATTAGCGCCTGTACAAAAAATACAAAAATAGCTACTAAATTGTTAAATATTGTTTTGTTTATAAGAAGGAACACTGTTCCTGACTTATATCATTGTCTTTTACCTTTTGCTAACTCTAAATACTCCATTTTTACCGAGGCTTTACCGAATGAACCGTCCTCCTCATAAAGTCCTGCCTCCTCGAACCCAGCCACTGCTGCTTTCAGTTCGTGCAAGTCCTTTCCTTTACTGGCCTCTTGCAAAGCTTTCCGTGCGTTTATTTCCTTTGCAGTCTGAAAACAATAATCAGTAATAATCATTTGAAGTTGAAACAATTATTATAATTGTAAAGTATTAAATGTTTTGACAGTTCTATTCATATGCAACATCATTACATAATTGACACAAATTTGATCTTATTCAAATGATAAATTAAAGTATTATAAGAAACTCAAAGGGAATTTCCAAAGTTTCAGGAAATTCTGTGGACAAACTATATCAATAAAAAAGAACACAAGAATAATAGAAGTTTCATTGAAAGTCTTGTTTTTAAAATCCTACTCGGCAAACATAAAATACCTTAAATCCTTTATCTTTTATTTCAACTCCATTTGCCCTAGGTGGATCAGTACTCAAATAATAGTTGCAAACATTCTCCCATGTCGATTTCGATCTTTCAATGGCTGGTTTGGAGAAAATCTTCAACGCGTATTCTCCCTCGTGTAATAATTGTACAACTACATCTAAAATACTTAAGGACGACTGGTTATTTATGGTTGTTGTGACCCATTTCTCCATTTCACTGTCCTTTACGCCTTCTCCGATTATTCTGGCTTTCTCTTTAATTGATTGTTTAAGTTTGAAGGTGATATGGTAGGTCGACCTTGGCTTTACAAAAAGCATTCCGTTCGGGTGAGATGGTTGAGTGAGTCCCGCTCTTTCTGTCATATACACTGGACCAAAACCAAGTTTAGGACAGTCTGGATACGGCTTTATTTTCTTGTATGTTTTGTTACATTTAACTGCAACATCGCAGATCCATGGCAGCTTTGAGTTCATACTTGGTCCACCATAGACAGTGATTCTGTAAACTCCGGCAACAGGCATTCTTGCCTCCAATGACCAGTTATTTTTGGAACTATCTCTCGCCAACATCACGTACCTGTTCAAATGAATGGGATCATCCAGCTCAACCTTTTGTTCAGCATAATTAAAGAAAAGATCATATGCTAATTGGTAGTCCCTATCTTTGTTTGATGGCGCGTGAATTACGAGCCCACATACGCCATGTTTTGACTTAATTGTCGACTTAAACTCACTTGTGATTTTAAATTTTTCCATGTGGTACCTCTTCATCAGAAAAGGAATGTTTATCCATTTATCTTTCGAAATCTTTGGTGTGATCATCTGCCATCTTTCATCATCAGGCAAACATACATTTATCAGTTCCAGTGGATCAACCATAAAATAATACTCGTTAAAATCGTGCTGAACGACTTTTTCTTGCTCGTCATCAATATCCTCAACTTTGACCTTATCAAGTTCATTCTCAGGTCCCCATTTCCCTCGTTTAAAGCTAATGATATTTTTGAAAGCCCATAACGGGTGTATCAAACGCCAGCCGTCAATGTACACAGCATTCCACCTATCCCTCAAGTGAGATACGTCCGTTTCACCAACATCATATCCAAAACCCTTAGATAAACCGTTGATGATTGCACACCTTATACCGGCTTTCCTAAAAAAATAATGAAAATAATTATTCATGAACTGTTTAAAGATATATTGACGAACATTCTTTGGTTACGTGGGAAACAAGTGTTTTACCAAAGAATTAACATGCATGGTTGATGAAGAAAACATGTCGCAAAAGCAACTTTTTCTGAGAAGGAAAGCTTTGCATGCTAGAACATGAAATGATGGAAAATTATAACAGTTGGGAGGTTTTTTTTTAACTTGCCAGTTTCATATACTTCCCCCTTTTTGCAAAATGTGCATGCAACGAAAGCATTCTATCACATTAGATAGACTTGGCTTATTTTAATCTGTATAGAATATAATTCAAAATTAGAATCTGAAGTCATATTTCAATTCTTTATTATTTGATTCCAATTATAAATCATAAGAACTATTATACCATCCGTGCATTCAACAAAATCAAACTGTAAGCACAAACAGATATGTAAAAATATACACCCACATTAAAAGCATCCTGCTGTCAGTCGTAAAATGAAACTATTTAAGCCATTGAAAGTTAATAGAGCACATTTTATGTTGATAACTAATATGAAGAAACACAATCAACTAGAAAATGTTTCGTATGAAAATACCAAATTTCTTTACTTTCCATAAAAGCCCAATTTATGAGATTTGATAGTTGTCATTTCAAATTACTTCATAGCTGTAACAATGAATCATCCTGGTATAAAATATGAAACCAGTTACGTAAAACAGTACTGCCTTGAAAAATTGATATATCTGGTGTTTCTAAACTAAAAAAAAATTGCCTTATTTTTCATAAACAAGAGATTAATGTTTGACTTGGTCTGTTTGCTGTCACAATAACGTTGTGCTTAATTGGGTACAAAAACACTATTCAATTTGTAAACTTTAAGTTGTCCAAAGCATACTTTTCCACGGAATAGTTTTCAAAGATAATGCGAATTTGCAAACCTGCATAAGAGGGCAAACAAGGTTGCATATGACCCTTCTCTGTCCTGAATGATCTTTTTGTAACCCCGCGGAGTTATTTCATCAATGTTGTTTGGTGTTGGCACAAAAAAGTAGTTCTCGCTTTCTATTTCCTGCACGCCTAGCCAGGAAAAGATGGATCGGACTTTCATCATGTCAGTACGATATATAGAGGTTAAATAATGCACGAGGTCATCCCAGGAGTTCTCTATATCTTTAGGCGCCTGGAATTAATTAAAAACAGTCAAACACGTACACATCCGAATATACAGCAACCGTAGAAACTCTGTCAGCACAAAACTTTTATTGTCCTCTTTCCGTTTCTATATTATACAACAATCAATTTTAATCTTTTAATCTGGCAAAATTGCTAGAACTGAATGGTGAATCAAAGGTAGTTTTAACGTATGTCTCTATATAATAATGATTGAACAAGGGAAACAACTTATAAATAAATTTATTTGTTGTATAATTGGTCTGTATTACCTCACATTACTTGTAGTAAACTTACATTTAAAGCATGAAAGTAGATATCCCTATTGTCTTTAGGGTTGTAAATATCTTTCTTTGGTGTAGATGCGTTCTTTGGCACCGGATAACCATTTTCAACTTCTGGAATATTAAACTGTGAAAAAAGAGACAAAAAATGCTAAAGTTACATACAATTAATTTCATCTAAATAGAAATATTTCAGCACTGCTATCCCGCCGCAGCAGTACTTTTATATTAATACTCTTATCAATTTTGGAAATAAACTCCGAAATAATCTTAAAAAGTTTTCCTCTTAACGTAACACAGAGAAGAAGAATTCATCTGAACTGAATGTTTGTCAGTATTCTGAACTTGGATGGCTCAACAATTGTCACAAATACATGTATGACTTTGTCAATACCAGAAACAGATGTCCACCAAAAAGTACTACAATGTTAATTGTTAAAGTTTTATAGTTACTCATCTGGTTGTTTGATAAAACAGACTGTCGGTATACCTTTTCTTGTAATGGCTCTCTGGGAAGAAGCCGAATATGTGAACGAGGTCGTTTATACTTATAATTACCGTTCCCCATTGTGTCTGCTTTAGTCACTGAAAAATGAAACGTTTTTTTAAAGTTGAATGTATAAACAAAAATGTTTATTAAAGTTGTTCATTTGAACAAAACATGAGCGTATATATATATGTCATATTTGTGACTTAAAATATTAACTATGTTAGTGAATTTTGATAATTATGCGAAAAGAATATAAATATCAAATGTGATGGAGACAAAATTGACTAAATTGGTTATATGATATATATAAAAGATCTTAAAAAGTTTTATCTATTATTATACACCTTAAATCACAAACATGCATAGTTTCTTCGATGATCGTTGGAAATTTAAGAGAACCGAATGTTTTTCTTAACATACAGTAGATGTGCACTTTAGCCTTTATCATATGAACCTCATGAAAAAAGATGTATGAAATTATAAATTGAATTAGATTCACTTGGTATAATAAGTCGCTTCTATTATAATAATATTAAATGGTTCTTTTCTCGTTTTGATCTTAACTAAAAACCATGTAAATAAAAATGACCGATATGCTAAATCCACCTTTTGTTATTATTTATGTTATTAGTTATGTAGATTTTATCTTGCGTTCACTTACACCGACTTCGATGCTTATTCTCAAACTATCTTGTGAAACACATTAAACATACATCTAAGCTAAAAACTCAGGTACAATGTATATCATAATTATAAATGTGATTATATCTTTATCTCTATAACTGTCATTATAATCGAACAAATAATGCCCCGAAAACTAAATAAAAGCAAGAATTTCAATGATAAGAAGAAAACAACATAATTCTTATTAAAACGTAAGTTCTTAAGAAAGTCTTAAGTTTAAAATACGTATCTTTAATAGTATAGTAGCCAAAGAAGATGGAAAAAGTCAATATGAACTTTATTAATAACTTAAAAAAACCATTACGAACAATTCTGTAATCATGTATCAGACATACAAATTATATAGGGGTGGGGGTGGGGTCAGTATACTCTTCCGTTTTATTGTCTCTTTGTTAAAATGGCGTTTTACTTCTTTAGAAAGTGCAAACATGAATTTGATAACATGTGAATAATGGTTCTAGAGTATGTTAGATGATTGTAACCTGAAGAAATAGCGATAAATGTGAAATAATAAGTCATAAAAATATATAAAATATAAAAAGGTACATGCAGTATTTTGACTTTCATATAAAATACGAAATCATTCTAACAATACAAAAATCCAAAAGGCAACAGGAGCAAAAGATGGTCCAGGTAATTCTGGTCAATGAGTAACTTATTGAAACTATTGGAGTACACCAAAAATAAAAAGCTTTTGAGAAATAAAAATAAAATATTTCTGAGGCATATTTGGCCTTAAAGATATACAGAACAAGTCAAATTTACTTACAGGCAGTGATGTTGTCTTATCCAAATATCGAACTAATGCGTGGAGGGTAAATTAAGTTAAATATATGCATTCATATTTTTTCTTTTCACAGATATGAAATATAATACTGGTGCAATGATTAAAACAAATGTGTCAATGTCAGGACAAGTTCACCTTTTCTCTTTTTAGCACATTAAGACGCACTTCAAAGGTGTTTTATCTTTTGTTGGACGAGCTAGAAAACAAAAGAAACTATAACAGCGTTGTCAACAATTAAACCTAGGATTGTTCTACATGTATTAGTTACAGCTATAATGGTCATGCTTTTTAGATTATCAATTAGGTAATTGTTTTTGTTTTTGAACTTGAATACTTTCCAATAGTTCAATTTTTAAAAACATATCTAAATTTATATTGTAGATTATATTTAGACCGACTTAAGTCTCAAAAATGTTTGCTATATAGGTAAAGATCATATGATTAGCCAAGTTGTAATAGTGTATCCTCTGAATACAAATGATAGTATTAGTTAAGAATATATATTATCTATGAAAATATTGCGAAATTTTATTAGAACGTTTACAAGGAGTATAGTCTTTAGAAAACCAAGCACCTAATGAAGTAGTCTCAATACTAATGAAGAAATTTCAAACACACTGTCAATGTCGGCCAATTAAAGTAAAGATAGTGGAAATTAAGTACATAAGGACTTGGTAACACAGAAAAGTATGAGCTGAGCGAAGCATTATTATCAACTTTTATTGACACAAATAAATTGTATTTATATAGATACAGATATGTTTTAACACATGTATGTTCTCACTATATTGTTGAAACCTTTTTTAGTTAACACAGTGACCTTCCAAACAGTCTGATTTGGTGTTAGGGTGTCAAAAAGAAGCTAAGAGAACCCGATTGTTTTTGAGATTTTTTTCCACAAAGGAGATGGTCAAGAAGCGCTGAATACGATATACTGATTACGAACTACTTCACGATATAACTCATGATAGTTTATCAGTTCAGAAAAATGATAGTGCTAGTTAAAATACATATTAGCTCACTGTTGAATGTCATCTATATATATGTATATATACATGTATATATATTTGATATTACATGTATAAGTTTTCTACATATGTATATGTGCTAATTAATTTATTGCACAAGTCGTGACTAAAGTTTACGTCATACAGGGTGTATCAGGTTACAGACCATATTCTATGATTTAAATTACTTTGAGCATCCAATCAACTAAAATTAGGCATTGTTAGCCAAGTTTAAACAAACGTCCGCGAATGTAAAAGAATAAGTGACAAATATTCGACTTTGTTAATTGGACACCATGACTGCTGATATCAAAACTCTGTGAACTCGCTCTAGCTAGTACATAGTTCTTGCAGATAATGAAGATATTCAGAACTTCTCTGAGTTCTCTCTTCCCGTCGGTGCATAAGGCTCAGGGCTTAGACAGAAGATTTGACAGCTTAGCTGATTTATCACCGAGGACGCGTTAAGGTTAAGAGTCCAGCGCTGTTGTATTACATATATGGTATGTCCATGTGACCAAAATACCACTGTTCCGATGGGGAGTTAAATTACTATCGACATCATCGACAAAGCTGCCGATGTCCTGACTAGAGGGATTGGCCTTACAAAACAGGCATGGACGACGAAGAAAGTGTGATTGTGACAGCTTGAAAGGTAGGTCCTTAGTTGGCATAACAGCTTTTTTCAGGGCTACCTCCTTTTCATATTGTCAGAGGTTACTGTACATTAAGGTTCTCATTGGCCGTCGTACAGTGACCTTCTTTTGGCTCAAAATTCATATCTTTGGCTAATACTCCGTGAAAATTGCAAGGAATTAAATTGTTGCAAAGAATTAAATCATCGCCACTTTGGACTTCAAAATAACCTTTTAAGCGCATGACTATTGGCATATCCGGTGTCCGTACTCGACAGCGAAAGCTTAATCTAGTGCCTTATCGGGCGGATGGACCCTCATTAAGCATAGACTAAGCAACAGTAGATAGTCAGAAAGCTCTCGGAAGGTCAACGATTTTATCCAGGCGTCCGTTTGTGCTTTAAATCTAACTACATTAATAACAGAGCATCGTAATTGGTTCATGAACAAGTTTATTTCTCATTTATTGTTGTTTGATCACAAGTTACATCTCTCAAAATGTTAAAAATGTTGTATAAGAGAAAAACATTAAATATATGAAGAAATAACGAGAAATTATATGCAACAACAAAATGTATTATACCATAAAAATCAATCCACATTTTCATTTTCCGATTCTGCTCAAAAAGTATTTATCAATAATATTTCTGTAAGTGCTAAATGTGCATTAAGTAAAATGTAAAACAAACAAAAACTGAGCGAATTAAAATATTCTTTCTAAATATGATCAAATTAATATACAGTTTGTTGTACATAAAATACACTAAGAAACATGTTATCGTTTTGAAATAGAAAGTATGGGTAACGGCAACAATGAACAAAATAACTACACGAGAAATTTAATAAAATTTAAAACACAAATTAGAATATAATATGAAACATTCATCGTTGATATATTTTGTTGTTATTTTTGCACCTTCAAGCACAATGTATAGCTTTCACTACTAGAATGACAAGGGTTGGTTCAGGTATGTACCGAGTATATACCGATTTAAAAGGTATGATCGTATCGTTTACTTATATCTATCGATCCTAGCTCTAAACAAACATTGTTTCAATGTCATCACTAAACCATCTTCTACACCTCTATATTTGTATCAGTACTTTGAACAAGGCAATCGATGCTTGCACATGTTACTCGTTGGGTTTAATTAACGGACATTGCTCAAAGAACTAAGCATAAGCTTATGGCTAAGATATGACATTTATAAATAAATATGTGCATAAATATGAAATACTTTATCATTTCATAAAATTAATAAAAATAAAAAACTACGTAACAACATAACACTAAAAATATATTTTAAATCCGAATTGATATTTCTTAAAATAAGAAGAGAGGTAATTAAGTGTGCAATGATATGAAATACATTTAGAGTTATCATTCCTACTCTAACCCAAATAAAATATCACAGACATGGAAAAATATCACAAATTGCTTAATTGTCATGCTTTCATGTTATATATTTGTCTTAAGTCAATTAAATAAATACATTCAATTTAAATCTAAAACAAAATGTGAGTGAATGAATGACTAACAAAACATGAATTGTTAGCGGAAATTCGTAAATTCTATGTGACACAGTCAGGAATAGTTCAAGAGTTGAAAATCGCTTGTAGAAATGTATAAACAATTTAAAATCAACTCTTTAGCTGATTTCTTATTCAAAATATACATATTTTACAAAATGTAATTGTCCGCGTCAAATATATAAATTAGTGCAAGAAGACCATTTTCTGTTACTACTTTTATGACAGTTAACATATTTTAATCAAAATATCCTCACCAATGACAGAAGGTAATAAAGTTCCACCAAACAGAACTAAATCATAGATAAATTTACAAATATTAAGATGTTTTGAGTTAGATTTAATGAAAGATATTTTAAAACTCAAATTATTGAGTCCATTATACATTAACAATTTTTAACTAACATTTGTATATATTTGTTTTGTGTTTTCCTTTGCATAAACTCACATATTAGTATTACAACTGATCAATGTGATACGAAGATACGAATTTATTGTCCCTACACTTATCACAAAGAAATAGTAGCCTGTAATCTCATGATTCAATCATTGTCAAATGACTCATTTAGAATGCAATGTTCTACCCCTTCTTTGTAGACCCTGCTTTGACACTGCCGTTTGCTTGTTTGGTTTTATTGTCTTTTCCTTGCTTTGCGGTGTTTTGTGTCTGCTTTGCGGTGTTTTGTGTCTGCTTTGCGGTATTTTGTGTCTGCTTTGCGGTATTTTGTGTCTGCTTTGCTGTATTTTGTGTCTGCTTTGTGTTATTTTTGGCGTTATTTTGCGCGTTATTCTTTTGTTTCATATTCGATTGCTGCTTGGCTTGCTTAGTATTTTCATCTCGCATTGATGCGGTTGGTGTTTTCGGCTGATTGTCCCCTTTGTTGGACGCCTGTTGTCCTTTTCCGCCGGAGTTAGTTAACTTTTTGGGAGAAGTATCTTCACCCTTTGTGGCTTTGCCGTCTGGCTTGCCGACCATTTTTGATGCCTGAATATACAATTTATTTAGCCATTACATTAGCCATTACTTAAATAAATGTTTTACTTATAAAAAGTATATACATGTATAATATTTATACATAAATACAAACACTATACTAGTAGTATTCAATGAAAAATAAAAAAAATATATAAGAAATAAACAACAAAAAATGGATGCGTATAAATCTTAACATATAAAAGCCTTTTTAACGATACAAAGGGCATTTATGTTTGGACAATTTGAAGAGAAGAGTTTAAAATTTCACAGACAGCAATTTAAGCATCCAATATTTGTACTTTTGTTTATTGTTTAAAGTGTGAATCTATTAATATTGACACTTTAATTTTAGTCTAACACAGTATTTCAGACTGAAACTTTAATTTCCTTTGCTAACATTTTCATTTCGTCTATTGAAAATACATCTTCTTCTATTGTTTTATCTAAATGTTATAACTGGGAAAGGTATTCTTTTTGTGCCAAGTTATAATAAAAATTAAACATTCTTCAGCACGCAAGACTTGTTTTGATAATAAAGGATTTCCTTACCCATACATAAAATGCCGCTGCACCAGTACTGCCTACTCTGATCTCCTCCAAGCTGTACTGACCCAAGTAATTCCTCGCCCTTAAAGCTGTTGTTTTGTCTATCTTGTTGGGGTCTACTGTTTGAACCTCTCTTATCAAACTGTCTTTACCATAGCGACCCATCAAAGCTGTTATTTCAGTCCAGTCCTGAAGACAAAAATAATAAGACTATCAACAAAAAAGAACCGTATGGTTTAGGGAATCGGTCCATAATTGACAGTCTGTTATACCATAAATAATTATTTTTATAGTATTATAGTATTATGACAACAAACCATAAAATAATTATATGCAGATGTTGTTGGTAAGTGCACGTGTGAGATGTATGATCTGATAGCAAGTGTTCTAGAACAAATTATTATTATTTATAATATGAATATGTTCAAACTCTACCAACATTTGTTTCGAGAAATACTTTATGTAAATATTCAAAAGATACATTTATATTGGTTTTTTTTTTATCAATAATTGAAATACTTATGTACCCATTGTAGACTAATCCAATTTAAACACTTTATTTCTAATCCAGTTTTAGAACTTGGTCATTATTAGTTTTAATAAGACAAAATATATTACTTTTGTTGATGATATAGTATAGATAGTTCTGTATTATTCAATTTTGAACAACTCACATATATCTTTTATATTTTGTTAAATAATCTGTAAAAAAGTAGAATTTATTCTGTTTTGCAATATAGCATTGAAACTGAAACTGAACATGTTCTGTCGAACTGGAATCTTTATGTATACAGCATAGTTATTTTATAAATGGCACAGCGATTTTTTTTTTGTTAAACAAACACAAATAAACAATAATTTTAGTTTGAAAAAAATAACATAAAAAAACAAAGACAGAATTCTTCACTCAAGATTTGTCTAGAATATTATACTATATTGAGAGAAGGCATATGCAAGATTTTACACAGCAGAAAGAAAATATGTGGAACAGATATTGGGTAAAGTATAAACATAGAAGATCAGAATATAGTACAATGTGATAGTGATAGTATAACAAATAAACAGGTGAATATAATCAAGAACAAGAGTCAAATGTTTCACGTAAGCAAATTATAAAATTGCTGTCATAGCAAAGATAAAATAGAAGTTGAATATATATGTGTATATATGTGATAAAAGGAGTATAATTGTAAAATGATATAAATTTCATAAACATACCTTCTGTATTAGCATGACACAATTAAAAATAATAACAATGATAAAATCTATCAACAAGTAAACGTGTCATACTCGAAACATTACGTAAAATGTGAATGGATTCATTTGAATAACACAAACGTCTTCATTTTTTAAATAAAAGATACATACAGTGTTTACAACTTGCTTTCTATTAATTTAAAAAAAAAACGTAACTGGATTAAAAACTCTAGTATCGGGCCATCTAAACTACTTTATTTACATACATGTAATACAATTTGGCATAGACCTTCATTCATGGTATTTGAATGTCGTGGAAGTTCTTCTTAACATTTCGTAAATATACTCTCACAATTAGTGCATTAATAGGATAAAACAAACTTACCAGGAGGTGTTTTTCTGGATATCCAATTATCATATATGTAGCACACATTGTTTCATGTACACCGTTAGGAGGGTGGTGGTAACTACGAATCTCTGAAATAGTCGACTGATCAAGGTCACTTATATCATGCCGAAATCTGAAAATACAAATGGGAAAACACTAATATTATACATGTATGTAACAATTGTATCTAAACCCAGAACTTTAAATTCTGATTGTTATGAGTATGCAAGAGATATTATACACACATTTGAAGTTTAAATTAAATGTCTTTCTAGTAGTATATAGAGGATATTGGATGAGTGAAGGTGTAATACTAAATTTATTGAACGAGTTGAATACAATCATATTATACGAGCCTCTGGAGAATATAATATTGTTTAAATATTGTTTTATCCAACGAGCTCAATAAATTTAGTATTGACCTACGCGAATATGATATTCTATTTATCACACATGGCTTACGTGATAATAGACTATTGTAAAATTTATAAATATACAAAATGTTAGTTATCCACCAAATATTTGTACAGAATACTTCAACCATCATAAATCGTTAAAAGAATCAATAGTATTGCATGTTTTAGGGTATCAATTATTAATGTAGAACACTGTTTGAAATTTCATCCAGTCTATTTTGGAATCTGATGAACAATAGTCAATACCCATCTACTACAACAAGATTAGTAAAAATATGATAAAGATCTCATATAATTTTCTTATCAGTTCGTCATTTATTCAAAGAAAACAGCCAGTTTAACGCATTGAATCTCAATTTGAGAGTAAAGCAATGTCTAACAAGGAAAACAATCAAAATAAAATATACACATCTAGCTATATATTATGCAAATTATTCACATAAAATATCAGCAAATGATTAGCAAAAGCTAATTGATTACTATAAATGAAAAGTTCAATTGGAACTTTGAGCTATAAATGAAAGCTTGATGTTTTATCTTATTCTAATAATGTATTATATTCACTAAATTATTGTTTGATGAATCCTAATAAAAAGTTCCAAAGATATAGGAAATGACGTCAACTGAACTCATACATTTTCGCACATTATCAAATTTCTCTTGATACGTTCAGTGATACGCATCATTATTTCTGCATAGATTTATAAGCCATTATAGTTGTTGATAAATCTTGCGCTGTTGTTGCCCATAACTATTTTCAAATGTCAGACGACTTCAATGTCAAGCATACATGCATGAATTTGCAAAGCAATTTGACAATTGTAAACACACTAAACAGAAGCTTGATAGCTTGGTAGCTGTTGTAACACATCTGTTACTAAATTCAAAATTTTGCCATTTCATGTTTAGATATTGAATTCTGCTCAAGCCGGTGCTAGGGGACGTGAACGGTTGTTTGCACTTGACAGTACCGTCTAGGAACAGGTTTAATCAAACCAAGCCTGCAACATTTTCAATTTTGCCGTTTTGGGGCGTTCTTTGGAGAATCTTAGTTTCTCTATTCCATTATACTACATGTCTAAGACAAATTTGAAATTTTCTTTTATGTTGTATCTCTTGGTGACGACAGTACTATGTCACCAGTTTAGATACAAACCAAACTACACAGTCTTAAAATTTGACCAGTATCTAATTAGACAGTTTCTGTGTTAAGTATTAGAGTAAGAAAATCCCTGAAGACTGAAGAACAGGTCCAAATACTTGTATTACACCAGAGAACGTCCTCGCGCAAAATGTTAATGATTTGTTTTGCAGGAGTACGATCTAAAGAGGTAACACGTTTTATATAGACTCATGTATCATAATTTGTAATCTTGTTCACAAATGTAAAAAATATTTTTCTATGTATTAAATGTGTGCATTTTTTTCTATAAATAAGATCTGAAACCTGACTGTGTTACAAAACTGTCTACTATCTCTACTATTTACCTGTTTGGCTCGTCCGTTCTGTAAACATGTTTCATTTATTTGCTTTGACAAGTATCTTTAGTGATTTTAAAAGCATTGTCATATTCAATATGGCTTCATTATATCAGTTGCAAATACTACATATGAGCCGCGTCATGACAAAACCAACATAGTGCGTTTGCGATCAGCATGGATCCAGATCAGCCTACGCATCCGCGCAGTCTGATCAGGATACATGCTGTTCGGTATCAGTTTCTCTACTTGTAATAGGGTTGGTGAGCGAACAGCATGGATCCTGATCAGACTGCGCGGATGCGCAGGCTGGTCTGGATCCATGCTGGTCGCAAACGCATTATGTTAGTTTTGTCATGACGCGGCTTCATAATATCATATTCAAAGTGTGCCCAGAACATAGATTGTTCTATTTTGGATAGATATGGTGCTGTCGGGCAAACGGTATATCTACTTAAACTTAAGACATACATATTTCAACAATATTTTTATCTTTCAGATAAATCATACATGAGATTGTCATATGTTAACAATACATACATATCATTTTACAACCATTGCATTTTTAAATCTATTTAGAATATCAAAATCAGGTCAACATGTAGAATTTGTATATTCATATCTTTAAAGAATAGTTATTATTATAGGTATGCCAGATAAATAAATCTGAATATAAGTAAACAAATTGAATTAATTTTTTTCATGAAAGTAAAAGTAAGACCGTATAGTTGGACATACGTATCAAGTTCATTTTGATGTTTTTTCAGGTAATATGCCCTGTTAAGGTAGGCATTCAGTTGCCGTTTATATGGAGATGCCTCCACCCTCTGTATTGCTTTCTCTAACACAACCGGATGTCGCCTCATACATGCATCCCGGATCTCTGCAAGAAGTAAAACAAATAAATATAATAGATAATCAGTGCGTCTGACCTTTTATATGATTCTTCAGTTTCTCTAGAATTCCTACAAAAATGGGAAACAACATGTAATTTGTTTATCACTGAACTTAGATGGTTGTTCACCTATCTATCCTTTATGGTCATTTTCTTGCTTTAATGGTGAAATAAATGAAAGCCAACGGTATTGTTTTTTCTAAAACGTATTGCGCCGTGTAAAATTCAAATGTCTTTGTATTTATACCAAAGTTTTTACGTTAGGTTGTGCTGAGTTCTCACAGTTTATCACTTTACCCGTGACAAGCAATTGGAAGCGGTTTCTACAAGGCACACTGGTCCGATGCGTTCTGGTTGGTTACCACACGTTATTCACCACTTCATCCAGGTTGGATATGCTTTTCATGTTCTGTCAATGCCTCGGGAGAGCTTTGGAGAATGTGTGTGCCCTCGCTTTGGTATTAAATAAAACACCCGACCATATTAAGATACTTAAGACGGGTAAACATGTATTCCAACGAAGAAGACGATAGAACAGGAAACGCCTCTAGATCGCGTGGTGCTTTCCTGAGAAGAGAACATTCGGACTACTCTTTGTACTCAACTATCTTTGTTCATTCTTCCTCGCTTCCTTAGTGTTATTTAAAAATTTGACCTCAGTTTACAGAAACAGCTATTCAATATTCGACACACATCTAAAATAATACTTTACAGCTTGGTGTGGCTCTTTACACACCTTACTGGAACCGACGCCAATCGTGTTACTACACATTTTATGTTTGCCTATTTCAAACGTTCGTGTTTTATACCGTTGTCTTCAACCTATTACGATTCGCACTGTGGCTACTGTGACAATTTTCTGACAGTGTGAAAAGCTGACTCGGCATCCCCGGCAATTATTTCTGTCACGTTTTGGTATCTCACCTCTGTGTTGTCTTACGTACATCCCTTTTTCTCCACGGTGATCTTAACTGTGCTTGCAAAGGCCACCGGACTCGCCATAGGCTTCCAGGCATTAAAGATGTGTAAATGAATATTTAACAGAAATTTGTTAAAATTACCTTTTCTAACTTGAAGAAAGTCTAGTCTCTGTTCAGCTTCGGTGTAGTCTCCCCCGTCTTCCATGTGATTATTATCAAATATTTCCATACATTTCTGTAATTCATCTATATCATTACCTGCCGCAGCATGACGCAGATTCTCCCTAATACGTTTCTGAAATATACAAAATTAAGTTGCAGATAATCGTAAACGACCGTAACTGTCCGGTTAGTTCGATAGGTAGAGCGTTGGTCCTTCGGATCGGGCGACCCTAGTTTGATTCCCGGACGGCGCAGAGCACTTTCGTTGTGATTGATAATGAAATCATTTCTACGGATATTTACACTGTACCTCTGCAGAATTTATCAGTGAAGGCAACTAGTACTGGTAAACTTCTTAACAGCCAGCCCAGGAACGATGCGGTGCCTTTATCCGTAGTGAAAATTACGAACAACACCACCATCGTTAACGATCAGATACATGCACATGTGTGCACATTCAAATCTGTTGCTGAATAAATATGGAACTGTCCTTTTTAACTTATTGTCTTGATGAAAACTTAGATAAAGGCCGCATTTACTTTTTACCGCTTCCATTAAAAATAATTACAAAGTTTTATTTTGTTAAGGTTCTAGTGTTTACCTTATAACCCTTCTCATTTACGGGCTGTTTGTTTTTGTTCCCCTTTCCTTTTCCTTGATTGTTTCCTTTGCCACCCTTTAAAATAATTCAAAAGAATATTTCATTAGAAAAGTAAACATATTATGAAAATAATTCACCAAGGAAATATGTGTAATACAATCCATTTGCTTAATACATACATACTCCAGATCAGAGACAAAATTGACTAATAAATATAAATGGATAAAGAAATGTATGGAAATATGTTTTTGCATTCCTTTTAAAATAATATACGTAAAACATCACAATTTTCTTTTACTACATTGTCTACATTTATGAGTGTATATAATATAATATAATATCTATTAGTATTTTAGTCATGATTTATATGATAATCCGGTACTATTTTACAGATTAAGGTTTAAGTTTAGAACTGCATGCTAAATATATCGGCTATACCTATTGGAACTTCTCTGTGGTTACCATATTTAGTGCTACTTGTGTATATTAGACAGAAATGTTTGCACTAATCGTTCACAAAAAGTGATAATCAAAAAGGGAAGACAAAGTTCCATTCACGTCCTGGTTAGGTTGACGGTCGTAAAAGTTAAATTCTTTAGAATTTTAATATCTAAGTGCATGCCATACATCAATCGGTACTTGTGAAGCAAATGAAAGCAGGGTATTAAGAAGTATTATGCAAAGTGACTAGAGATAAGAAAAAATGGTGACTTTTAAAATAAGTTTGTTTACTAACTTTTTTGTGGACCCTTGTTTTATGTATCTGCATTTTTGCTGTATTTTAAGATAAACGAATACAGACCGACCAGCATGCAAAGGTGTCTAACCACTTAAACATGAGTCAACTGTACATAAAATACCCGTGCATTATTATAACTTTTAGTTTGTAATGAAGGGAAAACAAAAATATGAACTCGAAGCAAGTATAGTAGTAAAAGTGGTATTAATACATAAAGTAGGGCTAACATATTATTATATATTAAGAAACTCAAAAGTATGTCGGCAGTAAATCTAACGTTGGAGAATGACATAATGGCTTTGTAGAGCATTTTCCTTTAACATAAAATAATAATAATCCTACAATTCCTAAACTGTTGTAATGTTTAGGCCATTAAAGTAAACAGATTTAAATAGTATACGTTAAATGTTATACGAACAACACTCAAAAGGTGCCAAATGTACTGTATATGCGAAGAATGGTCGAAAAGCGTGAAGTTCACTGCGTAGAAATATTCGCAAAAAGGCAATTTAATAGGTGTCAACAATGGGATTTATAACATTTGCTATGTTTCTTTTACCAGTGCTGAATAAGTGAATGCATATATTCAAACTAATAAGCAAATGATGATACAGGTTATAGATACGAAAACAAGAAATAAGCGTTGTGACAATTATTTATTAGTGGTATTGGCTATATATATTATACCTGATTGTTCCTTCCTTTTTTGTTGTCCTTAAACACATGTCAAAAAAAATAAATGTAACTTATTTTCAACATTCAATCATTATCAAATTCAAATTGAGCCTACAACTTATCCCAGTTATAAACATTTAGGATGAAATAAGGGGAATGGAAACCCTTATTTTCAAATATATTTCAGTATTTACTATTTAAAGATCTAAAATGTGGAAAATTACGGAATTATAAACATCATATTAACAAACACACTGTAACCTACATTATCAAATAGTTTTTGTATCTTCTTTACAGGAATCAATTACTTAGGACAAGATAATTACCTTGGTGTTTCTCCCTCCTCTGGGAGTCGTTCCTGCGGTCTTAGATCCTCCGCAACCCATTTGTCTGTCTTCACAGTTTCTTTCTGACGTAGATTTTCCTTGTCAAGCACGATGACTAAATTGACTATATCATGGTTATTGGTAATGATTTCTTATGTAATAACTGAAATATATATAAAACATATATTATAACATTTGAGTATAGTTCACGTGAAGACGGTTTGTCCCATTCCTTCAGAACTGTACCATAGAAATAATTTAACTTTTAAATGACCCGTACATTGTATTAGTTTAAAGTCACTTTTCAGCCAATAAACGATGAATTGCACGTTTTAGCCATTTTAGAATTCATAAAACGGTGCACTGTTTTATATTCAATTTGCTAAAGAATTTAAAAAAAATATTGTTTTATGACATGACGTTTCCGAGAACGTAGTATATAATCATTTTCATTAACTAGTTCACTTGAAGGAATTCATATAAACGTTCAATGAAATCGATATAAATTTATTGTAAACTAAATTTTATTAAAGATAGATAAATGAAAGTCAGTTAAATCAGTAAACTTCCTATGGGGGTTGTTTATCCGACCTTACTTGAAGTGGTGCTTTAAAATGTATTCATGTAATACAATTGTTAACTGATTTACTCGTACAGATGCTCCTTGTATACTTGGTTCCTAATTTTCTATATCATATGAAAGTATGCCAATCCTATATGGATATAAAGATATTCAGGAGATTCTTTTCTGATAAATGTTTGTATACATTACATATAAACAGCAATAAATGTTATGACAATATCATTTGCGGTTTTTTTCTTATTCTGTCTATTAGTACGTTTCCCCTGTCTCTTGTTTGTTTGTACTATAAATTTTTTTACAGTATCTCGTAATTATCTTGGTATTCAGTTAATTGAATAGTGTTTTACTTCACGTTTTTTTCTTCATTGAAGCGTATATGATAGATTATGTCCATTATTTTCTCTTGTTGTAATTAAGAACCCGCTAGGCCAACATCCAGTAATATTCTCATATCATCCTTTTATAGCAAATTATAAACGACTAAAATATAACCTTAACACACAAGACGGAGTTTTCATTCACTACTTTCTTTTCTGAAATGACTTAAAAAAATATTTAATTAGCTCAAATAATAAATAAAAGTTAGACTTACGCACTGACAATTATTTTGATATTCGTTTCATTTTATAAGAAATAGTTATAAGCGGCCGTACCTATACACGAATAACATAAATAACATTAATATTTTTCTCAAACATTTAACGTGATTTCTTTAGTAGTGAAGATGTTTATACATTTAAATATATTTCTTTTATTTACTCTATTGATATTGGATCAATCATATTGGATGTATTCTCTATATCAATCTAAATCTCATTTGTGATTCACTTTATATTCATGAAAGGCGATCAATGTATCTTAAATAACGTCATTTCTCCAATTTTGAATAGTTCTTTTCAACGTGCAAAAGGTTGGTTTAACAACAACAGTATAGAATTGTAATTTCTTCAACACATAATAAAACATGCTGTTGAAAATGTGCTCTCATTGAATACAGGACGGCATTCAGGGGGACATTAATTTGATTTACATTGTATTCATGAGTGTTTTGATTTTGCTTAAATGTGTAAACAAATCAATTTCCACTACAATTGACTTCAAACAATAGCTATGGTTTGAGATAAAAGGGACCATGTTAAATGTTGAACACAGCTATGTAAATAATAATATTGCTACTACCGTAACGTGTCAACAAAACATATAGATTAGGTATTGATTGACTTAATTTTTAACTATTTTCATCAATATGTACTGATTTAAACCAAACTCCTACTTAAACTAATATGTATACCCTTATTTTCATAGAATGAAAACCAATTAAAATCAATTTTTCGTAAGATATGTATAATCAGTGAATATTAAAAATGTTCCAAATTAAACCACCAAAATCAGTAGTATTGGAAGATTATTTACAATAAATACATTTTTGTTTTAATAATTTCCAAAATCTGGTCCAAAAAAAAAAGAACATTAAATTTTAGGTATTTCTAGGTTCAAACACGTCAACACATTATCGAATGTTTTCTTGATCTGCATTTTATGAAATACATGTATCCATGTGCACAGAACTGCCTAACACAGTCAATTCTGTTGTAAAAAGAACTACATGTATTTGTATTATGAATTTTTAAATGACATCTATGTCAGTGTATGAAAATTATCCTATTGAAAGAGCGCATGTAGTCTTCATTTTGTTCCCAATGATGCACTTAATGTACAAGTTTGTGCAGTTGATAACTTTTACTATAGTTGACTTCTATTAATTTAGAACGATAAGACCTGATACACATATATCCTATCCAGTGATTCGAGTTTTAAGAAGTTTTATACAAAATGTAGTAAAACAGACTTCGAGCCTCAAGTTATTGTTATACTCCCATCGATATCCTAGTCACTAGACACACATACGAATCATACAAATTTACTGATTCAAATAACACAAAACAAGTGCTCTATAGTGTCATAACCGTATAAATATATTTCTCAGTAAGTTAACAAATAAATTGTTCAACACTGATATATGAAAAAGAAATGAAATAAAAACATAGATCATGGTGGTTTGATTTTCCGTCTGTTTGTTTAAATACGCAGCATAAAATATCAATGTCTCGTAGTAAGAACCCCGCCCGCCCTGCCCGAAAATCAAATAGAAATCTCATTAAACTTTAAGTTTATATCCACTGAAGTTAATCAATGTATTTTTCAGTGCAAAACTAAGTAGTGCTTCTAAGTCGGTATTATTTATTTTAATGAAAAACGAAAGTATATACATGCATGAGTGGCGCGTGCTGTTATCGCAAGTTCATGTATTTCGGTAATGTATAAAAGATTGTCCGTCAATATATTAGAAGTATGAAGTGAATATAAAGAAACATAATACTTACGTATATATGTTAATCAGTAAGTATAAAATATATCCCTTCTTGCACACTCACATATATATGCTATGTTAAGTAACGCTCTAATAATCATATAACTTTCGTAATAATATAGTTTTGATGTTAATGCCCTATTCTAAACATATAAAAAAAATAGTGAACATATTACATTTTTTCTTGATAAATAACAAAAAGAGTACACAGTGAAAATCAGTATCAACAAAATTTTACCTTGTTAAATATAATCAATGTTTTCTTGTATAGACTATATGATATAGTATTTATTGGCCCTATTTACCCTCCAGTGATAAGATTCCTATATTTCTAAAGCGTTATTTTCTCCCCGTATCACTGGCAAACATAGCATAACTTTTCCCTTCGCAACGCGATACACCTATGTAAAGTCATTCAACAGAACATATTTTTCTGATTTATAAACGATATGCGATATTCAAGTTTCAAAAATAAAACAGAAAAATGTTTATCATGCTCAATGCATTTGTAAAATAACACACACACAAAACGTCACTGGTACTCTTTGACTTTAAAAAAGTCTCTTACAAAAGGGTTGTTGAAGCGACACTGGAGTTAAAGAAAGTTGCCAAAAGAACATTCAATGAACAACTCACGGAGCGTGTAATCTTTATATATTGATATAACCGCGTGGTTGGTGCTAAATTAAACACATCCAAATATCTCCATCAACTAAATCACATTATATTGATTTTAATAGGTTTTGCTATTCATTTACAGAGAAGGAAAAATCAATTAGTTGCACTTCATATCAAACATTGAATTGAAATGAATTTAATGGAGACAAACAGTTGGGTTTAGCATTTTACACTCTAATTTTAATGTTAATTGCTCAAATATCCGACCAAGTATTTACATTATGATAAAATATAAATTACATTTTAAAAAATGTTTGTTAAGTTCACCATATTGCGCTACGACTTATAAAAATAATATATTCCTCAATCTGCACAAAATTAAATAAATTTCTCTCCCAAAAATTTTTAATCTTGTAAAGTGATTAAGGTTTGAAGGAAAACAAACAAATGTATCATCCCTATGTGTAACTTAACTAACATTCGAGTCTGTCCCTGAATTAGCGTCGTCCTGACTAGATCTATATATATATATTCTTTTTTACTTTGCTATAAATGAATTAACTAGGAATGACTTTAGCCGAATAAAACAGTAAAATGTTGGCGAATGCTGATGCAAGGCTCAAGTGATGTATGAAATTTTAAGGGTGTTCAGGCATTCTAAGACAATGATTGCCAAGTCAGTACAGTTAACAGATTTATGTGTGTGCGAACGTTGAACATTAAAACGGGACTAATAGTAAGCCGTCAGATCTTCCGAAATTATATTGATTATATTATTTGTAACAACATGGCATTGTACTAACAATACTTGGATTTACAGTAAAATAGAGAAAAAAGGAATCTCTAAAGAACTCCCGAAACGACAAAATCAAAAATATTGCAGGCTCGGTTTGATTGAGTCTGTAACTCAGACACTGTGTTTTAACACTGGAAATTGTATCCGCCCGAAAGTTCTCAATATTATATAAAGCTCAGACAAATAAACGATAATACTTCTTCATATTCTATCATACCAACCTTAGTTAACTCCCTTAAGAGCCATTCAAATTCGACAATGGTTTGTCGTTTAAATCGAGTTTAATACCTGATTTAAAACATGAGACCCGAATTTGAATTCATTTAATTTAATTGTTTTATAGTATGGTGCAGTGTACTGATTGTTTCATAAATGTGTCTTCCGTGACAGTTCGTAATAGAGCTCGATATTGCGAAGTGACGCTCACCAATATGAAGCTCGAGAATTCCAAATAAAAGATCGCACTTTTATTTGGCATTGTTGCGTTAAAAATCGCGACATTTATAATCCAATTTCACTTTGGATTGTTGAGAGTTGTTTCTTATTGTCAAGCGGCTTTGCATGACATTGGCACAATGTCACTCCGCATCATGGTGATGTCAATTCACGTTTTCAAGTGGCATGGCCTGTGTATCGCCTGACTCGACACACGACAACGCAAATGCGATACTAAAAGCCTCTTCTCGTGTCGAGTATTCATGGAACATAACTACTCGTATAACGTCTAAAAATCTTGAATCCTTCTTGAACAAATGTAATACCGTTAGATTAACTGTCGCCATACACATTTGATATTGAATCACAAAGTTTGATAGATAAATGGGAGAGAGGATAGTAATATACTTCTTGTCATCAGATTTGTCTCCTGAATGTACCATAGCTTTGGAATACAATATCCATGACGTTTAATGTCTAATAAGAAAAATATATCGTGAGAGTATGGCATGACACCAAAGCATTTGCAATAGATCAGTGTCCTCACCTTTCACTGCAGCATATTGAATTGCACTCTCAGAGATAGTTGTTTGTCCTATAGGACAAGCTTCGTCTTCTTCAGCATGGATCACATTAAGTCTTTTACATGTTAAATATTGACCAAGACGCTTAACAAATTGCCATTTTCTCTTTGATGCTTAAAATTATCCTTTTTTCAAGTGAAACCTAACACAAGTATAAAAATTACTCTTCCCCTGTCTAATGTGCGTCAAATCTTTGATATTTGGACTAAACGAATAACCATAGAAAATACCTATAGCACCTCATTTCCTATGTTGAATATACATCTTCTCAAAATACACTACAAATATCAGCAAATGTACTGTTCCTTAACCAAAGAATCAATTGCAAGAGTGATCCTCAATCAAATACGTATTTCATTGCACTTGGAATTTGGTGAAAGATACACTTTCCTAGATGCCACATTTCGAGTCCAGATTTGAGCGCCGGTCAGTTTTATTATAAGGGGAAGACGACGAACTACATAACTGGTATCGGAATATTTCACGCAGTTCAGGAAAATATCTGTATGTCTCTCCATCTTATAACCATTTCTCCCATTTTATCTTGAACACATTTAGAATCACTTGTATTAGAAGGAGGTCAATGAATTCTGATTTTTACATCTGTAAACATAAGTGTGTTTGTGACGAATCACCAAATATTTCTGTCTCTCTTCCTTTAATGTGCGTAATATTTTGTTCTAAAATATACATCTTTGACACTTGAAGTTTTATGTTTTCGTTAATCTCGCTGTCTCTAATGTTGGGCAAAGAGATTTCACCTTGTGCAAGACTTTGATCGGCAGCGGTAGTTGATTTTACTGGTAAATATGTAGGTTTAATACCAAATGTGTTAGAATCCGCCCCCCCCCCCCAATTCAACATCTTCGTTGCCATCAGTGCCCCCGCTCCCTATTCCGGCGTATATTTCTACCAGTACTGGCACACATACTGATGCTATCATTATATATTTGCGTAAAATAGAGCTTTTCAAGCTAAATCATGTTGACCAGCGTTTCAATACCTTGGACATAGTCGAGCAATAGATGAGATCGATCGACCTTAAAAATTATGGACTTTTGTGCATGATAGTGACAGAAAAATGGATGGCAAGGTATAGATAGCCTTCAATTTGCCTTTGGTCATGCACAGAGCGAATCGGATCAAATGCATCAAACCGAAGTTCAAGTCAATGATGATTTATTGTATGTCAAATCACAAAGCATTCGTAACAATCTAATTTTTGGTAATATTCCTCAACCAAAACAAGAAACGTGTGAAAATAGTGAGCAGACTTTACCTCGATTCTTTGTTGACCATTTGAACATCGCTCTGTGTCCGTCACATGGGGGATTACAATCAACGTAGCGGTAATCCACGCGAAATATTTGCTAAATTTGCCTTTTACAAAGATAGAGAAATGGTGCGTCGCATCAGAACCAAGCAAAATGACACTCAGTTTTATCTTCACGAGCAATTTCTACAGGAAATTGAAGCACGGAGAAAATCACTCTTACCGAAACTTAAAAATGCCAAAAAACAAGGTCGCCAAGCTTGGTTAGCCTACGACACCCCTTTTGTTGACGGGTACCATTAAGCGATAAAGAGTCCTGCAGAAGCCAGATGCAGAACGGGAACCGGAAGTAGGAACTCGATGAGGCTGGACTGTCCATATAATCATGAAATTTAAATGGACTTTATGAAATGATTTTATAAAGAAACTGTGTAATAATGATATTATTTTTTTGTTTGAGACTTGGGGTTATAAAAATTCTAATTTTGATATAGATGGGTATATAACTTTTTTTCTATCGTAAATTTCAGAACCGGCGAGCAAAACGATCTAGTGGTTGGGTATAAGTATACATTAAAAATTAAGGGTTACCGTTGTACAGAATCAGTTTGACACTATCATTTTGTTGAAACTAGAAAATTTAAGATCGTTTAGCACGACATAATTGTTGTGTATTCATGTTATGTTGTAATTTTAGTTTCTTCTATTTGGCCTTTTCAACTTGGGTGGTTCCACTATTCTTACTTGAATGCTGTATAATCACCCTTAGGATATGTTGCCAGCTTTTTAAATTGTCTTTTGACGTCTTGTCTGTGATATGCAGGCTTCATAGCCTCAGATCCCTTTTCAAAATTCAATTTTATTTAGTTGTTTCATTGTTTTCTCGCTTAGGGCACACACATTCTTTTATTTGGGGACCATACGCTGCTTTTCATGGAATGGCACTACTGTGTCACATTGATGGTTCTATGATAACCGCCGTATGATCACATCTGCGGATGTTTCTAAATTAAAAATTTCACCATTTTCGTGTTTAAATGTTGACATCTGCTTAAGCCGGTGCAAGGGGGCGTGGACGGTAACTTGCACTTTCCAGTACCGTCCATGAACAGGAGAACGCAAATCATGTTCAGAGACAGTTTTAATGTTGATTGATATAATTGATCTCTCTGATGAAGGCAGCCATTTAATGGTGTTTATCATGAGTGAAAGTTAGTTAATTATGTCCGATTGAAATAAGTGCGCGAATACAATTTACCTACACCTTTCACTGCCCAAAGCTGAAAGGCCAGGCAAACATTTTTTATAGTTTTATATTTTCGACGTAAACATACATTAAATCTATTTATTATTAAATGTGTTAATCAATTTATCTGTTCTTTACACTTAAACGTCGTATATTCAGATACAGTTACTCGTAATTTCTTCAAAAGTGTCTTATAACAGACGTGAAGAGGACAAACAACAATTTATCCTTGGCTTCGCCTCGGACAATTTGTTGTTTATCCTAGCAAACTGTCTTTTTACGTCTGAAAGAAAACACTTCTGAAGAAAAACTCGTACTTTTTCCATTACATGATTTTTACGGATTATCAAATTCTGGTCAAATATTGTTAACAGTTATAATGTTATAGTCAGTTACTTATATACATCAATGTTAAATGATATTAATAGAGGAAAAAATAACTGGTTGTCTAATGTGAAATCATTGTTAGATAATGCAGGTTTGTCATATGTATGTTGTAGAAGAGGGATATTGTCTTATTTGTAATTCACGTGATACAGACTGTCAGTAGGCGAATTTCATTTTGTTTGTATTTGTAATGCTTATGATGATATACGTAAACAATACCTAAAGAAGTAATATTATTATAGACCTAGTGTCCATAAATTCGTTGAACTTATGCAGAATATGCAACATGCAACTTAAATTATATAAATATATATTTGAAGCGTTTGAAATACGTCAGGGTATTGTTAATATGATATCTGAATAAGCTTATTACAGTATCTACCTTTTTAAATCAAATAAATATACAAATTGTCCATGTTATAATTCAATAATTTCATGAAACATTTGACTTATTTTGGCAGTGATTTAGCAGTAAGTCATAAAATATACAATTTCTCCATTAGTTCAACCTCTTTGTTTTCTAGCTTCCATTTTCTCTCTTGTTTTGACTATATGTATAATATTTTCTGTTAATATAATTGTCTATAAATTGTGTCATGTTGACAAGTTATATTGTATCATTGTATATATGTGTTGTGTAGCAAGAAACGTCCAAATAAAATAGTTTGAATCTTGAATCTTAAAATTTTATATTTGCTACTATTTAAATAGATCGTTCCTATTAAAGAATTATACAACATGTACTTGAACAGTATTTTCAAAAACTTCAAATTAAACTAGGATTTTGAAAATAGAATAAATATATATTTCTCATTTTAGTGGGTTTTTCCTACCTTTTTTCATCTTTATCAGTTTCTATATCATCAAGAAGGTAGTTTCTTGTAAATTAAATTACCTAATATAACAATAATTAAAACGTTAAAGATCCTGTAACACATTTTTTTCATGGTTTTATTTCATAAATATGATGCTCAAATTAAGATTTGTCAATCTTGTAAGTTCAAATAAGCATTATTTATAAAGATATTACCCAATTTAACATTTTGCGTAAATAAAGGGAGGTAATTAGAAATTTATTTTCTATAAATTCCAAGTCAAATTTTCCAATAAGAAATGAATGCATGTAACTTATTGATTAAATAAAATGTGAACAAATATTTGCAGTACACATTTTACATATTCTTTGATGTTTGAAAATTGTTTTATTTGCATAATTATATACATATATAATATTTTGCAAGTGTGTGATACATACAGTAACAATTTCAATCACAAAACATACAGGATCTTTAAGACGCGGTATATATACGTTTGTCATTCTAAAATAACACAAATATACATAATCTTTGTTTATTACCAAAATGTTACATTTTCTTAATGGGGTATTTCAACACCGCCACCAGTTAATGTGGTAACAGTATTTATACGTTAAATCACCCTTACATACATATATACATGTATGTATATACATTTTTGTATTTGTTTATTTGGGTCTCTTCTATGTACACACAGTATATTACAAACAAACAATATCATAAAACATGTACACAGCCATTCTATATAAGAATTACAAGAGACAACCTTACATGTTTGCTATTTCCAACTATGGACAGTTGTTTACGGAAACCAGTATTCTTGATTGAACAATGCCAAAAGTGCATCAGTTTTTTTGTATTACATTATTGTAATGGTACCATCAAGTACTAGACTTCACATTATACTTTAATATCAAAACTTCTCAGTACTCGTATATGTGTGTGGAATACCGAATACATTACGATGAAGATGACGTGTAAAAATCATACTTGATTATTGAACAATTAATGGGTTAACCCCTTATCTTGTTTTACGTTGAGTGTTGTTCAGGTTGTTTGTTATTATTATTCTATTCTTGAACAACAGATCGAGTCATTCTGTTCTAGCGTAGTTCTTATCTTAGAATAAAAGTTCATGTCAAATTGTTAAATTGATTTTCCTGAAGATAAAGATCTTTGGGGAGTAATAATAACAGTCGATTTCTGGAACACCGGGCTTATTAAGAAATTGTGACATTTCCTCATATTCTGTTTTTTTTAATTTAACTCTTGAGGTACAATAACAACTAAAATGTCATAGAGATAGGGCATGGACATGGTTGATGTATCGCTCTAATGAAAAACAAAAGAAATGTAACTTTTTATCACATGTCCATCACAGCTAAACCACACCTCGTTGCAATACGCATTTCGTTTTACCTTGAATTTATCTGTACGATTATATATATATTGTAATTTAAATCATTTTTATTATGGCATATATTTTTTATCTGAATAAGAAAGTTTTATTACTAATCTAAAGACTTTTGTATATTTGATAATCAACTTGGCGGAGCGCAATCGTCAAACCGACTAGATCCATTTTGTTGTTATTTACATGCAGCCTAAAGCATAAGATTAGAGCAAACGTTCTTTCTGTTTCTTTGATTTCTTTATATTGTTTAAAAAAAGTCATTTTGTTAACACTAATGTAACTTGATAAGATTGCTTAATTTGATGCATGTCTTGGCGCCTTTTGTTTGTTTGTTTGCAATGCATATGTAAGAAGGTAACAGGTATTTGTGCTAAAGTTAACCTTAAAAAAAATTCTAGAATTCATTGATAATAAAAGAATAAAATAGATCGATTGTTTTGAGAAACATTTTTAATTATTACTTGAGCTGTCCATAAAAATAAGTGAGGTGACGGTTCAAATTTGAGTACAATTGGACTGTGTATAAATTTTAGTTGCAAGTAATTGGGGAACTTTTGTTTAAAATTCCGAAAATGCCTGTGTGCATGCTTAATCATGTCAAATACTGCTTGAGATAATTAGTTGTAAGATCGCAATTTCAATTAAGAGAATCATCTGATCCAATTTTGAGCACATTTGGATTGTATATAAATTTCAGTTACAAGTAATTGTGGAACTTTTGTTTAAGATATTCTTTGAAGAATCCAAAAACGCCTGTGTGAATGATAAACCATTGTCAAAGATTGCTTGAGATAATTACTTACAAGATCGCATTTTCAATTAAGAGACTCATCTGATCCAATTTTTAGCACATTTGGATTGTATATACATTTCATGGAACTTTTGTTTTATTAAGATATTCTTTGTAGTACCTGTGTGCATGCTTAATCATTGTCAAATATTGCTTCAGATAATGACTTATAAGATCGCATTATGAATGTTTGAATATTTACACGTATATTCATGTGGTACTCGATTACATGATGTGACGTCAGATGATAGCAATGTACCTCGTTTCGGTTTGCTGGCATAGTCAAGCGGCCCTCACGAGCATAGCAGGTGCCAGGGTTTTAGTTAAAATTAATTATGTTTGAGATGTCTATCTTGACCTTTGAATTGTTTTGTATAAAACAATAAATACCACATTCCATTGAGTGCCATAGAACAAAATGTTCATCCTTTACAAGATAATAGCAACATCGACTAACGCATCGGCTGTATATCACTCGTTTCGGGGGAACATTTCGCTCAATCACCCCAAGTCGGATATGATGTTTATATAATGTTATATAATCAAAAATATGTTCCAAAAATATGATGCCACTCTTACTACAACATAATAGACAACAAAGCGTTTTAATAGAATGTCAATACAAAATTTACATAAAAACGAAACAAAATATATATGGAAATAGTTTGTAACAAAATGAAAAGAGTTTATGATACAAATGGTCATGAGCTTAATTTGAAGCCTGAGAACAACACCAGCCATATGATCAGTCAATTGACATCACATACATTTTTCATTTGCAACGTCGTCAGTTAAACTGGAAACTATGCACTTTCTAAATTATTCTGTTTGTGAAACATCGGGTCATGTTAACTTGTTCACACTCAAGCTAATAAATACGGAGCAAATACAAATCAATTCATTCAGTAAACCCTTTTGTTTGTAAAAAGACGAAAACAGAATAAATGTTTTAATGCTACAATTTGACAGACATTTCTGTGATATCTGTAGTAAGTGGTGGGTGATTGTTGAAATTTACGTTGCCGTTCATTTGTTCACTATGTTGTAAATTAGAATAAACTGTATTCACACAGAAAGCAGCTGTGGTTTCATTGATAGTTGTTGCATGTCCGTTAGATTTTGGTTTTTCATTGCCTACATCCACGTGTAAGTGCACTTCTGAATTTAAAGCCCCATTTGATACTTTGCCATTTGAGTTCTGGTGGTGTTTTCCGTTCAACTTTTCTTGTGTTTGTGTTAGTCTGTTTCGTCTGTGTTTCTGATCATTTATGGCGTAGGCAATAACAATAATTAGAATCAAGACTAGAAGAACGCCAACAACACCACCGACAACAGTAGACGTTTTCCCATTGTCCTCCGACTCCTTTGACTGCTTCTCAGTATCACTTTCCTCGTCGTTTATCTCAGTTGCTTTCTTTGTATGGCTTACGGTTGACTTTGTGTGTCCTTTCTCGGTAGATCTCACATATGGACTACTGGTTGATATTTTATTTTGTGTGTTGGGCGGTGTTTGCTTTACTGAGGTTAGTGACGCAGCTTGTTTCGTTGACTTTGGTAATTCTGTCGTTGTTGTAAACATTTTGGTCGTACCAGGAGACATCTGTGTTGCTACTGTTTTGTCGGAGGCTGGTCTTGTCATACCAGTTGATATATTAGCACCGAGTATCTTGATATCATCTAATCCAACTTTGGCCAAATGATAATTATTGTAAGCCTGAAATACTACCTACAAATAGATAGCTTAGAATAATAAATGATCTGCTAGCATACACAATTAATGTCATATATTCCACAACAACATTTTTAAATCTTTAAATAAGACAATGAAGTTAATTAATATGCCACCTTTTATACGGTTTTGTCGCCTAAGAAATAAAGATGCTCAATTGACAAAAGAATGACTGCAAAAGGTAACCGAATTATTAAAATAGTATAAATTCTATCTTTGTATGGGAGAAACTGTTTAAATCTTCTTAAGTCGGTGGCTATAGGTGCATTTGCAAATAATAGGATAAGTCAAAACGACAATTACCGTAAATGGCGGATCCTCAAACACTGATAATATTTGCTTATGCCAGCCGGTCATATTAGATGCTCTCTTATTCTGAAAAAAATTATCCACTTCCCACAGTGTTGTCAATCTGCCGGTATAGTCTCGGATTAAGACTTTAACATTAGAATACTTAGATGGGACAGTATACCAGAATGTCACACAAGCGAACGTCGCGTAAATGGCAGGTGTTTCTACGCTTGCAATACGCTTTGGATTTGACCAACCCCATGAATTTTTAAATAAGAGATATTTCCCTCTGGTACCGTCTGAAAAATCAAATGGAAACATTTATACACTTTAATGGTATCAAGCAATTCCACAATGTATACTTATAATATAATTGTATTATAATTTGAGTTATGTTCAGTTTTTTTTATATTCATAAGATTGATATTAATGTCGCTTAACAATTGATATAATCATCACAGACTTTTACAAGCACAAATACATTAATGTTTATACTTGTTTGGAATGTATGGTCTCCAATAATAAAGTCATCTTGATATTTATTTCCTTCCATTTTATCCGTTCTCTCCCATGTCACTTCTCGATTTGCTTGACTGGCGATGATTTTATTACCACACGTACCATTCTCAAAATCACACGTGCCGGGCATTATCCTGGTTCTCCCGGCAAACCTGGAACAAAGTGATGCCGACGACGACGGATAAGATGAACCATATGTTGTAAGAGATGAAAATTTATGAGTTTTGTTCTTTTGCTCCTCCGTAGTTGTTGTAGGTAGAGAAGTTGTTGTTGTCGTCGACGTAGTTGTCGATTGCGTTGTTGTCGCAGTGCGTGTTGTTGTTGAAGTTTGGCAATGAGTTTTGTTCTTCTCTGAAATTTGAGTATAGAATAAGAGTTTTATCTCGATAACATTATTTCTATAGTAGCAAATAACACGAATACGATCTTCTCTAAAAGGAACATTTAAATTCAATTAAATAGCACTACATAATAACCATGTTTTCATTTATGAAACAAATAACGTTTTTCATTTTGGGAATATAGCTTTTTTAGAGGAATTTTATACAACCACTTCAATTAAATGATTGATAATACACAAAAAAGGAAATAAAAGTAAAGAATTTAGAAGTACCGATCACATGTAAACTTGTAATTTATTCTGGAATAAATTTAGTTAACGTTACCTTCGATATATTCTGACAAAAGATGTAAATCATCAATGGCAAGGTCACTACCAACTGGAATTCTTACGGTTGATTTGAATTGTAACTTCAACGTCCCAGGTTTAAGTGTGACTGAATGATTGAGCCAGTCTTTACCCTGCCTTCCTTCTATCTTCCATACTTCAGTTGGTTTGTTGTCCGCTATGATAGTCAACGTTAATAACCCAGAACCATAACCGTTCATAGTGTACCAAAACGTAAATGTTGTCTCCTTACTAATATTGAATTGTTTACTCTCCAATACTGCAATGTCATTGATGCTTTCGGCATCTCCTCCGGATATGAACATATATTTGCCTTGGTAATCTGAAATATTGGATAATCAATTTAATATCTATAATTGATGGTGTAACGTATGAGTTAAATATTTGATTTCTATATCTATAACCTCAGACAACTCTGTCAGGCAACAGATTATTTGGCTAAGTTGTTTACAGCGTTCAGGTGTTGTTTAGTTTGCTCGTTAGCCGATGGTAGAATCCTACGTAGTATAGTATTTTTGTAGTTGAATTGCATTTTTTATGACAAATTCAAAATTCTTCTCAGATTAGGCTCTTACAGGACTGTGTATAGAAACCTATAGTATTTCTGAAAATCTGTCGCCATAAAATTGGTGTGCTGCGTACTTGTTCACATCTCGATACATCCTCGACAATTGCGTCAGTGAATCGAATCTTTGGCTTGGTCTCGGGTGTTTTGCTTATGTGCTTGTAAGCAGATGACAGCGAGTTCGAATCTCCTTATCATAGTGAAACTATCAAAATTATCATTACATTATCATTGTCTTGACCCACAAGCATTTTATAAATGACACGAGCATATTTCCTCCATGTAATTGTCAAAATACTTACAGTTATCATTGACTTGTAGAGTATATCTTATTCTAAAGATAATACTTTAATACTTGTAAGATTAGATCATTTTACAAATGAGTTGTAGTAAAATAAATTAAAGAACTGTAGTAATAAAACGCGTTCGTTTAATAATATCAAAATTAAAACAAACAAAATTTTGCCTCCTGCTTTTAAAGTTGCATACTTCAAGTTAAGCCAAAATACATGTATTTTTTTAATCAAATTGAGAAATCTTTTCTAAAATTTAAAGAACAGTAACAAGATTCAAATAATAATTCACATGGTTTATGCAATTAATACCTACATTGCAGTTTTTATCAACATATTTCTACCGCGTGACTAACGCATTAAATGGCTATTTTACATATTTTGAAAATGTGACCTCCTTCTAGTAATTTACATGTGCAATGTCTTTGTTCACTTTGAAATACATTTTCAAAATGTTTATGAAAATTTGCATGCTGCTAAAAAGAGAAAGTCTAAACATATCGCAACTATATTTCATCTCTATAGAATTAAATAATGCACTTACACATTTAAACTTCAACGGGCTCCGCTTCACCTGGGAAGGGCTTAAAGATATACTATGCACATCTTTGGGTAAAATATTTTTATCTTAGAAATGTATTGAAATCCATAAAATTCTTACTGAATATTTTTAATTTGAATAAAATAATGAATAAACTATGTATGGAAAGCTGCATTCCCTATTACGGGTCAAATTAAGTTGGTCTTTTCTTAAAAAAACTGCCAGTTTTTTTAATGACACTATATATTCATATTGTGACCACCTATAGTGTGTATATAGAGTTCAAAACATAACATACCTACTTTAAATATAGTCGAAACATGTTTATTTTATACATACAAAGAGACTGTGTAGCAATTATTAACATTTTTAAAAATCAAATTTGAGCATAGTATATCTAATGTTGTAAGAACTTGTTGCCCAACCGATTTGCATTTTGATATATACTAATTATTTGTATGATATGTTTGTAAACATGTATTTAATGCAATAAAATATGTTTAAACTAGCGGGATCCGCCGAGGTTTCTTGGAGCAACAAGTTAAAACTTTAAAAATGCGGGGAAGAAACAAGGGAATGGAGGGCGGGTTTGTACCTTTTAGGCCATGTCTGTTCCAATAACCCGTGTGCAGTTCATTCACTAATTTTTTTTCAGAATTTATGTGTAAAATGACCCAAGAATGAAAATTCAAAACATAAAATCAGATCGGTTATAATTTCACAATATTTCTTTAATTATTTGCATATATATTTCCCAATAGATCTATTTGAGATATTCAAATCGTATGTTTTTAGGATTTTGGACCGAATTTGCAATTCTATTATATAATAAATGTATGAACATCGACTGTTTTTATTATTAAAAAAGCAAGCTGATGAAAAAATGGTGAAAAATGGTGAAAGAATTAAGGGGCAAATGTTTGCACGACTTGAACCTTGTGATGGGCAGATAGACGGGAAAAGGCACGGGTGTCGCTGCTTATCTGAGTATGTACGAGTACATTTGAAGTTATTTTTGATAAGATTTACCGTATTTATAAATGGTATTGAAAATGAATTAAATTGAATGATAATCGCATTAACCAATGATTCCAACTGTAACGAGCGTGGCTCTCTGTGATTTTTTTACACTGATGTACCACGATGTGTACCACAGTGTGCTAGCGTGAATAACAAAAACTCAAGATTATTTAATCTGATATCTTATCTTGAGTTAAGATTACGAGCATCATTTCTCCTTTGTACAGAGTAGGACTCACCTCTTCTCGTACGATATTACTATCTGTCCAGGTCAATGTCGTGGGAATTTGTCATTCCAAATACGGCGTGTCCTCATAAAGTAACAACACGACTTTACATTAAATTAATTTAAATAAAGGATCGCCCTTTTTTCATTCATTTAAATAAAAGTACTGAATACTAGTATGTGCTTGATGTGGTTATATAAATGTCGGCGTCTTTTTTTTCTATTTCCGGTATACATACAGTGTATTTGATTAAATATGCATGCGTCTGAAGGAATACAGAAAAAAGCGTATAGCCATTTTTAAAAATCATACAAAAAAACCCAAACAAGAAAAACAACAACAAAAACAAACATGAAAATAGAGATTATCTTGTTCGTTTACCGAATATTTTTTAAAGCACGTGTAAATACTGTTGACAATTAATACTTTTATTTGTTTACTTACTTGCACATGTATGGTCGTTAAGAGGACCGGAAGATCGATCATCAGTCATACCACTGCCCCTCTTCCACCTGAACTTGCCTGACCCAACAATATGCCAGCCGCATAGGTCGGAATCGAACGTACAGCTGACCGAGGTTGCACCCACGAAATCTTTCAATATAATTTTTAATATAATTAAGCATGTTTCATATTAATATTCACTTGAAATGTATTTGTTTAGTATGGATGAATTACTAGATTTATATAATAAGATGAAATATCGTAGATTGAAAGTTAATTTACAAATGAATATTTATTATAATTATTATAATTATAAACTATACGCATTTTTATCAAATTACACCATTGACTTCTTTTATAGTCGACTTATAATCAGATTAGATGGGTGTATCAAATATCTATTAATTATTTCTTTATTTTGATAATTATTATACGAGCATAATACTTATTTAACGTCAAAAATGTTAAAATCGCTATAAACATTAAATTTGCATTAACCTTTGCCATTTGCAAAGAGCAGAAAAATGATCACATCAACTGACTGTTATCCGTAAATGATGATTGCTATTAAGTCCGGAAAGTATTAAATCTCTGTAATTTTGTGATCCAGTATTTATAGAGAACTTGATTGACTCCCCGCTGACGTCGTTATTAGCGATAACGCCACCAATGGCGGAGATAACCGAGCACTTAATTTATACATTAAATGGCTCTAACATGTTTAATACGAGTTCTTCTTATGATGTATGGGAGCGACAGAAACAGGAAAGTTGCCCATTTTATGGTTTGGTTTTGAAAGTGATAAAGAAAGCATTTAACAAATGAACTTGCTTAATTCGATTTCTTCAACAGAATACACTTTGCTTATATGGTCTTCGACAATGGCATTATCGAAAAATAAACAATTCTGTAGTAAAAGACTAGGTTGTAATAAAAAAATATATATTACGCGTTGATTTTAAGTGCCCATTTATCAGTAATATACATGATAAGTATGTGATTTAAATACTGAAATATAATTTAGTGTCTCTGTATTCACGGAAATGTGCTGAAAAATCCCTCTCAAAATTTATTTCTGAGGAAATTTGTTTAAGAAACCCAACACGGGAGCCTAAACCGATGTGAAGCTATCTTAATAAAACAATAAATGAGCCGCGTCACGACAAAAGCAACATAATGGGTTTGCGACCAGCATGGATCCAGACCAGCCTGCGCATCCGCACAGTCTGATCAGGATCCATGCTGTTCGCTTACCAACTCTATAACAAGTAGAGAAACTGATAGCGAACAGCATGGATCCTGATCAGACTGCGCGGATGCGCAGGCTGGTCTGGATCCATGCTGGTCGCAAACGCACTATGTTAATTTGTTTTGTCGTGACACGGCTCAAATTAGAAGTGCGCTTGATCTCGTCACAAAGTGACGTGGATACGGAACACAGGATAAATTTAAAATTTAAGTCACATGACATTGGGCATCCATGGTTACTCAGTCATAGGACTACGAGAACATTTTTAGCTTGGTTTGAATAGTAGAGTTTCGAACTCCTAATCCTCGAGCCACTTTAGTAAACGTAAAAATCTGGATAAAGTGTGATCCCTCGGAAGCATAAATCACAACAAATAACATGAAAATTGCAGACACGGTTTGATTTAGTCTGTACATGAGGCATGATAAAAAAAAGTGCAACATCCCGCACGCACCCAAGCATCGACTTAAGAGTTACTCAATTTTCAACAATTAAAAGTGCTGGAATCAATTATCCCGAAGGACCAAAAAAAAGAACGACACAGAAATGAAGTACAGGGCAACTTCTTACAGCTGCAGAACAGCACTTGACATCTGCTGTTGTGAAGTATAAAAATCTGGATATAGTGTGACCCCTCGGAAGCACAAATCAAAACAAATTACATGAAAATTGCAGACTCGGTTTGATTAAGTCTGTGTATGAGGCCAAATGAAAAAGTGCAACATCCCTCACGCCACCAGCTAGCACCGGCTTGAGCAGTACACTTAAAAGTGCTGGAATCAATGATCCCGAAGGACCACAAAAAAACAACAACACTGAAGTATAGTACAGACAGCCTTTTATAGTTGCCACACCTGCTGTTGTGAAGTATAAAAATCTGAATAGTGTGATCCCTCGGAAGCATTAATTACAACAAAACTTACGTAAGTCTGTAAGTCTTCTATTTCAGCCAGACGATCGATAACCTGTAACACACATTTTCGAAATGTTCTTGACATTGATAAGTTTCTTCAAGTCAAAAACTTGAGTCTAAAATATTTGCGTTGTAATCATAAAATAAATAAAAAAATTAAATAAATAGAAATGCAACACTTGTGCTTTTTTCCCAACCATATCTGTGTTTGTTTTCTTTTTTTTCTTGTCTGTCCAGTTTTCGTTACAGTCTAGCTTATAGATAAATAGCAGTAAAAAAATAAAGTTTGGTCACCCGGCCTTGTTAAAACCATTTGTCTGCCAACTCATTTTAAGATATGGCAAAATGCGGTTAGTTGAAAAATAAATCTCTGTTTAATTACAAAAAGCTTATCTAAACATTTCAATTCAAATTTAAACCTCAAAAGAAAGGCTTGGCGTTCTGTCAGAACCAATGCAATATTTCATCATCAAGTATTGAAATAGAATGAGGTCATTTTTAAAGTTATGATAACGGTCATTCAAAGAGTGCAGTCACTTTAAACTTTTCGCTGTCTTATCCAAAATGTCAAGTATTTTAAAGGTGTTGTAGATGCCATATTTAATTTAGGATAAGAACTTGAGAAAACTTAAATCAGGTCAGTTTAAGAAAGGTCGTAAAGACTTCAAAAGTTTTATAAATAAATAAACAGCGTTAAAAGTGGCTTTCTTTTTGCACTTTGGGAAAACGTCAAATGTTGCCCACCTATTATATCAAGGAATGTTAGACTGCTTAGCAATCTTTAATGATCGCATATATTGGCTGCATCCATTTGATTTCATTATGAGTATGTAAGCCTTCCTGGCGGCATCCATTATATTCAGAATATGTATGTACTCAATGCTGACCGCATTCATTATGTTTAAAATCTGCATATGTAAGTCATGCTGACCGCATTCATTATGTTCAGAATCGTGCTGGACGCATCCATTATGTTCAAAATCTGAGTGTGTAATCCATGCTGGCGGCATCCATTATGTTCAAAATTTGTATGTGATCCATGCTTGCCGCATCCAGTATGTCCAGAATCTGCGTATGTAATATATATGCTGGCCGTTCAAAATTTGTATGTAACCTATGCTTGCCGCTTCCAGTATGTTCAAAATCTGCATATGTAATCCATGCTTGCCGCATCCAGTATGTTCAGAATCTGTGAGTTTGTAATCCATGCTGGCCGCATCCATTTTGTTCAGAATCCGCGTATGTAATCATTGCTGGTCGCATCCATTATGTTCAGAATCTGTGAGTATATAATCCATGCTGGCCGCATTCATTATGTTCAGAATTCGCGTATGTAATCCATGCTGTTCGCATCCATCGCGTATGTAATCCATGCTGGCCGCATCCATTATGTTCAAAATCTGCGTATGTAATCCATGCTGGTCGCATCCATTATGTTCAGAATCTGTGAGTATATAATCCATGCTGGTCGCATTCATTATGTTCAGAATTCGCGTATGTAATCCATGCTGGCCGCATCCATTATGTTCAAAATCTGCGTATGTAATCCATGCTGGTCGCATCCATTATGTTCAGAATCAGTGAGTATGTAATCCATGCTGGTCGCATCCAGTATGTTCAGAATCCGCGTATGTAATCATTGCTGGTCGCATCCATTATGTTCAGAATCCGCGTATGGAATCCATGCTGGTCGCATCCATTATGTTCAGAATCTGTGAGTATACAATCCATGCTGGCCGCATTCATTATATTCAGAATTCGCGTATGTAATCCATGCTGGCCGCATCCATTATGTTCAAAATCTGCGTATGTAATCCATGCTGGTCGCATCCATTATGTTCAGAATCAGTGAGTATGTAATCCATGCTGGCCGCATCCATTATGTTCAGAATCCGCGTATGTAATCCATGCTGGTCGCATCCATTATGTTCAGAATATGTGAGTATATAATCCATGCTGGCCGCATTCATTATGTTCAGAATCTGCGTATGTAATCCATGCTGGCCGCATCCATTATGTTCAAAATCTGCGTATGTAATCCATGCTGGCCGCATTCATTATGTTCAAAATCTGCGTATGTAATCCATGCTGGCCGCATCCATTATGTTCAGAATCCGCGTATGTTATCCATGCTGGCCGCATCCATTATGTTCAGAATCCGCGTATGTAATCCATGCTGGCCGCATCCATTATGTTCAGAATCAGTGAGTATGTAATCCATGCTGGCCGCATCCATTATGTTCAGAATCTGCGTATGTAATCCATGCTGGCCGCATCCATTATGTTCAGAATCTGCGTATGTAATCCATGCTGGCCGCATCCATTATGTTCAGAATCCGCGAGTATGTAATCCATGCTGGCCGCATCCATTATGTTCAGAATCTGCGAGTATGTAATCCATGCTGGCCGCATCCACTAGTTCGGAATCTGTGAATATGTAAGCCACGCTGGTTGCATCCATTTTGTTCAAGATCTGTGTATGTACATGTATTCCATGCTGGCCGCAATTTTTGTCTAATTAAATTTGAAAATAGGTATGACCTGAAAATAGACCGATACCTAATTTCGTTCCTTGATCCAATTTTTAAAAATAATCTGTGTAGTCTTCACTCTAGGGATTCATATGGTGAGTTGCCATCTTCGAATACTATCTTCAAAGATATATATATCAGTTTTTCAAGTTTATCAGTATTCAGTTTGCTACAGAAATGCGAAACTATAAAATGGACTATACTATATATATATAGTTAAAATTTCAGCGAACAAAGAATTGGTAATTAAGATTCGAGTGTTTGATGTTAAATTTACTAAATTTAGCCAGTATGTTGATTTGTTTTGCAGTCTTTTTGCAAACATTGGATACAGGTAGGTCAAAGTTAAATAAAGAATCAATTTCAACACCAAGAAAGTTTACACTTAATAAAGTTATTTCACAGACAATTTCTGTACTCGCTACATTGGGGAGTAGATCCTCCTAAATATAATTTAACTGACTTATTTTTAAACTTAACAATCGTTTAAAAGAATTGCATCATTACATCAGAACTAATACGTTTTGGATAATGATTTTTTTAGCAAATAATGGGGCGTTCCGCTCTTTGCAGATGAGAGCGATATATTTCTATTCGTGCATAACTTTTTAGTAAACCGGAAGTAAACAAACAATTCTCAAACGGTTGACAACTAAAATTTAGAAATTCAATAATAAAGTATTCTTAACAGAAAATATGCCGAAGGAAGAAGTGCAAGACTATTGGATCCACGAAAGCATCAAGGACATATCTTTCCATGACTTGTTTGAGCTAGGGAAAGAGCTTGGATGGTAATAAGTCTTAATAAAAGCGCCTGTTTTCATAGTTACCAACAAAAAATTCCGCTTCCCGAAAAATTATGTGCGCTTTTATAATAGATTAATTTTATGGGTTTTATACCATTATGTCAGCTTAAGTTTTTCTTTCGCTCAATATTTAAAATTTGTTTGTAAACCTGATAATTTCCTACGCATTGGCTGGGATTTGAACCAGGGACCTCACAATTACATACATGCCATATTACAGACACTTCACCCCCAGTCACTTCACCCAAGACCCATTTTTGCAGACAATTCATCCCTCAGACACTTCACCCCTCATTTTAAGAAATTTGATTGAGACACTTCACCCCCCCCCCTTTTTTTTTATTTTGTGTTTAACAACTATTTATGTAGAAAATGTTAAATGTATTCAATAGTGATTGAGTAGGCCCTATGTTTATTCTTTAACATATTTTATTATTATTTTATCATGTAATTGACCAAAGACAAAGGATATAAATTGTTGTTTTTGCCCTAAAATATCACTCAATAAATCAATCAAAGGTATTTTTATAGCGCGACACTTTATACAGTTATATTCTGTTGCGCTTCACAAGATCCTATAATGTCAAAGTCATTTCCACAGTTTAAAACTATATACACATTTGACGAAACTTTTTATCTATAAAATTGTTCAAAGAGGTGTGCTTTCAGTCTTTTTCTGAATGCAATTTCCGATGCAATGCACTTTAATTCTTTTGGTAGGGCGTTTCACCATTTAGGTCCCATAACAGAAATAGATCTGTCAGCAAGTCTGGTCCTGCGTCTTGGCACAACAAACTGTGTACACGTGTCATCATCAGCTGATCTTAGACTGTATTTTCTTCTCACACAATTAAACAAAGTTATGAGATACGTTGGAGCTGTTCCATGTATTACTCGGAAAACAATAAGAATTACTTTAAACATAATCCATGCCTTGACTGGTAACCAATGGAAAGATTTTCTGAGATCAGCACTAGGTTGGTCATACACATTCATTACTACCCGAGCAGCCTGGTTTTGGAGTCTCTGAAGTCGATCTATTTGATAAACTGGTATTTCTGCAAAAAGTCCATTACAAAAATCGATGTGGGAATTGACTAAACCATGAATTAGTATTTCAGTTGATTTCTGAGACAGATGCTTACGAATGGATTTAAGGTTCTTAAGTTGAGAGTAGGCTATTTGACACTTTTTTCGTATATGCCTGTCAAAACTAAGTTTGGCATCAAAGCAAACACCCAAGTCCCTTACATGGTCAACACATTTAATAACCATAAAATAAGGCAATGAACACTTAATGGATGGAAGTGCTTTGTTTAACATTGGGCAATACGATGATCATGACTTTAAGGGACTCCACTGAGGTTTTTTGACATGATGAGACTGAAAATATTTTTTCCAGATAAGTGTACCATTTGATGTAGGTTTAGACCACTAATCTTTGTGCAAAATTTCTGATCATTCCCGCACTTTGTTTTTCCTGAATAATTTTTCAAATTGTAAAAAAATGACACAAAATGAAAAGCGTTTAAACACTTTCACTCAAATCTGGCTAAGAAAAGCATAAAAATACGATTTTCAAATTATTTCAAAGTATATTTCTTAGCTATCTTTTCATATATTTCTGTTTAAAGTGCCCCAGCTCATTTATGGCAGAAATTCAAATGTTATGTTTTTAGGCTTTTAAACCTCAGTGGAGTCCCTGAGGAATTCTTGGAGAAAGTCAGGGTGAATTTATGGACATTTATAAGAATGTGGTTTTTTGAACCAGTAAAATGTTTTGTTTTATTGCATGTTATATGTAAATGATTTCTGTATTATTTACTAAACAAATATTTACTCTTAGATAATTATGTCTGTTAATTGTCCTTTAATTAAAGAAGTATTAATCAAATAATACTAAGAATTTATTAAAATAAGCATATGATTTAAAAAGCATTATGTTGTTGGCTTATTTACTTAAAAGAAAAAAATTGGATGAGGGGTGAAGTGTCTTCAGTGTTTTTTTTCACCAAAATATTTTGCGAAATTCTCCCCATTCCCCCCTCAAAATAGTATGTTTTTTTCCCCCCTCAAAGCTGAAATTTCCCCCTATAATATGGCAGCCCAAATCTGCCTGCAATGAATATCATTTTTATGCAACTAACTGCCGAAAAATGCTTTATTTTATGCCTGTAAGACTTACTGTTAAGCAAGGTTTTTCATATAGGTAAGGGGAGCTACTCCTGGTATCCCAACAAGTTTATCATGTGACACATCAATATTTTAGATCCGTATAAAAATCCCCCTCCTATTGCATTTTTCCCCCTCCAATGGGCACCGACCCCCTTCCCCCAAAAGTGAAAAAAAACACTGGTCTTACTGATTTTGGGGGGTGAAGTGGGTGACCGGTGAAGTGTCTTGAGGGGTGAAGTGTCTTCAAAATTTGAGAGGTGAAGTGTCTGGAGGGTGAAGTGTCTTGCTACCCATATTTCCAGCCAAGCAGGGGACTTGGACCAAAAGTAGGGGGATTTTTAAGCAAGCACAAACCAGTCATAATCTTAAAACGATGCAAACATATAATTAAATTTCCCCTATTTTATTTTGAAAATGAACATTTCTACAACATCATTTGATATTTTCAAGTTTGAATCAAAAATAAATAACAACTAAAACATGTATCCGAAATGTGGTACTTCCGAAATCACATACTTTTTCATACATGACATTGTTGATTCTTTCAGCAATACACAGTCGAGACTGTCATATGTGACTTTTCAAGGGACCTTCAAAAAAAAAAAGGTTACATACAATGTATGACAGGGAGTCTCTTAATACAGTCTCAAAGAAAATTAAAGTACCATCTATATACCAAAAAAAATTGATATGTCACTCATTCAGTGTCGGACGCTGTCATTGGTTAAGCACCTGCAATACTGACACTGATTGACAGGTTTAACAAAGGAGAATTGTCATACAAGTAACATTGGTTGTATATTCCTTGACAGCTGAAGTGTGTCGGAGTAACCAACAATGCAATTATTCGCTAGACCCCTGCTGTTTAATGTGGCGATTATTACTTCAGACATGTATAGTTGTAAAAGTTGTTTATGTCTATCGTTAAATTATGTTTATTGGTAAAAATGATGCTTTATTTTTTTGTTGGTTGAATTTTTAAAAATCGGGGGATTTCGATCCCACAGCGGGAGATTGGGAGACACGGTTTAAAATCGGGGGGTTTTGTCCCCCAGCAGGGGATATGGCATGTATGCAATTACTTGTCAGACAGGGACACGCAACGGTGAACCACATGATGATATCGCCAAATATTTGACCCAACAGCAATGGCTTATACCTGTAAAATCTACACTTCTCACTTTGTTTCAAAAGGAACCATATATCTATCTTCCATTAATGTCAAACCCCTTGCGGGGATGTAGACATGACTTCAGAGACAGCTATGAGATACAAGGTAATCAAAGAAACATTCCCTAGCTGTTTTTGAATAAACCCATTTGTTTATTTACAAGCCCAGTGTATAGCACTGATTCATGCGAGGATTACCTGGATTTCTTATCAGTACACCTCTTGGTAGGTGGGAAACACTGAAAGTGTTTCTTAAATATCCGAAGGGTGATACCCAGGATAGAACCCAGGACCTCAGGATCACTATCCCCCCTAAATAGTGAACAGTTCTGATCCGTGACATTCTCCCCTGTTGTATATTGAAATTTGTCCTCGGAATTTCTAATGGGTACAGAGAACAATGTGAAATTGGACTGGAAGCTTATACCATCACGGACTCACGTTGGGTGCCAAATGTCACAGGGTGAGAAAAATGTGCAGCCTAACCAGGACTCAAACCTCAGACCCTTGGAATACCATCCGGCGGCTCTACCGACTGAGCTATCCACCTAATTACACATAGCAAACAAAAATAAGTTATTATAAAATTAAAAGGTCTGTAGCTTTGATGCAGGTGATAATTGTTATAACTTTAGAGCAATAGTTAAAAGTTAACCACTCTAATGACTTTATACTTAAATTACTTTTTATTACACAGGGTTTGTGTAGCTGTTGGAAGTCTGATGTCATCTTATTTTCAAGCCCCTTTTTATGTGCTTCTTTGAAAACAGTCTAATTTAGTTGCTGGTTTCTCTTATAAACTTCAATGACTTCAATAACAATTTACGTTATTATAAATTTGTTATACAAGTTGCTGACTGGATATATGAGGTAAAGCCGTTCAGATATAATAAAACTCTCAGCTAGCAGACATTGGGTCATATTTATCTCATATCTCTATATTCTCCTTTATATCCTGTGTGCAACTTGTATAACTAATAATATCGCATTGTATGTATATAGTTCTTGCCCTCACGGGTCCTTTCCTTTGAAATTTTGCAATATAAGAAAACTACAAAAAATGTTTACTTTTTAGTGGTGCAACATCTAAAGTATTCAAATGCACTGACAGAGGAACTGGTCAGCCCTACGCTGTGAAAATCATTAATAAAAAGGTATTTTCATTCATTCAATTGTTAATTCATATTATTTTTGTAATTTAATTAAATATGGAACATACTTTTTTTTCAATTTTATAATTGAATAAACACAAAACGAAGAAACTAAGTACATGACAAATGTTTACATTTTTAGCTCACCAGAGCCGAAGGCTCAGGGTGAGCTATTAGTATCAAAGGGGGATGCTCCAGCGTCCGTCGTCATGTGTCAACAATCGTCTTCTTCTCTGAAACTAACTGGGCAGATTTACTTCAAATTTGGTCTGTAGCATCCTTGTGACAGTCACACTTGAATTTGCTCATGTCATTTCAATTGGCCCCTTTTAGGGGTCAGCAAAGCTAAAAATAGAAAAACCTTTAAACATCTTCTTGTACAGAACTAATGGATGGATGATCACCAAACTTTGTCTGTAGCATTCTTGGGTAGTCTTTTATCAAGTTTGCTCATATTAATTTGATTGGCCCCATTTAGGGGTCTCTAGGGCTAAAAATAGAAAAACCTTTAAACATCTTCTTCTACAGAACTAATGGATGGATGATCACCAAACTTTGTCTGAAGCATTCTTGGGTAGTGATTTATCAAGTTTGCTCATATTAATTTGATTGGCCCCATTTAGGGGTCTCTAGGGCTAAAAATAGAAAAACCTTTAAACATCTTCTTCTACAGAACTAATGGATGGATGATCACCAAACTTTGTCTGTAGCATTCTTGGGTAGTGTTTTATCAAGTTTGCTCATATGAATTTGATTGGCCCCTTTTAGGGGCCGCTAAAGCTAAAAATAGAAAAAACTTTAAACGTCTGTTTCTACAGAACTAATTGATGGATGATCACCAAACTTTGTCTGTGGCATTCTAAGGTAGCCTTATATCAAGTTTGCTAATATTATTTTGATTGGCCCCTTTTAGGGGTCTCTAGGGCTAAAAATAGAAAAGCCTTTAAACACCTTCTTCTACAGAACTAATTGATGGATGATCACCAAATTTTGTCAACAGCATTCTCAGGTAGTGTTTTATCATGTTTGCTCATATTAATTTGATTTGCCCCTTGTAGGGACCACTAAAGCTAAAAATAGAAATACCGTTTAATGTCTATTTCTAGAGAACTAATTGATGGATGATCACCAAACTTTGTCTGCAGCATTGTTGGGTAGTCTTTTATTAAGTTTGCTAATATTATTTTGATTGGCCCCTTTTAAAGGCCGCAAAAGGTAAAGATAGAAATACCTTAAAATGTCTTTTTTACCTACCTTATCGATGGATGATCACCAAACTTTGTCTGTAGAATTCTTGGGTAATCTTTTATCAAGTTTGCTCATATTAATTTGATTGGCCCCTTTTAGGGGCCGCTAAATCTAAAAATAGAAAAATCTTTAAACATCTCCTACTTCAGAACCAATTGATGGATGATCACCAAACTTTGTCTGTAGCATTCTTGGGTAGTCTTTCATCAAGTTTGCTTATATTTATTTGATTAGCCCCTATTAGGGGCCACTAAAACTAAAAATAGAAAAAAACCTTCAAACATCATTTCCTACTGAAATAATTGATAGATGATCACTAAACTTTGTAGCATTCTGTAGGTACAATGTAGTCTTTTATCAAGTTTGCTCATATTAATTTGATTAGCCCTGTTTAAGCTAAAGCTTAAATGCCCCAGGTCATGGCATTTCTTCAAATTATTGTTTAAACATATTCTATGCTCAAGTTTAATATGAGAATTTATTGACATTCCAACACTGAAAAGCAGTTGTTTCTGGTGAGCGACTAAGGGCCATCATAGCCCTCTTGTTCTAATTTGTAGTATTATCCACTACTGGCTAAATAAAATAAATTTGATATCTTTATAAAAAAAAAAAATAAATAAAATAGTGTATTCTTTTCCATTGTCTTTTTTAAAAAAAACAACAAACTTTCTAATTCTTTTTACATTATTCTCTTTCTTTTAAGGTTGACAGAAAAGTTGTTGGAACAGAAATTGGCATTTTACTCACAATCAAGCATGACAATGTGGTAGGTACTCAGATTTAAAATGTCCATGCATAGCTTCGCATAATGTTTATAAATGTACTTGCATCATTTAATTGTTTGATCTTTGCCATGCTTATTTTTCTTTTACCTGTTTGAACTGAAAATTGTTAGCTTTTGCCACCACAGTATAGAGTCAGTCCAGGCTGCATAAACATACCCTATACTGTTGGTAGCTCATTAAATGTACTTTTGATAATAAATGATGCTTATTTTGAAATCCTTAAATTTTAAATGAACTGTTCCTATTCAAAGCAGGGCAAATCCATTAAACAGTTAAACAGGTTAAAGGTTGAATTACAGAAGTCTAAAACTCTGGCTATCACATTTAAATCATTATCATGTTGAATGTACAAACAGAAAGAAAGAGTTATAACTTGTTCACTTGATTTTTATATCAACTATCTAGCTATTGCTTTATGAATTTTTCCATCTTTTTATAATTTAGAACTAATTTGTCGTTATAGATACACAATATTTGCAGAAACATTATCAGAAAGGTCCAAAGAAGTCATTCTGTTGCATGCAGCTTATAGGAGATAATGTATTTCCTATTGCTTGATATGATATATTACAAGGGGTTCACCTGATATGGTTATTTTACAAAAAATAATTATACAGCATTGTTGAAGTATCCCCAACAAAAATACCTGGTTGCTTTCAGTAGTAGTGTTATATAGCCTCAACTCAGCTCAACTTTAGCCTCAAATGTTCAGAGGTCATGGGTAGAAAGCCGCGTCATGTTGTAGTTATCAGATTAATTTTGCTTGCGAAATCTTGTAATTAAACGGTGAATTTTTATTTAGATACGGATGAATAGAATATTTGAGACGCCCACACAAATTTTACTGGTGCTTGAGCTTGTTACTGGAGGAGAATTGTTTGAACGGTAAGTTACATGTACATTATAAGAAGCATGAAAAAGTATTGTCTACTGAAATAGAAGTGTTGATATTTGAACTGACTCTAAATCTTGCTACCTACCTTAAACTTTAAAAAACTTTGAAAAAAAAAGAGATTAAATCACTTAGATACTGAATACTTGCATTTTTATAACAGACAAATCATCACTTATTAGTCTGCATTTTTTTACATATTTCTTTGCTGTTATTGATACTCTGCTGAATTTTCATTTAATATGCCATAAATTTATCTTTTATAGAATCACAAATAGGGGCCATTATTCTGAAAAAGATGCTGCATTGGCTGTGAAAGAAATGCTTATTGCAGTTCAGGTATAAATCACATTATATATTAATTAACATGATGTGGAGGCAGGGTAAGATAGTAGATACAGAAAACACTTTGTTGTGTTGGTCAGTTGGTCTACTCTATAATGTTTATAGATACCCAAAAGGATTCTCTTCAAGCTTGGCTCCAATGTTCCCCTCAACAAGGCAATGTACAGAACCCATGCCACTTCTGTATTGGCTCAAGATCAGGTTCACCCTTGGAGGTCAAAGGTCAAATATCAGACAATTTTGTGTCCTCTATAAACCTATACTCCTTGAAGGATTTTTTTCAAACTTAGATCAAATGTTCACCTTAGCATGTCAATTTGCAGACTTTATGCCACTGCTGTGCCAGCTTAAGGTCAAGCTCGCCCTTCAAGGTCAAATGTCAAATATCAGACAATTTCATGTCTGCTCTATAAACCCTGTGCCTCCTGAAGGATTTTCTTCAAACTTTGCTCAAATTTTCACCTCGAAAAGGCAATGTGCATAAACCATGCTGCGTCTGTGCAGACTCCAAGTCAAGGCCACCCTTTAAGGTCAAATATCAGACATCTTAAATCCTGTATCCCTAGAGGCATTTTTTATAAACTTGGCTCATATGTTTACCTCAACAAGGCAATGTTCAAAACCCATGCTGCAACTGTGCAGACTCATGCTCAGTCACCATTGAAGGTTAAATTGAACATTTTTTGTCTGCACTATAAATTCTATACTTTTAAATGACTTTTTTCAAGCTTAACTCATTTTTTTTTCAAAATTAATTGCACAGAACTACATAATGTACTGTGTCATAAAGATCAGGAGATATTTTTTGCCTCTCCTGTGGCAGCTCTTGTTATGTAACAGCTCTGGACAGAGTGTAAGGCAGTCAGACACATATTTGTAATGCTCAACTGGTGTGTTGAATATGTAAATCATAAAATGCATTATATGATTTGTAAGAAAATAGAGATCTATAATCAGTTGTTCCCACAAGAGCTGGGACAAGTACTTCAGTACCTGGTTATTGGGTCAGGTAACACCTCTATTAGAGTACATGGAAATCATATACATGTAATAAAGCTTAGATCTTTTAAATAACATAAGTTCTGTCTCTTTGAGACAAATCTAAGTAACCTGCAAGGAACACTTTTCTCAGGACAAAAATCTGAAACAGGTTAATTAGTATGTTGTATCTAAAGCATTTTTATGCTATCATGTAAAGCTGTGCTATGAACTTTTGTAATTGGTGAAAATTAAATAAAAAAAGTCAAACTTTTATATTATTTTTAAAAAAAAAAACGAAAAATCTTTTTCAGATAATTTTGTTTTAAGGTAACACTTAACAGTTTTCTTTCTGTTATTATTATCATCCTCATTATTAGTATTATTATTGTTATTATTATTATTATTATTATTATTATTATTATTATAATTTTGGTCTTAATCCTGTTTTTTCTTATTTTCAGTTCCTTCATGAGAATGGTATAATTCACCGAGATCTGAAGGTTGGTACAAGTTGATTTAGTTCTTAAACCAAAAAGGCTGCTTCAATCAAGATATAAAAACTAAAACACTTTTAGAAATGAGGCTGAGGCTCCTACATGGTTACTGCCACTATATTTCTCTAAAATGAACTACATTTGTAATTTTGGTGATGACAAAATTAATCTCCAATCATTTTTTTTTGCAAAATAAACACTCTCTTTTAAAGTAAGCTGTTTTGCCAGATAATTGTCCCAATGGCTTTAGTATTTGGGCACCCTTAACAAGAATTATTCGTAATAGAAAACATGAAATGGACACATTGATTGGGTGCTCCTATAATATTTCAAGAGGCACTATGACATAAAGTAAAAGGTTTAGACATTATTTTTTTTCCATAATTAATATGTTTTTTGTTTTGGAGAAAGAAGTATCAAAATTCCATGCTGAAAAAAATTCTTATTTTTTAATAACTGCACTTATATAAGTGCTTATAGTTATATGCATATTTTTTCAGCCTGAAAACCTGTTGTATGAAAATTTGTCCCCTGATGCCAAGTTAAAAATTGGTAAGTAAAATAGTTCAGTTTTATGAAATTTTAATATAATTAATCAATTGTGATACAAATGCTTAAAATACTTGTGATTTATTTTATTTCGAAGGTAATGTAAAGCTTTATGTATTTATAGACTGGGTACAAATGACATTTGCATGCCCTAGCTACTGCTAAGGGCACTTTAATGATTTATGTTGCATGAAAATTTAACCTTTCTAGAGACATGCAGTCACGTGATGCCCTAACATTTCATTATTAATGTAATGCATTCAGTGAATTCCATCTTCATTTTATTGGTATATCACATACTGCATGTTTGTGACATCAATTTGCATTTGACAGCCATGATGTTTATGGCGTGTCAGTACATATGTACTGAACATTTATAAAGCTATTTCTTATTTGAATAAAAGATAACAGTTGTACAGTGCAATAAATTTGTTATAAAGACTCAACAAGCTATATGCATTGTACATTTTAAAAAAGGTTGTTTGCTTTACTTATATTATTATTAAGTCATTATAAACCATCAGATATCATAAATATAATAAATTCAGCCAATTTTATCACCATCATTTTCTAATATTTGTTGGAAAGAAAGTGCAAGTTCCATGTTTAATACATTTCTTTCATAGCTTCTGTTCTGGGAAATATTTATTTTATTTATTTAGACAGGTAGAGTCAAGAAATTTTGTCAGATTTTATGAAGGCTTTATTGGATATATTACTCAAATTTGTACTGATGTGTTTCATTATGCTGTATGATATGATGTTCATATATTCATACACAATGGAAAACTGCATTGATTGATTTTTAATTAATTAAGTCATGATTTTACATTGCAGCTGACTTTGGTTTATCAAAAATTATTGGACAACAACTGACGACAAACACAGTGTGTGGTACCCCTGGTTACTGTGGTAACTATATATATATATTTTTATATAGCATGTCCAATATAATTATAGAACACATTTAAAGCTAGAGCTGGCAGGGTGAAGGATTTTATAAGTCTATGGCTTCTGCACATGTTAATGCACAAAAAGGTGTTTTGTGCTATTCTGGCATAAAAGTATAAGTCTAAATTGAAAACTCAGCGCTTCATAATTAGTATTTTTATCAAGAAGTTATTGCTTGTACCATGCTTTCCACTGTATGCAAATTATTAATGTGATGTCATTTGACAGTTGTGTTTTCACAATAAAACTACAGGGCCTGTCATTGCAATAAGCTGTTTGTACATTGCACCCTGAGTCAAGCATAATGATATGCGCTGAAATATCTTGGTTGATAGCGCAAGAATTTTCTGTTGTTGATATTACACTATGATACGAGGAGTACCTATGGGACTAAGGATATGGAAGGTGCCGGGCTGGAATCAAGAGTTGAAAATAAATTTAACTTTTTATTTTATTAATATCCAATTCCGAACTTCGAATGATGATTACAAATACAAGAAGAATAAAACAAAATAACTATAGAATGAAATGACTACAAGGTACACAATCATTTACATGATTATTAATCATGTACAGTAAAATCATTTAAACATTCAAAATAGTATGAGACAATACCTTAAAATTACTTTAATTAAAAGAACAGGGAATTAACACATTAAAGGGGAATAACTATAGAATGAAATGAAACTACAAAGTACACAATCATTGACATGATCATTAAACATGTACAGCAGATCATTTAAGCATTCAAAATAGTGTACAAAAATTTACAAAGAATACTTTATTTATAAAAATAGGGAATTAATAATTCAAGGGAAATAACTCGCTTATTGACTTAGTGAGAAGTACCTGTCGACACCGAAATATTAAAAAGAACTTTACAATAAAATTTTACTATGATTTCAAAAAGCTTTAATTTTTACTTTTTTACTTAAACTATTTGTATTATAATTGTAACAAAGCTTACTTTTTACAAGACTTTGTTAATGACAAATTAACTTTGTAAATCAAAAATTGTACAGTAAATGAAATTATATACAACATATTGTAATTCTATATTATATCTTCAAGACATGAAATATTAGAAATAATTAAGTAAAATAATACTTATAATTAAAGGTTCATGTTTGACTCTTACATCAGTATAATAATATTTTGTTATGATACTTGCTATTAAAAATGTTAACAAGTTTTAAACTATATTTACAAAAGTACAAATTCTATATGAATATGAAAAACACAATATTTATAATGTTACAATCAATATCATTTAATGCAACAATAAAGAAATATATGTAAGTAATTAAACATACCTGGAATCAAGAGTTGAAAATAAATTTAACTTTTTATTTTATTAATATCCAATTTCGAATGATGAAGTTGGATGGATTTCAGTTGCTTAAATAGGAAAATACTGATTCCAGGTGACAAACAAGCTGGAAGCCAAAGGATTATAGATAAATCGACTTTTTGATAAGTTTCACACATTTTATACATATAGAGGAAATATCATCATTATTTAACACAGAAAGTGATGATAGGTTAACAAGTTTTTTCAAAAAGATATTATAAATTTATTACTCTAGGCAGACTTGAGATTATGACAGTTTTTACTAGAGTATGGGATGTTTATTTAATTAATATCCTTAAGATTAATAATTTCCTAAATGGCTTCCAAAGTTTAGGGTTTTTGAAAAGAAATATTAATTGTCATTTAACAGTTTTCATTTAACAAAAAAATATACATAAAACCATTTCTAAACATACAAAAAAAAATGACAATACAAATATAATCAACTATATACATACAAGCTATTTTTACAATAATAAATTCTTTAGAAATCTTAACTCTAAAGAATTTGATGTAAAATATGGGGCATAACAACTTCCCCTGGCTTTTTAGCTTTGGTCCCCAAAGTTTAGGGGTATTGATATATAATATCGGATGGACTAAATTGTTTGGAAAAGTAGAACAAAAGTATTTTAAAAACTAAATAAACTTGTATGCAACATATGGAAACAAACAACAAACATATATACAAAAATGTACATAGATTATAAAGTCTTTTATGTAAGGCTGTTCCTCTTAATTTAGCCAATTATGAAGTGGAATCATTTGTCCTTGAAACTTGGTATATAGATTTACTAAAAATGTTTTCTTTAGAACGTGTTTTAGCCTGCGAACCTTATAAATTGGAACAAGGATTTCGTTTTCTACCTGCAATATGGTTTCATTCATTTTGTTTTTGATTATGAAATTTGGCCAAGATACCATTAATGTTGAAGAGCAAATCAAGTCTTTTAATTGTAAAACAGTGATATCATTCTGAAAAATTAAAATTTTGATTAACTGTTCTATCTGTTGTAGCAGACTTGTATATATAAGAAAGATGGTACATTTGTAACCAAAGCATTGTAAGCTTGAGATTTTTTTTTCAGACAATTATGGGTCAGTTTTCTGAGGCATATGATAGTACATCTTAAGTGATTGTAACACTCATCAAATAATTGTAATACTCATCAAATAGTATGCAACAAAGTTAAGCTTGCCAGTTTGTTGGCAAATATTTTTGTCCATCAAGCAGAGGTTCTGCTAAAGATGGGATACTATATTGTCATGAGCACAGTGAAGGAAGCTGATACATCAGTACAACAGCAAAAAGGAACAATAGCATGAGTGTAAACTTTACATAGCAAGGGTGTTCTTAAAGTGAAGAAATTGATTAAATGCCAGTAGCGAGCCAAATTAAGAAAGGGGAAAGAGAGATTTAGCACTATTAAGACAACATAAGGTTGTGGACTCACTACTGATATTCAATATTAGACAGATAAGTAAAGATAAAAGAGGGTGGAATTCCATGAACACCAGCTAAGAAGCTGTAAACCCAGCTACATTAATAAACTTAACATCAAATTTCATTGTTTAATATGACTTAGGAGTTACAAAATATTTGGGTTGCCTTTTCCCATTCATGTATGGGTTTCAGATAGTTATCATCACTATGGGGACAATTATCTTCTATCCCTAGTTTTTTTTTTTTTTTTTTTATCACTATTTAAACTGTTTTTCAGTTTAAGCTTTGAACCAGTGCAGCCTACCACTAGGTTTAGCCTGGACATTTTGTCATTCCTTATGGTAAAAAACCTGTGATTTGAATGGCCTATTTTGGCTTTTTACTATTTTCAGTTATTATAGTTTTAATTTTAACTACATGTATCTTCAATAAGTTTTTTGTAGATTTTTTTTTACATTTTGTAGCTTACTTTTATCAGTACCTGATATCAAATTTAACATTTGCTTTGCCATTATTTTTTTTTTATTTGTTTTGCAATCTCAGAATTTAATTATTTTCATCAGTGTCTTGGGTTAATTAAAAATGTATTTTTTGGAATTTTGAAACCTACATTCTGTTCTACAAGAAAAACTTTTTTCCTTCTGATTTTAACTTTGGTGTGCCTCTCTACATGAGCTTTATTTACAAAAAAAAGGCACAATTTCTTTATTCTGATATTATCCATTTTCTTTTTGTTTAAGTAAAATGATTCCACCCTTACATAATTATTTTTCTAATACAATGTTAATAGAGGAACATGCCTTACCACTACATCTTCTGCAGGGTATATTGTTTCTGGCTTGTGACCTTTCATCTGGCTGTTTTCCTTGTGTTTTTCTATACTTCTGTGGCTGTTGCAGGTCATCTTGTGGTGATGATTTCCTGATTATTTACTAAAATTTTTTTGATAACACACTTATCACTGGATAGTGTTAACTTATTAAGTTCTTATTATTCCAAGTTTGTACTGTGTTAAACACCTTTGACTATCTTATTTGATGGTTCTTTTTGGAAAATTGAAGCACCAACTTTCTTTTTAGTGTTTTTTTTATTTTAGATAAATATGTTTCCTTCACGCCCCTTTTAGATCTTGTCCTATCTTTTTCAAGATAATACAATGTTTTCTGTGTTTCTGGCGTTGTTTAAATCAAGTGACTTCTTATTATCTTCATTAAGGTAACTTTAGCTTCGTTTCCAGTTAGCTTGTTGCTGTGTAGCTTGTAGCTTTAACAGTGTCGACCTGAGATTCCACCACTTTATTCTCCACCAGTTGATATGCGCTGAAATATTCTTGATACGCGCAAGAATTCTCTGTTGTTGATATTACACTATAATACGAGGAGTACCTATGGGACTAAGGATATGGAAGGTGCCGGGCTGGAATCAAGAGTTGAAAATAAATTTAACTTTTTATTTTATTAATATCCAATTTCGAATGATGAAGTTGGATGGATTTCAGTTGCTTAAATAGGAAAATACTGATTCCAGGTGACAAACAAGCTGGAAGCCAAAGGATTATAGATAAATCGACTTTTTGATAAGTTTCACACATTTTATACATATAGAGGAAATATCATCATTATTTAACACAGAAAGTGATGATAGGTTAACAAGTTTTTCAAAAAGATATTATAAATTTATTACTCTAGGCAGACTTGAGATTATGACAGTTTTTACTAGAGTATGGGATGTTTATTTAATTAATATCCTTAAGATTAATAATTTCCTAAATGGCTTCCAAAGTTTAGGGTTTTTGAAAAGAAATATTAATTGTCATTTAACAGTTTTCATTTAACAAAAAATATACATAAAACCATTTATAAACATACAAAAAAAAAATGAAAATACAAATATAATCAACTATATACATACAAGCTATTTTTACAATAATAAATTCTTTAGCAATCTTAACTCTAAAGAATTTGATGTAAAATATGGGGCATAACAATAATAAAAAACATGCAGTAATAGGAATCTATCTATTAATGCATGTATTCTTAACCTATTATGTATGTGTTTGCAGTTTTATGCAAGAATATGTAATGTTTTTATTTTGTATTGATTTATTTCACATAATGCCCTCACCTTTCTAGGATAACGGAATAAACTCTAGTTTAGACCTGCAGAATAGAATGATTTTGCATTTTCTTTTTACATTTTAGCACCTGAGGTAGTTAAAGGGTCTCAGTATTCAAGCCCTGTTGACTTGTGGAGCATAGGAGTGATTGCATATATTCTGTAAGTTAATGTTTGTGTAACATCGTAAATACATATAGAAAATTTGCTACTTATTAAACAATAATTGTATGACATTTTCATAATATTATACTAAAAAGTAAGATATATAATTATGCCTTTTATTTCAAGATATAAAATTATGCCTTTTATTTAAAGATATTTTTTTCTTTGGATGTTTCTTTATAGTAGCTATGAGGTGGTTGAGTGGTAAAAATTGCTTTGAATAACTTGCCCCTTACAGCTGTAGGTTCAAATATACCAGAGATTATGAAGAAAAAAATCATTTGAGAAAGTTATCATATTAAACATATTTTGAAAGTAAATTCAATTTCCTGCCCAAAAAGTGTGATATAGGAAATGAGCAGTTTAATATAAACCTTCTATTAACATTATTGACAATTTATTTGTATTTCTTTCTAAATTTACTCTGGTAGTTCATTACTGTTTACCATCATTTATAATTAATAAATTAGTGCATGTGTACTGGTTTTGATGACAACAAAAAAACAATAACTGTACAGAGTATCCCTATCTCCTTATCTGTCTTTACAGATTCAAGTGATGACTTAAACCTAATCTAACAAGTTATCTAAATTATCATGTATAGAATCGTCACTTAATTAGGTTCAACATATATTTACTATCGAACGTTATTTTTCTTTGCATTAATTTCTGACTGTATTCACATTATTTTATTTTTGGAAGCTATCCTAATAAATTGCAGAAGGTAGTTAAGTCAATCAATGTGCCTCCTTTAGATTACTGCAAAATCATTATTATTTGTGAATAATTATTATTTGTTGAAAATTAATTTTCGAATCTGACTGAAGTTCAGAGCTTGTCATGCTTCTTCTTGTTACCCTTCAATCAGCCAAAACTGGCGGCATCAACACTTACTAGATAAATTACCTAAATTCAACACTCAGATACCAAGAAACGATCTAATGTTTTGCAAAAATTATATTCCAAAAACATGCATGTACTTCAAGTTTTTTTGTGTTTTTTTTAAAAAAAAAAATAATTCTCTGCAAGGTTTGCTAAAAATAGCCATATCAGCTAGAATGTGAATATGTGTTACTGGCAATCAGATCTTCATGTAAATATAAGAAGCACTGAACTTTAGTCAGGTTGCTAATTTTCATTGTTTTTGTGCATAGGTCTATCCAGGAATGTAAGATTCAACAAATTTTTGTTTTGTCTGCAGTAATATGATTTTTGAATTTCATGTATGCATTTTTCTTATTTGCAAAACCAGACAATCCATGAAAATGTTCAACAAAATCACAAAATTAAGTGAATTCACATTAAACTAAGCATGGAGAGTCACAGTCAAGCTGGAGAGTATTAACATAACTTTAAACAGTGATGTTGGGACAAAACAAAAAAAATGAATTAAGCCGTGCCATGACAAAACCAACATAATGGGTTTTGTACCAGCATGGATCAAGACCAGCATGCGCATCCACGCAGTCTCATCAGGATCCACGCTGTTCGTTTACCAACCCTATTACAAGTAGAGAAACTGATAACGAACAGCATGGATCCTGATCAGACTGCGAGGATGCGCAGACTGGTCTGGATCCATGCTGGTCGCAAATGCATTGTGTTGGTTTTGCCGTGACACGGCTCAGTTGTTCATATCATGACTCTACTGTGTAATTACAGGTTGTGTGGTTATGAACCATTTTATGATGATAATGATCAACATATGTACAAAAAGATCATCAAGGGAGATTATGAATTTGATTCACCATACTGGGATTATATAGGAGAAAATGCAAAGGTTAGTCTTAACAATCATTCTGGGAGTTATAATACCATTATTCTGAAACCTTTTGGGGCGGGATTTTTACAGCTTGTATGTTTGTTTTGCTGTGGGGTTTTTGTTTTTTGTTTTTTTTTACAAAAAAATCAATTAACTTATCATTAATGAATGAATGAATAAATGAATGAGTGATTTGTGAATGAATATGTGATGTAAAAGATGACAGAAAGTAAAAAGCATAGATCTGTTTCAAATCTGCCAAAACATTATAATAAGCTTAAAAGCGATTTGAATAGAATCATGAAACATTTGTTCAGTTGTTGCCAGCATAATTGATGTAAAATCTAGAACAATCAAGATGTATCTTAATTACTTTATTGACTGATTGAAGAACCTGATATGTTATTTTTTTTGACTGTGAACAGTAACACTTTTTTTTGACTGATGTTAGCACTGTGAACAATAAAACTTTATTGCCTAACTTAAGAACCTGATGTAAAAACTTTTAATTGTGAAAAGTAAAACTTTACTGACTGATTTTAGGGCCTGATACAAAAATGTTTGACTAATAACAAAACTTAATTGACTGATTTAAGGACCTGATACAAGATCATTTTGAATGTGAACTTTATTGATTGATTTTAGGACCTGATACAAAAACTTAGAACTGTGAATAGTAAAACTTTTTTGACTGATTTTAGGACCTGATAAGAAAACTTTTGACTGTGAACAGTAAAAAAAGGCTTACAGCAGAGGAAGCTTTAAAACATCCATGGGTGAAAGGAATGGCAGCATCAGGTGAACATATGGAGAAGACACAGAACAATATCAAATCATTCAATGCCAGAAGGAAAATGAAGGTAAAGCGACAAGAGGGGTCAAATACAAAGCAATTATTATAATACATCAAAATAATGATGATGAGGCAGTTGAGTTCTAACCAGTCATTTTTAGCTCACCTGTCACAAAGTGACAGGGTGAGCTTTTGTGATCGCTTTTCGTCCGGCGTCCGGCCGTCGGTCGTCCTTCCGTAAACTTTTACTTTAAATGACATCTTCTCATAAACCACTAAGCCAATTTCATCCAAACTTCACAGGAATGTTTCTTTGGTGGTCACCTTTAAAAATTGTTCAAAGAATTTAATTCCATGCAGAACTCTGGTTGCCATGGCAACCAAAAGAAAAAACTTTAAATATCTTCTTTTAAAAAACCATAAGAGCTAGAGCTTAGATATTTGGCATGAAACATCTTCTAGTGAGTGTCTTCCAAGTTTGTTCAAATAAAAACCCTGGGGGTCAAAATTGGCCCCGCCCCGGGGGTCATTGATTTTCCCTATATGCATATAGTAAAAACTTAAAAAATCTTCTTTTAAAGAACTCAAAGAGCTAGAGCTAAGATATTGAGCATCAAACATGTTCTAATAGGTGTCTACCAAGTTTGTTCAAATAAAAGCCCTGGGGTCATTGATTTTCCCTATATGCATATAGTAAAAACTTAAAAAATCTTCTTTTAAAGAACGAAAAGAGTTAGAGCTAAGATATTTAGCATGAAACATGTTCTAATAAGTGTCTATCAAGTTTGTTCAAATAAAAGCCCTGGGGTCAAAATTGGCCCCGCCCCAGGGGGTCATTGATTTTCCCTATATGCATATAGTAAAAACTTAAAAAATCTTCTTTTAAAGAACGAAAAGAGTTAGAGCTAAGATATTTAGCATGAAACATGTTCTAATAAGTGTCTATCAAGTTTGTTCAAATAAAAGCCCTGGGGTCAAAATTGGCCCCGCCCCGGGGGGTCATTGATTTTCCCTATATGCATATAGTAAAAACTTAAAAAATCTTCTTTTAAAGAACCCAAAGAGCTAGAGCTAAGATATTTAGCATGAAACATGTTCTAATGGGTGTCTACCAAGTTTGTTAAAATAAAAGCCCTGGGGTCAAAATTGGCCCCGCCCCGGGGGGTCATTGATTTTCCCAATATGCATATAGTAAAAACTTAAAAAATCTTCTTTTAAAGAACTCAAAAGAGCTAGAGCTAAGATATTGAGCATCAAACATGTTCTAATAGGTGTCTACCAAGTTTGTTCAAATAAAAGCCCTGGGGTCAAAATTGGCCCCGCCCCAGGGGTCATTGATTTTCCCTATATGCATATAGTAAAAACTTAAAAAATCTTCTTTTAAAGAACGAAAAGACCTAGAGCTAAGATATTTAGCATGAAACATGTTCTAATAAGTGTCTATCAAGTTTGTTCAAATAAAAGCCCTGGGGTCAAAATTGGCCCCGCCCCGGGGGGTCATTGATTTTCCCTATATGCATATAGTAAAAACTTAAAAAATCTTCTTTTAAAGAACCCAAAGAGCTAGAGCTAAGATATTTAGCATGAAACATGTTCTAATGGGTGTCTACCAAGTTTGTTCAAATAAAAGCCCTTGGGTCAAAATTGGCCCCGCCCCGGGGGGTCATTGATTTTCCCTATATGCATATAGTAAAAACTTAAAAAATCTTCTTTTAAAGAGCTCAAAGAGCTATGGCTAAGATATTTAGCATCAAACATGTTCTAATAGGTGTCTACCATGTTTGTTCAAATAAAAGCCCTGGGGTCAAAATTGGCCACGCCCCGGGGGTCATTGATTTTCCTTATATGTGTATAGCAAAAACTTAAAAAATCTTCTTTGAAAATAGCTAGAGTTAAGATATTAAGCATGAAACATCTTTTAGTGATTGTCTACAAAGTTTGTTCAAATAAAAGACCTGGGGTCAAAATTGGCACCGCCCGGGGGGTCATTGATTTTCTTTATATGTGTATAGCAAAAACTTAAAATCTTCTTTGGAAAAACCCAAATAGCTAGAGTTTAGATATTAAGCATGAAACATCTTCTAGTAAGTGTCTACAAAGTTTGTTCAAATAAAAGCCCTGGGGTCAAAACTGGCCCGGCCCCAGGGGTGTCATTGTTTTTAACTATATGTGTATAATAAAAACTTAAAAAAATCTACTTTTAAAAAGCCCAATGAGCTAGAGTTTAGATGTTTAGCATGAAACATCTTCTTATGGGTGTCTACCAAGTTTGTGCAAATAAAAGCCTTGGGTTAAATTGGCCCTGCAACGTTGGGGGGTTGGGGGGGCCTATATACAGGTGAGCGACCTCAGGGCCATCATGGCCCTCTTGTTTGCTTGTGCTATCTTAAAGTATCTACAAAAAAAAGCGCTGTTGATGCTCTTTGTAATTTTACCTCAACTAACACTTTGTTACAGTATTACATTTTTACCATACTTTAGTTAGTAATGAAAAATGTATGGAATGACCAACGGTCTTAAATAGATATATGTACATATTATTAAAGTCCATACCTTTTTTTGCTTAGAACTTGTGGCACAATTGTTTTGATGAGATGATGATATTTAGAAACATTATTATACAACCAACTTGTTTGTTATTTTAGGCTTTAACCGTAGATATTCTGCTATAAAAGCAACTTTTTTGCTATCATTAGATACAGTTACACTGTTATAAAACCAATTTTTTTAGGCTTTAACAGTAGATATTCTGTTATAAAACCACCCTTTTTGCTATCATTAGATACACTGTTATAAAACCAACTTTTTTGATATTTTAGACTTTAACACTGCTATAAAACCAACTTTTAAAACAAAATTCTTTGTTATTTTAGGCTTTAACAGATATAACGATGGCTCTTGGTAATCAGTTTATGATGCCGCAGCAGCAAACAGATAGAATTTCTACAAGTGATGTTACTATGCAGGTCCCGTCACAAACTCTGATGTAAAACTTATTGACATAACTATGCAGGTCCTGTCACAAACTCTGATGTAAAACCAGTTTCTACTCGGTCATGTGACAAAAAATGAATACAAACCATGCGAACAATAAGACATGGAAATAAGTTTTCATTCAAAAATTACATCATTAGGTGTTTTTAAGCATTTGACTTCCCCATGAATAATCATTAACAATGGGCCCACAAAAATAATGAGAAAATGGAATGAGATAATTTCAAGTTTTAAGTCAACATAATAATGCAAGTGATTTTTTTAACAATTTACTTATGTAATCAGGTGAAAAGTTCAAGAATTACATTGGTGTATACAGATCTGAAATGTACCAATGATGTTGTTGCCAGTATTACCTAGGACTAAATTTATGTTACACCAAGGTATCACGATCAATATGCATTTTTCATTGTATGAGTTTTGTGAAGGATATCTTTCTTTACTTCTATCATGGACTTAATGAATATAGAATAGCAGACACTTAGTGTGTGTGTGTATGTCGAAGATGAACTTTCATTGGAAATAATGATAAAATAATGTTTATGTACAATTTACTGCTGTGATCGATTTAGCCAAGTTACTGTAAACATTACAATGAAATATTATTTACATATCAGTGTTTATATTTTATCTATCAAGTTATACAGATATACTATTTTTTCATTATCTGTTATTGATCTTTTTAAAGCTTAGTATTCTCACACCAGTTTTACAACCTTTACTTGTCTTTTATGTTTGTTTCTATTTAAAGAGACTATTAGATAACTCTGTGATATGTTTATATTTTATGTACTGATCATTTTATGAACTGTTTTCACTCTAGTAAAAAATTAGATGTTTATTTGTCCTTGTACTGTTTGTCATTTTTAGCTTGACTATACAAAGAATATGGAGAGCTGTCCTACTCGCCATGGCGTCGGCGTCCAGATTTTAGATTAAAGTTTTGGTGCAGTAAAATATTTTTCTCTATATTTTTTTTTATTTCTTATAGTATCAACTTCAAACTTCAAACATATGTTCCTTATCATCAACCACATCTTATGTGACGAAGTTCATAACTTTAGCGCCAAAAGTTGTTGATTTATCTTCCCTTGAACTTAGAATTTACCATAAAAAATATTTTTTACTGTGACTTATTTATTTCTTAAGGGATCAACTTCATACTTCAAATGTATTAACCACATGTTATTTGACAAGGTTCATAACTTTAGCAGCAATATTGCAAAAATTATCTCCCCATATACTTAGATTTTTTTTACTTGAAAAAAATATTATTTTTTACTATAACTTCTTTAGTTTTAAAGGTATCTACCTCAAACTTCAAATACTAATTCCTTATTATTATTATGTTATTATTATTTACATCTTATGTGACAAGGTTCATAACTCTTGAAGCAATAATAACAGATTTACTCGTATTTTCGACATTAATGGTCAATGGTAGAAAATTTTAGTAACATCAAAGCCTCGTGGTATCTGGTATACAAATGCAACCAGGCCATTTCTATTTTTGACCCATCTAACCATTTTGAAATGAGAGAAGGATGCCCAAATTTAATTTTTTGGGGGGGGGGGGGGGGGGATTTCTAAATAATTTCTAACTTTCATGCTAGTTACGGGTCTTGGTGATTGACATACAATTATAATCTGAACGACTTGTAAAAAAATCTGGAGACAAAGTGATCCCTCGGAAGCATTAATTACAACAAAATTACAAGAGAATTGCAGACTCGGTTTGATTGAGTCTGTACATGAGAGATAATGTATATATGCAACATCCCTCACATAAAGTTTCAAATGGATTCCACAAAACTTAAGCTATTCAAGTTCACAAAGGGAAATAACTTAAAATCCATGCTAAAACACTAAAGTCTTGTAGATTCAAGTATTTCTAGTGATTATGAGTATAGACTTAGGCAAGTAAAACATCTAGCAGGAATTTTCCAAGTTCTAAAAGGGATTAGATTTAGTACAATCCATGTTAGTGTTTTAGATTTGAATTTGTAATAACTTTATTCTGCCAAGATAAAACGGGGCATCTTTCTATAGTGAAAGGAAATATAACCAAGTAGCAGGAAGTAAAACAAGAGCACTGCAAATTTGAGGCAATATACACTCAAATGTCAATTTGTTTTATATTCACAAAAAGATGTGTTTTCCTATACATAAAGCAAGAGACTTCTGGGGCAGGGCCAATTTGACCCAAGGGTCATGATTAATAATACTAATATGTAGAAAACTACAATTTGATGCTACATGTCAAAAATCCAAGCTCTGGGCTTTGAAGTTTCACACAACAATAATATAACATTACATTAGGCACATTATGCCTCAGATATGATTAAAATTTACTTCTTTAGAAATATCAAGCATTAGTTTTATTACATTTAAATAATGCAGTGTGGCAATACCACGTGACATTGACGTAATTTTCGGCATCATTTCCAAGACTAATGTTGCTCGATTCGGAAAAGAAAATAGCCGTAAATATTTTATTTCTGTACCAATTTCTTTGGGATATGCACCAGTCTACGGGGAAAAATATAAACTTTCCATAGAATATTGGATCTTCGTCAGTATATAAGCCGTTTTATCAAACACTTTGCCTAACCTTGGAAGTTGCTTGTATTACAGCGGGCTTCAGTTGCAAGCTATTTCATTTTCTGGCAATATCTTGTCTACGCCATAATTAAAAAGTAAGGTTTACATCAACCGGGAGTACGGAAGGCAAAACTCTACCTAAATATGTTCATATTTTTATTATGAATGACATAAATCTTACATTTTACTTCAATTGTCAATTCTGGCACCAGTTCCAAGTCGAAAAAAAGGACTACAGTTTAAAGCCGATTTTAGAATCCGTTGCAAATGCGAAGCAACATGCCTACCGTTCTCTTTCTACAATTTAGTTTTTCATTGTTGATCTTTCACAGAGAGATTGTGAAAAAACTGATTGTTCCTTAAAACACTTACTTGTATCGCAATAGTGCACGTCAAATCTCGTAGATTTAGTCCTGTCGGAAAATAATGTTTGGTTTCGTTTTGAAGATGTTTAAAGTATTGCTCATCTTATCCTATGTAGTTAAATGTGTTTTATTCTATTTCACAATGGCGAAATTGATAAGAAATATATGTGCTCTCAGTGAGAGAAAGAGTTAATATAAAAACACCTTTGTATGATATGGAAAGGGTTACACTTTAACGCGAGTGTTGTTAAGCTATAGGTATTTTTTCAGTTTATTCTGACAAACACTGACACTCGTGAATGTGACGAACAGGTTCTTCTGTCCTCAAAAGAGAGACTTTTAAAAGGTATATATTTTTCTGGAATTGTTGTATAATAAAGTTCTATAGAGTTTGATAAACTAAAACACAATTTGAACTTGGAACTTTGCCTTGTAAATCTGATAGAATTGTTACTTAGTTGCATTACTTATAATTCTCTATTTATCAAAAAGACCCAAAATAGCCATGAATAAGAACGAGAATGGACGTCATGTGGAGTAAACAAAGTAGAAAATAGTTAACAGATAAATGATTTTACAAACCAACATCCATCGATCAAATCAAATTTCTTGAAACAAAACATTCAACAAGACGGAAAATAACAATGATTATCAATAATTATTTAAATATTTACATTAACATCTGTATAGGCAACCTCGGCAAGATCTATGACTTGGGTCCATATGGCACTGATGCGTCCATTGAATAATTGATAGCTAACATAAGCTTAGTAAAATTGCGATTACATTTGAAGAGTCCATTTCAATTCTTATCCTTCAACTGTCAAATGACTTACTTCTTTATTTACATATCAGATAATTCACTTATTTAGTATATGCGGTCACGTTTATCATGTTTTAGATTTTAATGTGCGATCCTTTTTTAAATCTTAAAATGGCTACAAAAAGCCTATTGAGGACATTTGCAGGTCATTGCCGCGTGCAATAATCCATGCATTTACAGCCAATGACCACATCGATAAGAAATAGTCCCAAATAGCCCTATCGTTTTTATTCAGTTGAAAAAGACATTATTGTTAAAAAAGTTCTACTCGATTTAAATGTTTTCAAACCACAAATATTCCGTTCCCTTCCTCTCTTTACAATGTTTATTGGTGAGCTCTCTGATAAAGCTGAGTTGACTGATATAATTAACTAAATTTGTCAGATATGCAGTTCATCAACAGAAATAAAAGCAATTATAAAATAGATAGTGTTTAATAGTGTTCTTAAGTGAACGAAGTTATATCCAGTTCACGAAAAACGGTTTCCGTGGGTATGAAAACAGGATGTAAAAATATTTTTTATCAACGAGTGCCACTGTGTTAAAAAGCTAAATCTATCATACTAAAAGATTGCTACAGGTTCTTTATATATATACAAAGGCTCTTTACAAAAGAATAACATTTGACTTTAAAATTGCCGCGTCGAGGCGTAACCCTTTTTACAGCATACAAATCGAAGTGATCCGGAATGTGCACGTTCATTGGACAGGCTAGTTAAGTCAATCAGAGCCTGAAACATTTTCAATTTTGCCGTTTTAGGGGAAATTTAGGGTTTCTGTTTTCTATTCCATGTTTAGTATTCTACATGACACAAATAAATGTTTCATAATCATTACCGTGAAAGAACAATGATTAAAGAGCAAATCAATTTCTTTACAAATACTGCAGTACAGACAACAATTTTACTACTTTTAAAATCACTTGAAGCGAGGAAAAATCATTTAAATATTCATTTGTGTTTATGTAAATTGTATAGAAAATAAAAAGTTTTTCATGGTTAACATAATTATAGAAAGAGAACGGTAGGCATGTTGCTTCGCATTTGCAACGGATTCTAAAATCGGCTTTAAACTGTATAGTCCTTTTTTTCGACTTGGAACTGGTGCCAGATTTGACAATTGAAGAAAAATGTAAGATTTATGTCATTCATAATAAAAATATGAACATATTTAGGTAGAGTTTTGCCTTCCGTACTCCCGGTTGATGTAAACCTGACTTTTTAATCATGGCGTAGACCAGATAACGCCAGAAAACGAAATAGCTTGCAACTGAAGCCCGCTCTAATACAAGCAACTTCCAAGGTTAGGCAAAGTGTTTGATAAAACGGCTAATAAACTAACGAAGATCGAATATTCTGTGGAAAGCTTATATTTTTCCCCGTAGACTGGTGCATATCCCAAAGAAATTGGTACAGAAATAAAATATTTACGGCTATTTTCTTTTCCGAATCGAGCAACATTTGTCTTGGAAATGATGCCGAAAATGACGTCAATGTCACGTGGTATTGCCACACTGATACCACGCGCCCAGGTTAGCTATATTTATAATTCCTTATTGACTTATAGCTGGTATGTCGAAATTTGCAATGTCAACATTTTTGAAATGATTGTTTTCATTGGCTGAAACCAACACGTGATCAATACACATGAAGGTGTGAACTGATTTCATTTTCATTAAAATCATGCGTTTAATCGGACATATAACAATTCTAAATACAAATAATTTTATTAAACAATCCCAAAAGCATTTAAAATAATAAAAATCATTGCAAAGTAATAAATGCTTACAAATTGTAAATTTGTGTATGACAACTCACCCCTCTAAACAATCATAATAGACTCAACCAAAACAAGCGTCTGTTTCTTGCAAACATGCATTTGTCCATACAGCAATGGGGAAAATTTTAGACTTGATTTTGTGTATTTTTTTTCCAACAAAATCACACTTTTTTAAATTTTCTAATAAAACAGCTTTTATTATGTACAACATGTCACAGGGCTCTAAGGGATTAGAATAAACGTTAAACAGAAGTGATAGTGCCATGTTTGAAT